TCGCTGCTAACTTTTTAAGTTGGTAATAATTTCTACCATTTTCGTGGTAGTTTAGGAGATTTTGGGAGAAAAGTGAAATTTGGAAATACGCACTTTTCGCGGAAAACAGACTCGATGCGGTGTGGCACCGGGGGAGCCCTATGACTTTTGGTAGTTTTCGTTTCTGCGAGCTGACAACCCTGGGCTCCACGGTAGAAAACGTGTTTTTCGACATGCCCTCATAACCCGAATTGTTTGGGAACCTGGGTGGCAAGCGGAGAAAATCTGTGAATGAGGTGTCGCGCCAGATATAGTCGTGACTATGGGAAAATTATGAAACTCGGAAAAGTCAATATGGCGGCGCCGGCAGCGGCCATTTTGTGATTTTTTCACTTTTTCGAAAAATTCAAACGCACTTTTAGCACACATGGCAACATCGGAACGCTTCGCCTGGTATGAACTGGTCGTGAGTCTCGGCCGCCTCTTTCGAATGAGGTGAAAATTTTCCCCGATTTTAGGGTAATTTCGGAGATTTACCCCAAAAAGATGAAAAGTAGAAGGAGCCGTTTTGGGATTTCGAATATGCATTTCCTCGACGAGGGGCACTCCCCGAAATGACATTTGACCATTTTTATCGTCGACACCTGGCAACCCTGGTATATGGGGCAATTTGAAAAATTTTGCCCATTTTTTACTTTGTCGACTCTAGCGCAATCGGTTTTGCCACTAGGATAATGGCATAAACTGCATCGGATGCGCTATCGAGTTGGCCACACCGGTACGGAGCCGGATTTTCAAAATTCAAGATGGCGGCCAAACCCGCGGCCATTTTATCCAAAAAATTGGGTATCGTCGCCACGTCGAGCCGATTTTGACGCACTTGGCGACATTTGTCAGAGTACTTCCGGGGAAACATTTTTTAGGCAAGTAACTAAAGTGTTGCCTGGTGAAAAAAAAACTCGAAAATTTTTGATACTTTATGAGATTTTTGAGGAAACACTTTTTGTCGAATTTTAATTTTTTTTCAATGCAAATATTTTAATTTTAACTTTTCAAGATACCTGATGGAAAAAATAGAATGATCGACTGGCAACACTGAGAGCAAACAACCTTTGAAATTCAACCTCGATTTTGACTGACTTGGCAACCCCGCAGGTATTTGGTATGTATGGAGCGATTGCCCATCTCTATAGACTCTTTCATGTGGTGGAAAAAAATTACCCGATTTTAGGGTAGTTTTTGAGATTTACCCCAAAAACTGTAAGTGTCAAAGGAACAATTTTAGAACTTGAAAATTGGTATCCGACGATGAAGGGCGCATCCCGGAATCACATTTGACTGTTTTCATCGCCTACATCTGGCAACCCCGGCAGCTAAGGCGGTTTGAAAGTTCAATGCCCACTATTCATGTTTTGGACTTTAGCGCAGTCATTATAGCAACTAGGAAAATAATAGGAACTGCGTTGGATGCGTCAATAGATGGGCTACATAGGTCTGAGGTTGAAATTTCAAAATTCAAGATGGCGGCCTTAATAGCGACCGTTTTATCTAGAAAATTGATCATTTTTCATGACTTTCACTTTATACAGCTGATTTTGGCGTTTTTGGTAACATTTTTAAGAATACTTCTAACAAAAAATATGCCAGATGAAAAAAATCTGTAATTTTCTTTATACCGGGATTTTTTGAGAAACTTTCATGTATGTCTTTATGAAAAATATTAAAATATCTTTTTACAGTGATTTCACTGTTTAACAAAATTTTTACTGTTGCATTTATAACATAATTGGTGGAATAATTTGAGTGATCGACTAGCAACACTGATAGTAGTCACCATATTAATTTCAGAATGATTCTGACCGAGCTGGCGACTCGGGAGCTTTATAGCATATATGTATAGACCGTTTGTGTATCTTTACCTAATCTTTACGTGGTGAGAAAAAAAAAACCACTATTTTAGCCAAAAAAATAAAGCGAGCGAGACATTGTCATTCGGTTGGATTAGAACTGTGACTAAAACAAAAAGCGAGCGAAGCGAGCCATAAAAGATGACCATTTAGAGAGATTTCATTAATTCGTAAGGTTAGAACTGTGACTAAAATAAAATGCGAGCGAAGCGAGCCATAAAGAACACCATCACTATAAATCTGATGAACCAGTTAGATTAAAAGGCGAGCGAAGCGAGCCATAATGCGAGACCATTAAAAGAGACCTGATCAATCGGTTATGTTAGCACTGTGCCTAAAACAATAAGCGAGCGAAGCGAGCCATAAAGAGTGACCATTTAGAGAGATTTGGTTAATTGGTAAGGTAAGAACTGTGACTAAAATAAAATGCGAGCGAAGCGAGCCATAAAGAACCCCATCAATAGAGGCCTGGTCAATCAGTTAGATTAGAACTGCCAATAAAACAAAAAGCGAGCGAAGCGAGCCATAATGCCAGACCATTAAGAGAGACCTGATCAATCGATTATGTAAGCACTGTGTCTTAAACGAAAAGCGAGCGAAGCGAGCCATAAGGAGTAACTGTGAAGAGAGATTTGGTTATTTGGTAGGGTTAGAACTATGACTAAAATAAAATGCGAGCGAAGCGAGCCATAAAGAACACCATCAATAGAGACCTGGTCAATTGATTAGATTAGAACTGCGAAAAAACAAAAAGAAAAAGCGAGCGAAGTGAGCCATAATAAAATGGAGACCTGGTCATTCGGTTAATGAACTGTGACTAGAAAATGTATAATTTTTCACGGTTTTTACTTTATAGAGCTGATTTTGGCATTATTGATAACATTTTTCAGACTACTTACAGAAAAAAAATGTATTTAGTTGAAGTGTTGCCAGATGATAAAAAACTGTTTTTTTTTGATACTTTAATTTTTAGGAAATTTTCTATTGAATAAGAATAAAAGACTATAACGCGATCTATACAACATTTATTTTAAGTTTTCTTTACGTTATTCATCTGAATATTTCTTTTTATATTGCGTGTAAACTAGCAACCTTTTTTTTATGTATGATGTTTTGCGTACTTAAAGATCTTTTATTTGAAGATAGAACTTTCTAACTTTTTCTAGGCAATTTTATACTGTAAACCCAACATAACAAGAGGCGGTCTTAAAACTCCAATATCTGTATTAACTAAATATTCACTTACTTTTGAATAAGAATTAGAGAATAAATGACTACAAGCCGATCTATTCCAAATTTTATTTTAGTTTTGCTTGCATTTTTCAACTGAATGTTTCTTTTTCTATTTAGCGTAAACTGGCAACCCTTTTACTTTGTCGTATGGAGCTTTGTGTACTTAAACATAATTTATTTGAAGATAGAACTCACTAACTTTTGCTAGGCAATTTCAAACTGTAAACATAACAAGAGGCGGACCTAAGATCCCACCGCTCCGATTCCACAAGCGACTCGTTTATGCTCAAGAACTTTACAATAAGTAAAGCAACAAAAACTTGTATAGGTTTATTATGACATATCGGTTAGGTTAGGTTAGTATATGAAAAACAACGCACGAGCCGAGCGAGCGCAGCGAGCGTGCCGCGGCAGCGGCCGGCGAAGTGCCAGAAACGAATCGCTTTTGTTGATGGTAACATTTGGTTTATAAGGTTTAAAAGATGATCGTGACCATTTTTATTTCAATTTTGATTTCGATGGACTTGACAATTCGGGATCTCTGTAGCGTGTATATATGGATCATTTGTGTAGGTATCTTAATTCCACACTTTCTCATAGGTAAGTATGGAGAAAAGAAAATCCAATTTTTGACACGATATTTAATACTTAAAATATATTTTTCTATACTTTTAGATTATTGAGAAAACATGTTCTTTTGATATTCAAAATGAAAGTGTTCTACGTAGGTATGAGTTTGAAATTTGATATTTATTTATTTGGTGTATTATTTAAGGTAACAATGGGGGAAATATCTACTCGATCCTTTTTCATTCATACTAAATATAAACTTACTATTGAATAAGAATAAGAGACTATAATTTTTTTAGAGTTTTGCTTGCGTTTTTCGACTGAATATTTCTTTTTCTGTTAAGCGTAAACTGGCTACCCTTTTTCTTTGATGTATGGTGCTTAAACACCTTTCATTTGCAGACAGAACTTACTAACTTTTTTTGGCGATTTCATACTATAACACAAACAACACAAAAAAAAACGAAAAACTCAAATTCTGCAACGGAGGCGGACTTAAAACCCCGCCGCCCCGATTCCACTAGCTACTGTGACTTGCCAACCTTGTTGGGCAACCAAGCGAAAGCTTCTATTCTGAAACGAAGGCGGACTAAACCCCATCGCGTCGTGAATTAATCTATTCTAATATGGCCACGACATCGGTTCCCTTTTCATATAATAAATAAATCTTACATAAATAATGTAATGTAATAATGCAATTGACATTTAATTGATTAATTAATGATAGTAACACTGATGGAAATATATGTTCGATTGTTTTTTAATATTATACAGTAATTTACTAATAAATAAGAATAAGAGAATAAAAGACAAAACTTATTTTAAGTATCTATACAAAATTTATTTGAAGTTTTGCTTGCGTTTTTTGACTGAATATTTATTTTTCTATTAAGTGTCAACTGGCAACACTTTTTATTTGATGTATGGTGCTTTGTGTCCTTTAACACCTTTTATTTGAAGATAGAACTTACTGACCTTTTCTACGCAATTTCAAACTTTAAACCCGACACAACAATAGGCGGACTTGAAACCCCACCGCCCCGATTCCACCAGCTTCTCGTTACCTCCCCGGGCTGCTCGCAGCCCGGGGCAACCAAGCGAAAGCTAGTAACATATATAAAATTAAATAATAGATACCCCATAAGGTATTATATCTTTTATATATGTCAATATTAAAACCATCAAAATAACGTTTCGTTATTACTTATAAATGATTATTGATTATTAATCGAGCAACTCTACAAATTATTGTAGGCAGGCAACTCCGACTCTGAGGACCGCTAAAGTAGCTGTCAGATTAGGTCAGAGTCCAACTTTCCGATAGTTTGTTTCAAGTTTTTTAATAATATTTATTGTAGTAATCCATAATATTCACCTTGCAGGCATCATCTGCATTAGATATTACGTATAAAATTATTACTGAAGCGCCATGGCATCTCACGTAGCTAAATCTTTACTAAAAGCTACCCATGTTGGATCGACTGCAAAATTTGGTAACTATATTTTATAACCTTTTTTGCCGTAGAAAAGTGAAGAAAATCTAAATATTTTGATTTATGCAACGGATACCAAGAAATTGTGTTTATTTTGTAATGTAATTTAAATAGTTTTAATGCCATAAAAAGTATTTCCATTTTAGTCTCATGAAGACTTTTTAAATGGTAAACTTTGGACCTATGTTGAGTTGGCATTGGTACAATTTATTCAAAATATTAAAATTAACTGGAACATTTCCAAAGTTATTTACTGATCTATTTTGAAACAACAGGAAATAATATATTGGCAAAGTTCAGTTTAATTAAAGTTCTAAACTTAATTTTTTCCACATGCAATGTCAATGTTATAATATAATTATTAGTGCCTCTTTAGTAAATGATTATAGTCATAAAAGAATGGGAATATGGGAAGTGACAGTAGGCTACTAAATTTACAGATATAAAAATAGAAAATTTAACCTTCATTATTACCTCTATTGATACAGAAAGGACATTCACAGATAAATATATCAATATCTTCTCCATACTTATAATTAGAATAGATATATGCAATAATAAATAAATAGGTTTAATAAATGGTGATATATTTGAATTTAATAAGTTTGAACCTTTTTTGCAAATCTATAGTTTTTAATGTTTAAGACATAATAAACAAAATATGTCTTTTGTTTTGCTGCAAAAACTTTCACTGTTAAAACAACTTAATACTTGATTATCTCTATGGTTAGCAGTTGTCATACAGTTTTAAAATGTTAGTCTTATAAACTTAAATTATTCAAGGTCTTTGCTTTCAAGCTGGGGATGTTTAAAAAAAATTAAAGTCATAAACCTGTTAATATCCAGTACGAAGTTTTCTCCACTTCACATTACATTAATTCACATTCATATTTAGATATGTTAATTTTTTTTATTTAGTGCTTTTATTGAGTTTTTCATTTAACTAGCTTGTCTCACTACAACAAAATATTTCATTGACTTCTTTGAATAAGTACATTTTTCAAGTCTGTACAATATAAGCCTTCTTCATTGTTATAGTTTTCTCCATCAACAAGTTTGATATAACTTTTAACAGTACATCAAGAATTCACTTTTGATTAAGTTTGGAGGTCTTTTAATTCTGTAACATAAAAATCTACAATTTATTCAAAAACAGATACCGCCCGCCGAGCCCTCAGTGTGGGAGCTGCCCTACAACAGAAAAAGACTCTCCAGGACCGCACAGGAAAGAATGTAGTCCTCGTGGATGGAGTCAGAACTCCATTCCTAGTGTCGTTCACTGATTATGCCAGGATGATGCCTCATGAGTTAGCTCGACATGCTTTGCTGTAAGTTGACATTGAGATACATAAATCATATTAAAATAAGAAGTTCTACATAACTTTTATTAAATGTAATTAGTGTTTTTTTTTTTTTATTATGTGTTACATATTAAATTAAATTCATAATTAAAATCTCATGAATGAATTATAATAACAATAAGTACTAGTAAAACAATCTTATAGAAATATTGTGTAATGTTGCTTTCTGCCAGGCAGCAATGCACGGAATTAAATAATAACAAGCAAACGGGGGAGGCCTATGCCCAGCAGTGGGTGTCTCTCGGCTGAAGTGATTATGATGATGATGAAGCAAATAGTGCGTATGACTAGACAAAATATAATAGTAGTAGTATATGCAGTACATAATTATGACAGAAATTAATCTAAAATTTATAAAAAACCAGCCAAGTGTGAGTCAGACTTGCATACTTAAGGTTCTGTACTGGAAACTAGCAAAAAAAATTACATTCGTTGTATGAGAGAGTACTGAAATATTCATTTTATTCCAGTTTCTAGTATATGTTGTTGAAGCAGCAACAGAAATAGATCATCTTTGAAAATTTCGACTGTCTTACTTTCACAGTTCCTGAGATACAGCCTGGTGACAGACAGACAGACAGCAAAGTCTTAGTAATAGGGTTCCCATTTTACTCTTTGGGTATGGAACCCTAAAAAGTGAAGTTTAATAAATCCTTTATCACATTATATTATGGATATTAATAACAAGGTATTAACATAGAAAAAAAAATTAAACATAAAAGTACATGTATGAATAATAATAATTAAAAAATTCACCAGTTCTTCAGGGAACACCATGTCGGGGTACTTTGGATTGGTGAATATTTTAAACATGTTTCTTTGAGTCGAACATAATATCAAGAGTATTATGAATGCAAAACTAATCAAATATAATAAAAAAAAACACAAAGTAGTTTGAATATTTATTTAAAATTTACAAAAATCCATCTCTTTTACAGAGGTCTTCTGCAAAAAACTGGAATCTCTAAAGACATTATTGACTACATTGTGTACGGGACAGTTATCCAAGAGGTGAAAACTTCCAACATTGGCCGCGAGGCGGCGCTGGCGGCCGGATTCAGCGACCGAACTCCCGCACACACTGTCACCATGGCGTGTATATCATCTAACCAGGCTATCACCACCGGTGAGTGCTGCCATCTATCTACACAGATTAAATGACATAACTTTAATCAAGTGCTAGTCCAAATCGCGCACTTATCGATTCCGCCACAAATTTTATAATTACTTAAAACCATAGGCTTTTTTATAGGTTTCCTTGTAAAATATACAAAAAAAAATTAAAAGATAGCTTTTTATAGCCAAATTTTTCTGAGCTAAGTTTAACTTTTTACTAACGACTATGAATCACATATTTCTTGAAATTTAAAATGAAACCATGTAATCCTGCAAATACTAATTTTATTAAAAGAAACTCGGCTTATTGTATTAGCCAGTGTCAATGTATAACAAGCATATTATACTCCAAATAATTAAAATTATATACATAAATTACATATTTTTATAAGAAATCATATTGATATTATAAGTAGGGTTACATACTCAATGTAGTTTCACTCCAGCAATAAAAAAAACATCATATTAAAATGTTACCACTTGTAAATTTGAACACTCACGAAACTCATTTGTATTAAATCTATCCTGATATTATAAAAGTTTCTAACTTTTTTTGTAGGGGGTAATCTTCGGAAATACTTATTTATTTATTAATTCAATCAAACACACTTACTGGCTTACAGTGCATACCAAAGCACCAGCAAGGTAGCTAAGTACATTTTCATATGATGTCAGCCAGAAGTTAATTAAATAGACAAAACATAAATTACATTGTATAATGCAAATTTTAAATAGATATCAACATTAATTAAATTGGAAATATAAATTTCAAGTCAAAACAATAATTTTATTTTAAATTATTATGTCATACTGAGATATAAATGAATTTTATTACATAAACATATCAGATTATCAGCAAACAAATCTAGTTCCTGGTGCTGATCGTGTATGTCACCTAATGGGGATAAGGCACATACAGTACTGAAATGTACCGATCCGATAATGAAAACTCTCACCTATTATTTTATAGCCAAATTTTTCTGAGCTAAGTTTAACTTTTTACTAACGACTATGAATCACATATTTCTTGAAATTTAAAATGAAACCATGTAATCCTGCAAATACTAATTTTATTAAAAGAAACTCGGCTTATTGTATTAGCCAGTGTCAATGTATAACAAGCATATTATACTCCAAATAATTAAAATTATATACATAAATTACATATTTTTATAAGAAATCATATTGATATTATAAGTAGGGTTACATACTCAATGTAGTTTCACTCCAGCAATAAAAAAAACATCATATTAAAATGTTACCACTTGTAAATTTGAACACTCACGAAACTCATTTGTATTAAATCTATCCTGATATTATAAAAGTTTCTAACTTTTTTTGTAGGGGGTAATCTTCGGAAATACTTATTTATTTATTAATTCAATCAAACACACTTACTGGCTTACAGTGCATACCAAAGCACCAGCAAGGTAGCTAAGTACATTTTCATATGATGTCAGCCAGAAGTTAATTAAATAGACAAAACATAAATTACATTGTATAATGCAAATTTTAAATAGATATCAACATTAATTAAATTGGAAATATAAATTTCAAGTCAAAACAATAATTTTATTTTAAATTATTATGTCATACTGAGATATAAATGAATTTTATTACATAAACATATCAGATTATCAGCAAACAAATCTAGTTCCTGGTGCTGATCGTGTATGTCACCTAATGGGGATAAGGCACATACAGTACTGAAATGTACCGATCCGATAATGAAAACTCTCACCTACGGGAAATAAAACATACGCGGGTGAGATAGGCTATAATATACGCGGGCAGAATCGCGGGTCAACAGCTAGATATGTTTGTTGTAGGTATCGGCATGATAGCAGCGGGCGCGTACGAGGTGATTGTGGCCGGTGGTGTAGAGTTCATGTCTGATGTTCCCATCCGCCACTCGCGCAAGATGAGATCTTTACTGCTGAGACTGAACCGTGCCAAGACTCCCGCTCAGAGGCTGTCTCTCCTCGCCACAATACGACCTGATTTCTTCGCACCAGAGGTGAGAACGAGCTGTCTATCACTGACTAATATATGGGTACTAAGATAAAATTATCTAGATTACGATTCCTTACTTAATTACTCGTTTATATATAATTATGATTGTATTTAAGAATTGTACATACAACAATCGGCCATTATAGGTTTTTTTATTATTATTATAGTCGAGAGAAATTGAGATAAGGTCATAAGTAACCAAATATTTTTTGCCAATAGATGAGAATTTGAATGAAGTAAGAACTGTTAATAGTCTCAGACCAAACAAAAACTTTTCATTTGGTTTTCAATTATTCTTAAATATACGAATGTTAGAGAGCTAAATTTGTTATACACCTTTAGAAAAAATGATATTATGTGTACCGGTTATATGTGATCGGTTTTTTTTAATATTATATGTGATCAGTTTTTTTTTTAATGCCTATCTCCAGGCCTATTGCTCGGAGGTGAATAACAGTCATAGAAATTATTAGTTGCCTATTGGTCTATAAAAATGTCTCTTGCATTTTTAAGTGCGATCAATCGTTTTTGAAATCAGAAAAAGTTGTTAGGATGCAGTCACAGGCGCTTGGATATTAGTTGAATTCCCGATGGCGAGATATTTAATTAATATTCATTGGCCGACATTTGCCGCGTATCGAAATTACGTTCTGGTGCATCTATGAAACACATGAGTTGTAAATTACGTTACCAAAATTTAGCTCTTTAGCATTTTTTTACAGGTAACCCATGAACCAATAAAGACTGGAATCTAGAACTAGTTTATCAAGTTATCGCTGGTGTTTTACAAACTATATGTTAATTTAGGTCATTTTAATTTAAGGCTACATGCCCTGTTTAGTAAAAGTATTTTAAAACTTACATATGATCATATTAAGCTGTTATCACATTTATTTTTTCAACGAAAAGTGTATTGTAATTATAGTTTTATTCATTCTTAATTTAATAATGGCTTATCTGTTTATTTTAATTTGAAAAAGCTATGAAACAAATATATCGGAGAAATAAACACGTTTATACAAACTAAATCAAAATAAAACTTTTTATACCGTGCCTTGACATCACATTCCAATAAAAATGAGTGCTGGTTACACTCGCAACGAAGTTTTTGAACATTTGTTAACAACAAAACATTTTTTTTTTTTTAAATAAATGTGACGTCACGACGCTCCATTTTCCGCCTGCAAAACGAATAGTACTGCATAATAGGGATAACAACAAAATTTATTTTTGCTTGCCGTCAGGATTGTTGAAAAATATTAAAACACGTATTTTATTGTGTAATCTTTAAATTAAGGCGATACATTGAGTTAAAATATTACATGACGTCACACTTTTGTACATTTTCTTCAAAACTGACGTAGCGAGCCCCCACTCCTCACCTTTAATGCCTATTATCTAAGCTATTTCTTGTTAAAGTGAAGTAAAAAAAATACACATCTTATATTTCTCTATTATCTGACTGACGGATTAAATAGATTTTTTTAACCCAGTAATCATCCTTATTTGTTGATATATAAGCTACCGTTTCCAACGTATTTCATTTTCGCTACGACTGTCAAGTAATCAATTATCTGTGTGCCTTGTCTGTAATAAATCGTTTCTCTCTCGAATCTAGTTGCCAGCGGTGGCCGAGTTCTCGTCTGGTGAGACGATGGGTCACAGCGCGGATCGCTTAGCGGCCGCCTTCAACGCGTCGCGCGCCGAACAAGACGAGTACGCGCTCCGGTCGCACACTAACGCGCATAACGCCCAGCAGAAGGGATACTTCACAGACCTCATACCCGTCAAAGGTATGTCTCGCAAATTGCTAATGCGCTGGTACCTTGTCTAAATAGCACCAGCGTAACGTCATTTGAAAATAAAAAGTATAGACAGCAAAAAATTCAGGTGATTTTTTTTTATTAATTATTACAATATTTATGAATAATCCCCAAAATATTGTTAAAATAATTTTATTGTTAATTTACTGCACTTGATTTTTTAAAATATCATATACCATCCTGTGCCCCCCCTTCGCTGTCTCATATACTCCTAATCTGAGCAAGTTATGTGATGTTATCTTATATTTATTTATATTTTCTATATTCTAGTAAAGTATGAGTGATATGTCTAAAAATATATAATATTTATCAGTCGACGGCAAAGATGGTCTAGTGGATAAAGACAACGGTATCCGCGTGTCCACTCCGGAACAACTCGCCAAGTTGAAGCCCGCCTTCATCAAACCACATGGCACCGTCACCGCTGCCAATGCATCATTCCTGGTAACTAACTAACTTACTATACCTCGGTCGCCTATCAGGAAGAATTTCGCACGTTGACGTTTGTACTCCGATTACCTTAATTAGTACCTTAATGAGGTCGGGATTCAAGCTTTACCATGACCCGCACGCAGTCCCAATCTTAACCCAATAGAGAACATTTGGGAGAACCTTAAAAAATGTGTCCCAGCAAGAGTACCAGTTCGTACGACTGTAGGAGAGCTAAAATCGGCTGCAGTAGAGGAGTGGCACAATATTCCCCAATCAGATATTCAAGACATTATGGATGGATTGACAAACCGGCTCCAAGAAGTCATAACGGCCAGAGGTGGCAACACCCCCTATTAATTTTTTTTTCTTTAATTGCCCCATTATTTTCATAACCAAAATTTTAAAATTTTCATTGATGATTTTCAAAAAAATTTTGATATTTGGTATGCATCCTTTAATATTATATTTTACAATATTTTTGTTAGTAGAAAGTCATTATATTTAAAAAAATATTATTTATTTCCTTATAAATCAACCTAGGAACACCATATTTATTACCAAAGAGCAGAATAAACTTACGTTTTTCAAATTAAAATAAGTTTTTCTGTTCTGAAGAACAAATTTGGTTTTGTGGGTTACATGTTTGTTTCCAGCATCGAATTATATTAACATTTATGAACCTTCAACTAAAAAATTATAGGGTTCCTAAAAAGTACCTAAAGGGTAAAAGGGGAACTTTATTAAGACTCGATCCGTCTGTCACCAGGCTATATCTCATGAACCGTGATTTTAGACTGTTAACATTTTCAAAGTTGATATATTTCCGTTATCGCTATAACAACAGCTAAATAATCGTACAAAATTAATATTTAAAGGGGCTCCCACACAACAAACGTGATTTTTTGGGCTCATGAACCCATCGTGCGCGATTGAGATTCACTTAGTCAATTTATTTAAATGGATAATGGATAAATTAATTATAACTAAAATTTAAAAATCGTTTTTCTGTTTAGTGATGTCCATGTCAAGATGTTATAGATGATTTTGTGTGATAATTCAGACTGTCACTTAATAGATATTTATGTATGCACACACAGACTGACGGTGCGTCTGCATGTCTGGTAATGTCGGAGGCTAAGGCAAAGGAGCTCGGCCTGAGGCCTAAAGCGTATCTGCGAGACTTCCTCTATGTTGCACAGGTAAATACTATTTAATTGATTAATATTAATCTACTGTAATGTCGTTGTTCTGCTTGATTATGAATGAATAATTACTTAATGGTATAGTAAAATTGTCATAAAAACACATATAATTAGAAACATAGAAGGTAACAATCTCTACCAGGCTTCCTTTGGTTAAAATAAACTATACTGATTTAATAATGAAACTGCGGGCTAGTAAATACAAAACAGAACACAATTTCAGAAAGACGAATCCAGCTTAAGGAAATGACTTCCGTGATTGTGGGCATTTATTTCCAGGCAGTGATTTTCACGGTTTAATAACTTATTTATTATCCCTCAGGACCCCGTAGATCAGCTGTTGTTGGGTCCCGCATACGGCATCCCCAAGATCTTGGACAAAGCCGGTCTTAAAATGAACGACATTGACTCCTGGGAGATCCATGAGGCGTTCGCTGTAAGTTATCGATTTGATTGATTGAAAATTCTTAATGCTGAGCTACTTTACTGTTAAGTTTATTTAACTTTGAGCTAGCCAAAATTTTTGTTTATACTTGTTTTATTATAGTACCAGTAATTATTGCTTGATATTTTCAGGGTCAAATCCTGGCTAATCTAAAAGCGTTGGATTCAGACTGGTTCTCGCAGACTTACTTGGGACGTCAGTCGAAGGTAGTATATTTATGTTAAAGATATATGTATTATCTAAAGCTTAATTGAAATAAGGAATCCTGAGGAAAGCAGAAGTAAAATGGGGATCAGATGCAAGACAAGTCATGAAAAATTAAAACCAAATCTACAATGAGTATAATAATATTTTTAAACTCACACGATTATAATTATAATACAATGAGTATATTTATAAAAATATATAAAACGGATGGTCTGTGTACAAAAAGAATATAATTACACTTATATAACAATATGTAAGGTAATATACAACAATAATTTTAAACACTGTATCTGAAATATACATATAGCATTCCTGAACTCTGTATTCAGGATCAAAAAAATCCTTAGAACTTCATTTTCCGCAAAGATTAAAGTATATATATATATATATATATATATATATTCAGTTACGATGGGCGATTATTACTTAAAAAAAATAGTCGATTGTTCAGCTTAGTCGATAAAAGTCGATTACAATTGTTGTTAACAACTAAACCTTGTGGCAGCAGCGGGCGACTTTGACACGCAGCGGCTACCGTAATTACTTATTCGATTAATTTCTAGCGCAGTGCCATATTACTATACCCGTACGTACTACTGTTATTATGTGATTGGCGCTAATACGTTATTTAGTTGTCTGTTTAGTATACAATCCACTGATTTGAGGGTACATCCATTCGATCGTCGCAATGTAGTTGTTACTTATCTACACTATCGAGCGACGAATAATGTTGAAATATCATACAAACAAACCTTGAAACGTACTATTGCTAACATACATCTTTTTAGGGTTCCGTACCGAAAGGGTAAAAACGGGACCCTATTACTGAGACTTCGCCGTCCATCCGTCCGTCTGTCACCAGGCTGTATTTCATGTTTTTTTTATTTTTTATTATGTTACTTCTCTTTCTTGTTATAAATAATAATATAAACACTAACTAATTATCAATAAAGTAAGCAAACAATCAACGCAACACCATAATATTCCGCGCAGTTAACCGACCGCACGCGCGTAACACGTGCGTACAGGTAGTAGTTAAGACGATTGTTATACGAATAATGATGACAGGGAACTACTAAATGGACAATCGAATGCGCAGTAACACAATTTTCGATTCAGTCGATTGTTTTTTTTTTTTGCAACAATCGCCCATCGCTAATATATTTATTGCCCGGTTTCGGTCATTTAAGCTATCAACTATTTTATTCTTCCGATTTTGACAATCGAGGGGCAAAAGTATTCTCTGACATGATCACAGATCTTATTTGGGTTATATATATAACGGCGGGTAGTCCGAATGGGCTATTAAGAAGCCCAAATAGATCGTCCATATCGGAGGACTATCTTTAAAATAACTCTGCAGGCGTGGTACCAACGTGGATTTGATCCACTTTATCACTTTTCATACGAAAATGTAACGAGATGAGCGTGATGTCGTCGGATGTCTTTACTCCTCGGCAATCGGAAACAGAATGTGTGCCAAAATGGCGGCAACTTGCTTTTTATTAACGAACTGTCAAAGTCAGTGCCACCATTCTAATAAAATTAAGGGTATCGATGATCACGCTCTCTTTACAATCGAGTAATTAAGTAATCGAGTAACTAGCAATTAAAATAAAAGAAACTAAATCAAACGATCTTCGTAATGATGATGCGACATATATATATTTTTATTATAAGTAAATATTTTGAAGACTGTTTTTTAAATATAGATCAATATTTGCGTTCCTTTTTTTTGTACACCTTACACTCTGAAGTTGAAGCGCAATGCCCATTAAGCTATCCGTTTGCAGTACTATTCTTATTTGGCTCGTAGTTGTTAAAAATCTAACTGATTGATACTTTTAAAAATATTCACCGTTTAATGATGTTTTGTAGGTGGGCAATCCTGACATGAAGAAGTGGAACGCGTGGGGTGGCTCGCTCTCTATCGGACATCCATTCGCCGCCACCGGGGTAAATATTTAATAAATAACCGTGGATGTTTATCAATGTAATCGGAAACTACTTAACTGAACTGAGAGATCGTGCTGCCTGCTGTCAAATTGAGCACCATTTCCGTTTTTTGTTTGTCGAGTAACAAACTAGGTATATTCAGAAAAATCGGTCGTTGACCTCCAGGTACAGTAGAAATATTTTCGTCCAATGTTAATAGCTAAATAAAATGTGAATATGATTTATAATGTGCTCAGATTCCAAATTAAGTAGTTGGTGTGTTATGGAAATCTGAAACATCAAAGGTATGTTTTATATTTTTTACGTCGACTCGACCGGGAATCGAACCAGGGATCTCAGAGATGGTGACACTTTGAAACCGGCGTGCGTGATAGATATAGGGTATGTTATGAAATATGACGGTTAATTTTTTTTTTTTCAGACCACTCAATCACAACTTTAACGTATAACAAGTTGTGTTAGCAAATTATTAGATTTTTATTTTCTGTCTACATAATAAAGCTTACCTGTTATTAATTTTAACATAAACCTAATCGGGTATAGGTTTAAAATTCGCTTTATCATAAACAAGTTTTGTATGCATATGGATTCTATGTTAGTTTAACTCTATTGATTTAGTAAGGTGTGACTGTAATAAAAATAAAACTATATTATGACTTAAAGATTGATGAGTGACATTTTGTCCCAGGTTCGTTTAGCTATGCACACAGCAAATCGTCTAGTGCGCGAAGACGGTCAGCTGGGCGTGATATCCGCGTGCGCGGCCGGCGGACAGGGCGTCGCCATGATACTAGAGAGGCATCCCGACGCCACCGCCGACTAGACCGCAACCGCCAGGGGACAGACGCTACCAGGGGATTGATACCACCAGGGGATGGATACCAACGCGTCGGCTACATTCTCACTCTATACTTATAGACTGCCCGTGGTTTTACTATTTAGTTTTAAATTTAAAAAAAAAAACCCAAGTGCCCGTTTTTAGCAGACAATTTGTACAGATAGAACTTCAAACATTTTTTCGTGAGTCTTTACTATTTGCCACGGGAAGACTAATTATAATGAGGACAAGGGGATCTAGTTACTTTTGAATTTGGAAGACTCTTTTTTTAATAATTTATTGTAAATAAATTAACTAAATACATTTAAATTATGCTGAGATTGTTATAAACAAGTTATAGTGCAAATATAAATTTTGTTAATGCATGAATGTAAACTACACCAAATAATCATTGGCTTATTGTATTCCTTACTTTCTTTTATTTATTATTCGTTCGTTATCAGCGAAAACCCATTTCTCATTAATTTCAGTTTCATTAAATTTCATAAACAATGAAATTAGTACATGAGGCTCTCGTTGAAACATTGTATTTATTGTGTTGTTGCATGACCCAATTACTATGTTTGTGTAATATTTATTCGAACATCTTTCATAAATTAGTTTTTAGATTTACTCCGTATGGTATAATTTATAGACTAAGGAAATTATAAAATATATATACTTTAATTGGATGTTGCATTTTATTTACCGGTACTAATATTATAAAGATTTGATTGATTGTTTGCATTGAATTAGCTCTGAACTACAAGAACGATTTTAAAAATTTCCTACACCCACCCACTAGGAAGCCACATCAAACGCGGGTGACAAAAGCTATAATTTACACGGCTGAAGTAGCAGGAAAACGGCTTTAATAAATGAAACAAAAGATATTCAGGCAACCGTTTATTTTATTAGTCACCTACGCTTACTAGCAAAGGTCTTTACTCTATGTTTTAATTAATCTATTATATAAAAGATCATCCGTCGATATGCGCGCGCGCCGCTAGACACGATCAATTATTTTATTAACAATTTTTACATAGAAAATAATGCATTATCGACGAAGATCCAACCGAAATTAAACAACTACAATAAAATACAAGAGAAATCAAGAGATTATAAACAATATCGTCTTTAACGTCTAAATTATAATGAAAAAGCTATGCTTTTAAATTTGAAAGTCATGGTACTTATTAAAACTGACAATTATATATATATAAAAATTTGATACACAAGTATCTTTAGTAACATTACATTTGTTGAATGTAGTATGAAAATTAATAAAGAGAAACAAGTTAGAAATCAATTAAAACATGTTGGTAGTAGGCACAGAGAAGAAATTATATAAGTGCCGTACTTTATGTAGATGCATGCAATAATATTATTATCAACCTCCTTTATTACAATCTGTCCTGCGAGATCATACACTGTCATAAAATTGTGATTTATATTCGAGAGAAGAGAAATTATAGATGAATGAAAATGTTCAGTGTTTGGTAGACTTGCTGAAATACGCTTATTATATCAATCAATTGTATCATGATGGTTTGCAATATATAGGTTATAAATTGCCTGAATATAGTATTCGTTAAATGCAGATACAGGTAAAGAGAAAAGTGGCGGAGAAATCATTAGGCTAGCCGATGGGGTAAATATATACAAACAGCATATTCTACAAAATAGAACGTCAAATATTACGTGGAAGTTGCGGTTAACGCAAAGTAGCCAATGACATTACAATTATTATAAAATTTATCAATATCAAAAAATAGGCTATACTGAAATTTTTACAAGAAAGAATATAATTATGTACGAGAAAAAAACTAATATAGTTTAATTTTACAAACAACCTTTGGTTAAGAAAAAAAAACAATAAGATAATCACGTTTTCCAAAAATTAACACCCTAACATATGATGTTGTGTAATTATTGCTCATGGCTTTTAAACTAAAATGAATGATTTTACTAATAGGTATACTATTAAATTGTAAATGATTTTATTAAATGTTTTTCGCTATTAACAGTTTAAAACCTCACACAACAGATTACAAACCGAAGTTGTTTTACGATAATACATTGACACATAATTATGTGAGCACCTTGACATGATAAATAATTTGAGATCTACTATTATAGTTACAATAAAAATTAATGCTCAAATGCAAACCATATATATCGAGTACCTCTCCATAGCCCGGTGTTATTTGGCAAAAGCCTCTATAAAGACGTGCTCCCAAATATCTTGTACTTTGCACACACATACACAAATCTAAAAAAATAGTATATTTTTAATCATTGCCACATAATTTCTAATAACTATTTATAATGAAATTATCAGTCCCTATATACTAAAGAAATATATACTATATTTAATACATATACCATCATATATTCAAAAATAACAGTACACACAAAAAATATATATATTAGCCACTCGGCACTAGACCACAAACCAAAAGATATAGGCACTGATCACTATTATAATCTATATATCTTTTTTTTAATATGTACAATACTTAATTTAAAATAATCAATATATTTAAAACTAGCATTTATAGTTAACTGATATCAATAGTTATTTCATTAGCTAAATCTATTATATTCGTTTCGAATAAAACACACTTGCGCTCTCGTGAAATAAGTCAAATTATAAGAACAATAGAGTTCACGATTTCTTTGTAGTGTTCGACTAAATGTATATATTATTTATGGTACTACAGCAAAACACAACTAATATGTCTCACCAATGTACCTACGCATGAGGATGAACTTCAAAACACGGCAAACGTCAACCAATCAGAATTATTTAAATAGCGAAAGACGCCCGCCACGTGTCAGTAATGCGGACTCTAAACGCGTTGTATTTTACGCCATATGGTTATCGAGAAAAGGCTCACAATAAACTTTAATCATATATTCGATCATTGATATATTCGAAGATCCACAACGCACAATTAGTTGAGTTTTAGTGTAGATATCATATATGCAATGTGAGAATTGTGTATTAATAGACAGTTACAAATAAATTAACACCCACGTGTCGTTTATTGATTTGGCCAATAACGGCAAGAAAGTCATTTATTTAAAAGGTGCAATCAATTGTAGAAGAGATGTTTCTCTAAAAATGATTTTCTATTCTCTTATAAGGTCTTATTCAGAATAAAAGAATGTTCTGAGTCATCTGTTTCAAAATAAGACAATGATCATAGAGGCGTTGAGTGTTGTGTTATGGAACAAATGAAGTACAATAAAGAATTGCAAAGTTATGATTGAATATATTAGTATACGAATTTTCGTATACAAAATTATTACCTTATACCTGCGGTACAAGTTTGTAAACAAACTCGAACTTAGTTATAAAATAAGGTAAATAAATTTAAAAAGAAATGGTACGTCATGATTACATTATCATAAGATTGTGTTATTGTTATGATTTGATTATATTATATTTCTATCAAAGAAAAGTCGAATTCTTCTACAATGACACGTTTTACAATTATTATATTTACTCAAACATGGATTTTGTTTAGATTTCAATTTAAGTTTTTAAATCTTTTAGTTAGATATCTAACTCATGACTAATGTTATATTTATCATATTGATATTTATCTTTAAGAAAAATGCAAACCTCACCAGTATCAGATGAAAGAGAAAAGATCCAAATTCTTTAAGAAAAAAATAAATCACGAGATAAAGAATTACCAGTGTGCACGTAGCCTAACTATATTACATTATATAGAGTTCACACTAACGACGTCTGTTTTGTAGTATAAAAACAATAAAACAAATCGAGTCTAAACACTAACTCAATCTCTCGACATTGAAAAATAATGGAGCCATGACGTCACCACTCATAAACAAACCAGTAAAGGAAATCGAGCTTGTTTACACGTAAATATAATTGGCTATTTTTATTTATCCGTCAAATAATTTCAAATTAATATAAAGATCTTCATTGAACACCATTTATAGACAAAGTTCGATGAGTATACAGATAAATCTGTACGACAATAGGGAATATTGAAGGTCAGCGTAGATAGCATTACTATCACATGTAGAAATCAAACTTTTCTTTTTTTTTACTTTTAGAAATGAATGATTCGGTTTCTTCTTCATCCAAATATGCAGCAATGAGGTATTATTGAATAAAATCACACTCTTTCCTGATATACATTTAAAAAAATATCAAAATGTTCTTATACACTCACTATAACTTTACTCTTTGTAAACTACTCTGATGAATGACATTTGTAATTTAAAAAAACTGCTTACTACATGTGCTAATGCTACAAACTGGCGACAGAAAGTTGCAGTAACGTCCTGTTGATTCCGAAATACAAATCGTCGCTTATGTAAGAATACTACGTAAGTTACAAATTGACCATAATGACATCTCATATAATGCTTAGGCCCTAAAGAAGCTTTTGATTACGGAGATCTGAAATAACTGAAGTCCACAACACCCAGACCCGTGACAGTACATATGGAAAAGTATATTTTTTACATTGACCTAACTCGGAACTCAGGCTTGACAACATAATCCGCCTTATTATAAAACGAGAACTAACTATAGCACTATTTTTTAACCACTATCCGACTAAATTAAGTCAACACATTTCAACTTCATGTTTCTTCTTCTGTCATTGTCAATTTACTTTAGGCGGCCAATAGTTTAAACTAAATACTAACTTTAGTCCTTGTTTTATTATTATAAAACAAAAAGCATGCGAGCTCCTTTGCTACAGAGGTTCATGTTTTATTTTATACCTCGTTGAATATAATTACTTCAATGACTCGATTGCCATTTCTACTACAAAAAAAGGACTTAAAAATAACTTTTTCTTTTAAATATTTGCCTGCTAGCTAAAGTGTCTCTTCAACAATTCTTTCAAAACAGAAACGAGATTTATTACTTATTAAAGTAAGGAATAAGTAATATAACTTTAAGGATGTACCTGCGCAGGACGATAACTTCCAAGCGAGGCAAATGTCGATTAATCGAGCAATTCACCGATACCCGAAGTTTGAGTGAGAAGGACACCTGATGAATTGTATTTTACACTTTCAGTGTTATTAATAAACAAGGTTTAGCGTTGGAGTAAATTTACGCTGAAACTGCACTTAGTGTTAGTCAAAATTCATATTAGTAAACACGGACTTAGGTTAAACTAGTACGAGGTACTTCGGGAGTAATATTTACTCCTAGAAAGTAGTAGGTTTGCTTATTCTCCATGTAATATGAATCTGGACTAATACTAAAATAGCAATTATAGCGTAAATTTACTCTGACGCTTAGTCTTATTAATAACACTATTTATGTTTATTGAAATAGAACTCATAATAAATTTTAATTGTTCATACAGCTATCGTGACAAACAAGATTCACCATGAGCCATGTTACTTGGTACTGTAACGTCCGTGTACATTACTATAGGTAGGTTTACTCTCCGGACGATTTATGGTCAATGCTGGCCGCTAATATTTTTAATGATTACTTTTTCCGCGTTCGAATTCGCGTGGTCGTGTTTTGTTGGTTCATAATCTTCCTTTCTGATCGAGACCGGCATAGAGTCAGTATCTTAGAATTTACATATAAATTATTTTATGTATATTATTAATAAAATCGAGAGTTTGAAGAATTACACCCAGGTTTTCATTGAGCAACCCTAAGCTACTTCTGATTCCTGATATTTTATGAATTCTAACCTTTGACGAACGTTAATCATTATCATAAATGATATAATCAGCTTCTAAAAAACATTAAGTTACGCAGCAATGTTATATAAGCGGCGATTTGTTGTATACACTGTATCAAGAATGATGAACATCGAGCGAAAATGTATTATATAGTTACGCAGATAGAGTCCAGTTTACCAAAAGCGTACGGGATTATGCGAATGAACAGTCAACCAGCGCGTCCCGCCGCCACTTCCTGTCGAACAGAATAACATATGACTATATTCACAGATCAATACTTATATTATAAAGAGGAATGATTTGATTGTTTGTTTGTTCACTGGACCGCTTTTAAAAATTGTTTCACTTACGTGAAGCTATATCAAATGCGGTGAACATAGGCTATATTTTATCCCGAAAAACAGCAAAATAAAGGGCAACGAAAATGGAAGTCTGTATAGCGAATTAAAAGATTACCATAGTAACCATTGTTTCAAATATTGCTGTATAATATCAACGCCAAATAAGCAACTCAGAAGTATTTAATATAAGAATATACCTAATGTATCGTACACATATTGTTTTTGATACAATCATGTATAACATAATTAATATTTATGGATCTTGCTATGACCTTATCAATAGTATTTATATGTAGATATGCATTTTCTTTCTATGGTGGTTGTTTGTGCCAAAATAAAATACTAAAAAAACATTAAATTGATATATCTTCTATTTGAAATCGGTTAAATATAAAATTTTCAAAGTGAAACAAGTTTATTTGTAACAGTTCCCAAACCTCAAAGCATTGTATCGCTTCACGGCAGTGAAGAAGTGGTGATGATTTGGGTGATGGTTACTGGAAGTCTGCGAGTGACTGCCGCCAGGTGGCGTGGAAAGGTATACGCAGCAACTTGAGCTTGGTGTGAGGCAGCTGAGCTGATAGTAAACGCTGGAGCGTCGGCAAAGGAAGAATCTCCACCTGTGTATAATAATGAAGTTATTTCATGGATAATCTACACTAATATTATGAAAAGGAAAGATTTTATTGTTTGTTTGTTTGCATCGATTAGACTCTGAAACTACTGGACCGGGTAAAAAAAACATCGTATAGGTAGCTAAATCATACGCTTGTGACGACATAGGCTATAATTTAAGAAGGCGTAGTAGCAGGTATAAATCTTTGATGTGCTTTCTTTCAGCTGTTTGGGTGGATTGCCTGAACATTAATGAAAATACGCTCTCTAATGAGGAAGTATTTAAAAAACACATTAGTTCCCGAAATCAAACTAGATGTCGATTTCTCCATGACAACCTTTCCGGTTTTCTTTCATATTTAAAAGTAAATTAGTTTTCAAAACTCAATTAACAACTCATATTCTATTTGTACTTTTCGTATTTGTATTGATATCTAAGTTTCGAACTTTTTAAATTTCAGTTTTTTAATATGCTAGTTAAAAGGAACGGAAATTACTGTCTTTGGTCCATTCGTTTCCTGCAAAAATCAACTTTTGCTAGAGTCGCCATCTAGTGGAGGTGCTTTTATAATGCTTTCGTTTTTTTTAAATACCTTCTCATTGTGAAAAAGTAACAAGTGCGTGAAAAATCCAACAGTCCTGTTAGGGCCTGCGTAGCTCAGTGATTAAAGCAGCCGCCCATATTACGAAAAGTCATGGATTTTTAAGCATTCTTCATTAAGAATACTAGGGCCTTGTTGGTGACCTGCTACGCGAATCCTTTTAGCATGTTCATTTTCTAAATTCACAGTTTTTAAATAAATGTCATTCATACCTTTAGACTTGCGAAAACAAATGTAAGACTTCAGTGAGAATACAAATATACGGCTGTGACGGTGTCCGTGGTTTCCTTTTAAGTTACCTGGTAGCCAAATCTCTATCTTTTTTATACTATTCAGAAAAATTGATCAAATACCTAATATTTTAGGAGTTTCCGGTATTTAGTCAGTTTCTAGCAATCATTTATATAGGATGTGGTGCCGTTGACTGTACATACCTGTGGCGGGCCGTGCACGTGCCTGTGGTCCGGCAGCCTACAGCCAGGCACAGGTTTGAGCACGGGGATGCACTCGCCGATGTCGCGTCGCTTGTCCGCCGACTGCTCGCACTGATCTATGAATAGCTCCGTCACGCGGAGCAATTCTATAGTCACGCCCCACATCAGATGAGTCAATGTGTCCTTCAGCCTCAGCACGCCACTCAATACCTAAACAATTTTTATATATATATATAAATACAGGCAGTCTTCCTTCTTATGGCATATTAGCTTCTCGAAATAAGTGACGTAAATCGAAACGACTAATACGAGACATATTTTTTCATATGCGGATATATGATGTACGTATGTAATATACATGTAAAGCCCAAGGGTTAGGTTCCACAAACACAAAATTATATATAGTACGTCAGTCAGATAAAAGTAAAACATTATAAAGTAAGGCTCGCTGCGTCACAATTGTGTAAAAAAAGTACAAACGTTTGACGTCATTCGACGTTTCAACTGAATAATGTATATTTTTAATTAATTATTTTTTAACCGGTACAACAGTCAAATTATTATCAAAATTAATTAAACACAATTATTATACAAAATTAACAAATTTACTAAAATTACCATGATCATTATCGTTTCCAAGATTAAATGTCACAATAATAAATGTCAAGGTAAGGAATTTCGTAATTAATAACGTCAAAACAATAAAAGAGCTACAAATCATATAGCAATTAAACTTTATGTTATGTTTTACTTATATAGCATTGGACACTTACCTGTTTGTTAGTAGTGGCCGACTGCGACACGTACGTCGGTATGATCAGTAACCGTTGAATATTCTTACACTCAGCAAGAGCATCATCAAATCCAACCTAGCATGTGACAAAAACAAAGCTAATATTAATGAATTTTACCTGAGAGCAATAAATTACATTCAAAAGCGAAAATTTATAACGAGAAGGTTACAAGGTTTACAGTTATTATTACCCAACTACCGGCCAATAACATTAATACCTATTCTATCAAAAGTTTGTAAAAAAAAATGTATGAAAAGCTTACTTCATTCTTTAAAAACGTTCTAATTTTAATAACACATAATCTACTGTTATTAAAATTATAACATAGTCGAATTAGAGGTACAGCTTTGAATCTTATAAAAATCATACCTTCAAATAAGACACGGTCGGTATAAATTGCTCAACTATAGATGTAATACATAAATATTCAGTCAGAATTCAAAGAAAACAAATTTGGCGTTCCTCAAGGCAGCATCCTTGGTCCGCAATTGTTTCTGATTTAAGTAAACTGCGTCATGTAACAAAACACAGATGTATCCTATTCGCAGATGACAGATCAGTGATAGTTACAACCAAAAGTTATACAAAGCTTAATTTAAATGACCAAGAGCAGGATATTAATAATACAATAAATCACTAACTAATCAATTGAACGTGTAAAACGTGTACATAAAGAAAATATTATAGTATTTATGAATGTCTCAAAAACATTTCATATTTGAGGATATTTTCAATTATTCAAGGCTAGGGCCCGAGTCCGAGTTGACGTTGACGAGGGGCAGGTGGGCGAGGGCCCGCAGCAGAGCGGGAGAGTGTTGCACAGCGACAGTGTAGTGTTACCTTGACGTCCACGTTGACGAGCTCGAGCCTGGTGAGGAGGGGCAGGTGGGCGAGGGCCCGCAGCAGGGCGGGCGCTGCGCACTGAGCGGTGCCGCGCTCGAGACGCAGCCGCCGCAGCTTCACGAGAGTCCCGAGGACATCAGCGAACTCAGCGCGGAACGTGCACTCGCCAAGCTCCAACGACTCCAGGTTGGACAGCTGACCTATCACGTCGCACGCACACCAACCTAAATCCTACACAATTGGAAACATGTATTTTTATCACGGTGCAGCTTATCGTTCCTTTTTTAGAGTTCCAAAGGGTAAAAAAGAAAACCCTGATACTAAAGAGTCCGCTGTCCATCTAGGTTGTATCTCATGAACCATGACAGACAGATGGAATTATCATAGATGATGTATGTAAATACAAAGAAATGGAATAACATAAATATTTAAGGGTAATATTTCTTGCGTTTTTATAAATTGTGCTATGGAACCGTTCGTGCGTGAGTTCGATTCGCACTTGACCAGTTTTTTTATATTCATATAATGAGCTCTCTTATTGTCTATGAAACCGAGATAAACATATACCTAGACTGTTAATTCAATATATGTATCCTTATGCATCAAACCATATTATTTAAAAAACAAATAATGACAAAATGATATGGCATATTTGAATATTTTTAATATTAAAATTTCTTAATTACGTTAAGAGATCTATAAATTATGCTTCTTACAAAAACAGAAATATCAAAGTTAAATTAGGATTTTGTTTATAAAAAAAAGGTACTAACAAATAAACATTACAGACTGGGCTAACCAAATATTACTTCCTGTTTACAGTCTTCCTGTTTATTCTAAGAATGGGAAAAGGTGTAGTCGTTAAACATTTTCACGTTAATTTGTGAATATACCCAACAATCCCATATTTCAACTTCTAAGGTTCTCTATCACAACTTACTTATTTATCACAATTAATTTATTACCAAATATTTACCGAAATTTATTTAACAGCTAATATAGGGTACAACAGGCGGCCTTACTTTGAATAGTATTCTCTACCTGTCAACCTTTGGGTAAATACAAAAACACTAGGGCGACATAAAGCTAACTTAACTACAAGCAAGTTGATACATATTATACATACATATGAAAATATATAGACACAAACATAATATACAAAGTACGATAATGATTTATATAATGTGAACAAGCATTAAAAATCTTTTTAAATATAAATTTATTGGGAAATCACCTGATGGAGTTCAGTAATAAGATTCCAGTAGGCCCCTTTACATAATTATCATGGTTTAAATATAACAGAACACCATTGTTTACCTTGATGGAGGTGAGCGATAGATGCGTGAGTGCGGTCAGATGTGCGATCGGTTGCAGATCCCGTGCTAGAGCTAATCCGGCCATGCTCTTCAGTCTGAGCTCCTGTAGTCTAGTGAGGGCCGCTAGTGGTCCGGGGTCTAGAGCCGCGTCCCTAATAGCGAGAGCGGACAGACCGACTAAACCGTGCAGACCACAGACCGCTTCTACCGCGCGAGCGGGACAGCGACATAACTCTATCCTGTACCGTACACATCACGTATTAATATCAGGGTTCCAATAAACCCGAATTTAATGTACAGAAAACAATTCTAATCAGTGCACAATTATTGTTGTCCCATACAACAAACGTGATCTTTTGAGCGAGTACGACTCGCACTTGGCTTGTTTTATATGAAATATAGGTCTGATTATAAAAAAGGGTAAATAAATTTTATTATGTTAATTATTGTTTTAGAATAAAGTATTATCTACATATATTTTTCAACATTATTTCATTTTCGAAGCGGTAAATTCTAAATTCTAAAACGCAATGCTATTGCATAACTTTAATAGAATTTTGTCATTCTCTTTTTTTAAGTCGTTTATATGGAACTGCCCTTATTTTCATTCTTTCATTCACACAATCTTAACATCCTCCATTTTCATACATTATTAAATTTGTTCAAAAAAATTACACTAACCTTTCGAGTGTGTCTACCGTAGGGATATGTTCAGCGAACTGTTCCCAAAACACAGTGTCGTTCTGAGGCAGCAACATCTTCCTCAGATCCAGCCACTTGGTGCCGTGACTCTTCAGCGCCTTACATAACCCACCCCAATCACTTACCTGGTTCAAGGCAATAAAATCAACTTTTTAATAAAAAAGATAATAGCTAGAATGTAATTAAAGTGTGTTGGTGTAGTGTTTAATAATTATCAAGGTATATTTATCGCGATAATAGGGATGATGACTGGTTAAAAAAATGCAATTCTATTTAGTCTGTCAGTCAGATAATAGAAAAATATAAGTTACGTATTTTTTTTTACTTCAATTTAACAAGAAATAGCTTAGATAACAGGCATTAAAGTTGAGGAGTGGGTGCTCGCTACGTCACAGTTGAGTAGAAAACGCACTCTAACGTGACGTCATGCGAAATTTCAACTCAATGTAACGCCGTAATTTTATGATTACGAAAAAAATAAAAAAATACGTGTGTTATATTTTTTAACACTCTACCTGACGGACAAACAAACAAAAATTAGTCATCATCCCTATTATCCCTCCGATCCCTGATAGAAAATGAACAAAAGTGTAACTTAATACGCAAAAATAATCTTCCACAATTAATGAATTTACTCAATTTACCTGGCAGACAAAGAAAAAAACTGAAGTTATTTAATAAATGTCACATACATATAATGATTTACCCAAGACACTTTTAAAAATAGCTGGATATAGACTACTTTCATCGTGGCACCATTGCACGCGAAAATACTTACGTGTGAATTTTTCATCCGCACATGCCTCCATAGCGCGGGTGTCGACGCCATCTGTTTCCAAAGCTTACACACTCGAGCACAGTGCGCCAAATCGCGCATACCCAAGTATTGAAATATCTGTTGACAAAATAGACTCGTTAAAAGATCGGTCATAGGATGGGTGACCAATAATTTATTATCTTGGGTTCTTCCATGTTTCAGAAAGCACTTAAACCCGTTGGTTCTGGCTATACATCACCATGTTCACCACCTTTCATATGGACATAAACAATACACTAAATAAATTCAGAATTGGATTATTTAAGTTACGTAAGTTACGTAAATTGACTTGTAATGGTATTTTTGACATTAACTTGATTTGTAATAGATAGTACGTCTTTGACATATATACCTATTCGTTTTATATTTTATCTGTAATTATATTCTTAATGTAAAATTTTAAAATGTGATATTTACTTATATCCACATTTGCATACAGTTTATGACATAAGCACTGTACACCTTCAGATAATTTGTGTCTTGTTGATTGCCCTATTCATATATACAAATAAAATTATTTTTCGCAAAATGTTGAATTAAGAGTACGATATGCCGCGCCGTTGTATTATATCCATAATTAAACTCACAGTGACTTCTTAATTTTGACACACAATGAAATTACTAAATTACTTACAAAATCACCATTGGCTCAATTGCCTTTGTTATAATGAGTCTTATTTCAAAAAACATAAGGTGTTAATTACAAAGCAATGATTTCCGTATCACTCATACTCGACGGAGTCCGGCGTGTAACTAATAAACTTTTGTGTGTAAAACATCTGGCTTCGAAACTTATCCCTCTTTATGGTATATCGTTGTGCCATACTAATTGTATCTTATAGCAACTTAAACTTACCTGTACAACGACATTGTAGTTATTCTGTTTCGCTCTCTCGTAGAATCCGGTGAAGTGGTCAGTGTCGTCAGGCTTTGAACGGCCCCTGCGTCGAGGGGACGAGGCCGCGGGGGGAGAGGTCGCGCCGTTAGCTATCCGACCGCCGCGACGTTTGTCCTCGCTACATAACAACAAATGTACAGTCGGGGAACTTGACTGCCGTGCCCATGTACAGTCAACAGCACGTTAGCTAATACAAAACTGTTCAATTTCTGCACTTGATTTTAAACCTTAATACAATGAGGGTAACCGGACAATTCGACATATTGTGGTAACTGAAAGTGCAGCCACCTGTCAAATAAAGTAGATTGATGTACAATGTTAATAAAGTTCTTTAATGTCCGAGTAGAAATTGACCGGCTGTACAAGCAAGAACACGTAAGATAACCTAAAGTTATCAAAATTGTTAGAGCGTACGTAATGGCACACTTTCTGATCCCAGTTGTAACCTAATCTAACCCAACCAAACGTTTTTTACTGTTTTATAAACAAAAAATCTAAAAATAGACGATTTACGAAAAACCTTTTTTTTTGCAGAAATTTTCTATATTTTTTTCGGTTGCCTGTTACGTACACGCCAAAGAACAAATTATTCCAAAAAAAGAATAAGAAAACAACAACGTAGAACATTAAATTTCAAAATATCTTTTGAAAGTTTAGCGCTCTAATAACCCATACTTTTTCATAAAATGTCGAAACCAGTATTATTCTATTGAAATAATTTAGGTAAATTTATTATTACTACTATAACTAAACTCCACAACTGAAGAAAACATTTATTAAAAACTTACCACAAAACAACGTTACTTAGCTCACAAAAACAATATAAAAGATCCACTTACCTTGTCATCCAGTACAGGATTAAAAGAGATAGATAGAGCTAAAAGGTAAAAAAATATATACACAACTTTATTATTATAAAACACATCTGTTGATACATTTATAGAACACATGATTATATACACGAGTGATAGTATAATTTAACAATCAACCTTATGCCAATAGACTTCTATTTATTGCAATTTATTGAACTCTCGACAGATTAAAAAAAAGTTTCATGAAATACATTATAACTACAATTTAGTACAGTAGGCAGTATGTCAGGTTTCTGCAATGAAGCAAAATCACATAACTCTTTAGCTTTACACTGATATCAAAACAATTTTTTCAGATGGATCGCGCCAAAGGAGGCGAATGAAACATTTTTTTTTTCACACTTATTAAATGAATGACAGGTGACATTAGAATTCTAACGATTCAATGTGTATATGTGAACTGTATTTTCATATAAAGAAGTCCTCCTTTAAGGCTTTCCATTCTGATTAGCATGCATTTATTAATGGTTATTTAGGGTTGTTTTGACTGTCAAAAGAGGTGTTAATGTGCAAAATATATGATTTTATTTTAAAGACATCCGTTTTCAATAATATTGAAGTAAGACATTAATCATTGCTGTTGGGTTATCATATTGTAAATTAAAAACATTACATTACTTTCTTATTTAGTCCATACCAATTTGGTAACACGCGCATGTAGGGTACCAAGAATCAAGGGCGTACCGAGAGGAGACGGTGGAGTGAAGCTGCCCACCTTACCCTTATATATGTTTTACCCTTGTATCAGGAACATAATGTGAACAGATAAATTTCTCACTGCAATGTACTATTATTATATTTGATTAAAAAATCCACTGGACTGCGAAGGGTTCGTTTCCCATCTCAGGATGCCAGGGACCAAGTGAATTTTTTAAGCATTTTGTATTAAGAAAATGTACCATTGATTGTAAACAGTAACGTAACTAAATACTCGTCCAGTTAATCTTAACACTCTTCTATCTATTTCTGACAAAGCCGGCTTTCTATGTCTTTGCAAATTTATAAAAAACATAATAATAAATTATAACAACTATTGCAAAATCCTCTTTTAAGGATTTATAAAACTATTGCAGTTGTAGTGATGTTTGCTTTTGTGTTGTCCTTTTTTTAGTAAAAAAAGAACAATCTCAAGGAAGGTCTGGTTAATTCTAACTACCGTTCAGTTTCTCGAGTCAAGTGTCTCTCTCACTACGGGATGTCAGCAGAATTTCTGTGTATAACGGAACAAGGCCATAACTATGAAAAAAAACTAAACACAAAATTGAGATAAAATGTATCATATCACTCCGATTGGCGCATCCCAAGCTTGTGTATCACAGCTTGGACACACTACCACACCTCTTTAACACTTTCTACCCTTGTGTCAAGATTATTCTGTCTAGACGCTCCCATCGACCAACCGTAATAACAACATAAACTGCGCTAATAACATTCAAAACAAAATATGATTAATTCAATTTGGTTTAATTTACGTAAAAATTAAAAATCTACTTAATACCTCTATTGACAGCCAAAACTAATTTGATATTCCACACAGATAACATTGCGAATGGAACATCCACAAAATAATGAGAAACAAGTACTATACATCGCTATTTTAGTTCAAAAAGAACTTTTAATTAAATTATTCATAACAGATTCTTATAACTAAAACCTTATCATATAGTAATTTTAATTTAATCCAATTAATTATACCTCCATGTCACCCAACACAATTTTCCTTTGGTCTCAAAGTTCTATAGAAACATTAAAGCCTCTAATAGACGACAAGTAAAATGTCTATTTATTTGAGTCTGTTTATATATCAAACATAAAGATTTATCGTCTGTTAGAGACCTAAAATTGTTTAACAGCCAAATAACAGCATACAATGTCAATTAAATCGCCATAAATTCATAAAGCATGGAAATACAGTAATATCACAATAATAAACATTAATTTCAGGGCAGTTTAATTCATTTGCCGAAAGCCTTTCCGTTTTATTATAAAACAGATTAACTATAGGATAAACCATTATCTGACCAGAATAAGTTAACACGTCTCACTTTGACATTTTCTCTTTTGTCACAATCGAACAGACAGCCAATTGTTTAAAGTAGTACTATCTTTAGTTCTCGTTTTATAAGACGGAAACCGAAAAAGGCAATTTTTTCTTAAGCAAATGTCAATGACAGGAGAGAAAACTTCAAATTGAGATGTTTTAACTTATCTTGGTCAGATAATGATTTAAAACCTGGTCCAAAAGCTTGTCTTAGTTTTGTAATAAGACAACTTAATTTGCAACTTAATTTTTAATTAGAACTTTATTTAAAGTGGCAACTTAATTTTTTAGCTCAATCAGAAGGGAGGGATTAGCAAAATGTAAAACCTGATTAAAGATCACAAAAAACTTAACTTCATTCTAGATTGTAGATTACATTAACGTGAACATTTACATAAATACGTTTTGGAATCTTAAAAGAAATTATCTATCTCCGTCTCACTACGCGATTTCGTCCCGTTTCCTCTTCACCTAACGCTCATAAAAAATGTTCTTTACAAGCACACAGATTAATAATGCCGATTTATTATTGTTATACAACTGTAATTTATTGCACTAAACCATATTATTTTTACAAGACCTTACGCCGTGTATTAATTAACTTACAAAAAATGATTACAATATTAAACATAGGATAATAGTCATAATAATTATAAAAGAGGAGCTTTAAGGCAAAACAGTTATTGCGTCCGGTATGAACTATTAGGAACACTATTACAATATTATAGATAGCTTTGATAGTACCTAATTATTTATTTTGACGTGTCAAAATATGATGTTGAATGAACCTAATGATATTGTCTGAAAATATGAAAAGTCACAATTAAAATACATATGGCAATGAGCTAAAGTTACGTTAAAATATTAAAGTGTAATAAATAATTGTGATATTATTTCTCTTGTGTAGTTGATCCATTCATTGATTTCAATCGTCTATCGATATCTGCAATACAAATACTTTCTATAAAAACCTGTTGTAACGCTACAACAACCACGCGTCTGTCATAATCATATGTTATGTTATGTTATGCTCGATATAAATTCGATTCTAATTGATTTGAGGATATTTTATTCGAAGTCTAAAACTTGTATGATGTATAAGTCCCGTTAATTTCTAATGCGCTGGAACCTCGTCTAAATAACACCCGTGTAACGTCATTTAAAAATAGAAAGCATAGATAGCACAAATTAATTATTTAAATGTACATAAATAATCCGCAAAAAGTATTGTTAAAATTAATTTATAATTTATCAATGTATTGCATAAGTTTTTAGAAAAGGTGAAATTTTACGTTAATACTCGTATAAGGTAAAAAGAGCACTCGTCAACCAGTATTTATTTCTGAACGGTACTGATTTTTTAACGCGATTACGTCACCAAAATAGCTCCCAAGCGCGTTAGCAATTTGCGGGGATTAAAAGATAACACCAGAGGGCCAATTCTATTAGATTCGAAAAATTCTGTATCATTCTTGTCGCTTTAAATCCGCGATGATAATATGTGCATTAGAGGCAGTGTCAGGTCCTTTTTTCGTTGCATAATAAATGAGTTTCTTTGGCGTCGCATAGGTTGAAAATAGACGAAATTTTGTTATCGAAGAAATAGAATAGGTCTTCAGGTGTCATGTTAATTCATACGAGTACTAGTTCTAATGTCCATTAGATCAAATAATATAAAGCGAACAGTCGATTACGACTTGCTAAGAGTAGCTCGGCGGCGTAGTAAATAAGCGCCGGACGATCATTGCCGCTAAACAACTTTCGCGAGGGTCGGACACCGGATGGATGTATTATTATTTTCTAAAAAAATATTATCTAGCTCTTCCTTGCTTCTGAGGGCTACGTTAAACCGTTGGCCCCGGAAATTGCAATAGTTAATACCCTTCAATTGGGTCAGCGTAAAGGTTTACGGTCCACCCTCTTTAACTATGGAGGAAGGCCTGAACCCCTGCGGTGGGGACGTAAAAAGGGCTGACAATAAACATTGTATACTCACTGAGTGCGCGTGTTGTGTTGCCGGTGGTATTGTAGGCACGGTTCGTCCCACGACTATGAACCTGCGTCCGTTGAGTCTGACGATGGACTGAGGCAGCGGCGGACGGACCACCTTCTGCGGGGCCGATACCGACCACACTCGCTCCCCACCACCCTCCCCACCACCGCTAGCCGCCTAGTTGGTGCAGACAAACTCGATATTTCACTTTGGAAGTGTTAGAGGGATCTAACACTACTTGCAGCACTTATGGTAGTAAATGTCACTGTCACTTTGACTTTGACGTTTGATTAGTTTCGCGCCAATATACTGACGGGTGGTTATTTATTAAAACTATTAGAATCGACATTGTGTAAATTTTCAATATTCATCTTTATTTTGTTAACACTCAGTACAGTAACGAAGAATATGTGTTGTCATCGATTTCGATTTCAAAAGTACCAAAAAAAACGTTGTTGCTGAGCTTTATAGTTATATTTAAAGCAAGTACAAAAATAACACAATTGATTAGATAAGCTTTTTTTAAAAAAAATAATAGGGTTCAGTTTAGAAATATGTATAAACTATTATAATAATAATATATTTATGGAATCCCAATTACTTCTTACTTTGTATCGCATTTAACTAAAAGCTAGTTAGCATTTAATTTATTTTGTAATTTTATCGAAATTTTCTTAGGGAATTCTTTCATTTGATACCCATAAATTGTACATAAAACGTACGCTGCCTTACGGGCCGTGCGCTACATCAAATATAAATTATAACTAAGCGTTACTGTACAACTAAAACTGTATGCAAAATTTGATATAACACATTGCAGCAAAATGAGAAATCATAAAAGACAAAGCACACTTCACCTTCATTCTGAGCAGCACCCTCTTCTCCTGGGGCCGGGCGGGCCGGTGCACGGGCACCTGTACCGGTACCGGAACAGGTATCGGCACGGGGACCGGTACCGGCACGGGCGCGGGCACGCGGCGGGGCGTCGGCACCGCGCCTGTTGCACTGGACGTGCTCACACCGGACTTGTGCGTTAGGGGCGGCGGCTCAGAAGGAGGGGACGACGACTTGCGACAATTCTATACAAAACATATTAAATTACTATTTTTTGTTTATTTGCGCGTTAGGTAGATTATTGAAACATATTGAGTTGAAATGTCGCATGACGTCACACACTTGTACATTTTGTACAAATCTGTAACATAGCTCGGTGGCATAGTGGATAAGCGCCACGACCCGCCATCATTGTTGTAAAGCAACTTTCACAAGGGTCTCTCCCGGATGGTGACCAAAAAAAAAATTATCTCGCACTGCTGCATTCGAAACCGTTAATACCCTCTCATCTGCATTAGGACAGCGTTGGGGGTCATGGCCCATCCTCCTTAATCATCCATAAGGAAGGCCCTAGTCCCTGCAGAGGGGACGTAAATGGGCTGATGATGATGTGACGTAGCAAGCCCCCACTCCTCGACTTTAATGCCTATTATGTATGCCATTTCTTGTTAAAATGAAGCAAAAAAATGTGTATATAATATTTTTCTATTTTCTGACGGACTAATTGGGCATTAGTGACGCCATCTTGTGGCACTTAAAAACAGCCACATGCAAGATGGTAAGCAAGTAAGCTGACAACTAATCGTGGCAGTCTTCGTAGCGCACACGTGGTGATAACTTATCGATATAAATACATATGTCAAGTATTAAATTGTTAATAATTATAAATGTATTGAAATTAAGTTAAAATAAGGTATCTAACTATATAACAGAATAACTTTATTTATTTATTTATTATAACGCTAGGAGAAACACCCAGCACATAATCATACCACTATAATAGTTATGTAAATAGTTTGTTACAAAAAATAAAAATGGCCAATAATAAAGTTTCTACAATTACTGGACTTTCTGCCAATAGTATGCCCTCGTGGTCCCTAGAGTGAGATAAAAAGTAGCCTATATATTAGTTCAGGCTTAGAATTATCCGTATAGCAAATTTTATTAAAATCCAAAAACCATTTTTTGTGTAAAAGAATAACAAACAAACATTACAGCCTCACAAACTTTCCCCTCCTCATTACTAAAATGTAGTTTTTCAGTGCCGGGTATATTTCTAAAGTATATTTCTTTAAATTATTATATTAATATAATAATTTAAAAATGTGCGTAATCCTATAATAAATGAAAAAAGTACACAAAAGTAAAACAAAACCTAGTATTATATCTACTGTTAACTAACATTAATTACATACACATTTTCATAGTTTACTTTAAATCAGACCATTAATTAATTGATCAAACTTCAAGACTCACCTTACAGTAAAACGGAAGTGACGTCTCCCCCAAATAGTATCCGGCACAAGTGGGATGGTACAGACACAGGCAGGCGGCACACGCGAGTGAAGGCACGCCGCGGCCGCAAGTTAACGAGCACGGCTGTACTATCTGTCGTGCGGGTGTGCCACGGCCCTTCACAGTATATTGTATACGTTAGCTTTCCATCTGCATGGAATTCGGTTATTATCGCCCTAAAAACTATACTATGTCCGTTCCTAAAGTCCACTCTATCTGTTTACCAAATTTCATCAAAATTGGTTCAGTAGTTTAGACGTGAAAATGTTAGACACATACAAAGACAGACTAAGAATTACTTTTGCATTTATAATATTAGTATGACTTATAAAGACAAATAAATAAATGTTAGACAAACATAGATTACCCAGACACCTAGATAGGTAGCTAATACTCTCGTATTACAGAGTATTTGAAAGGACAAAGGTACCCAGACCCGAGACTTTTAACCTTTGATTAAAACAAAAGGGAAGATACGGCATACTATCTAATATCTAATCAATAAATAACTACAAAATAGTATTGTATGTTTTAAATAATCGTTATTTTCCAAATTTTTTGCACCACAGGAAGAATCTATCGTACCTTTATATAAAAACTAACTCGCGATTGCACTATGTACTAACAGGACTGACAAATTTTTCAAGCACTTACTTTTTCGCTACTACAGAGCGTACTTTCATAAATGTTCAGGCAATCTACCCAAACAGCCGAAAGAAATATTTTAACACATATTTAAACTTTCTATAAAGATTTATATAAGAAACTACATTATTATAATATCAGCATAGATTAGAGGTCACGAATAAAGTAGGTCACCGGAATTTCGAAATTATATAAAAATGAAACTTCCGAAGGACTGCACCAAATTGGATGGTTCTTTTTTTAAATATTTTTTTAAAATATGGCAGAACTTCGTACTGCCGTATTTCACGCTGGGTCAGATAGTTACTAATATCATTTCGAAACCGAAAATCAAAACACCCCCGCCTCTCCTTGTCGCAGTTTGTCCATACAAATTCTATTAAATATCGTTATCCCCACCCCCCCCTTTTAATATGTGACGTAATTCATTGATAGATTTAATATATATATGACATTTATATGATATTAGCCAGCGGCTTCGCCCGCGTGGACCCTAGGGAAATGTTTAGTGGGGTAAAAGTATCCTATTATCTGAGTCAGCTAATACCCTATCTGTATACCAAATTTCATCACAATCTTTTCAGTAGTTTCGGCGTGATTGACGTACAAACATCCAAATAAAGAAACTTTCACGTTTATAATATTTATATGATTATATGATATATATGATATGATATCATATCATAACAATAAACTATATAGTAGACTAGACACTGACCTCGGGCGAAGTGAGGAGCGGCGGCCGACTCTGCAGCGGCGGCGGCTGCAGCGCAGTAGAAGCGGCTGCGTTAGCGGTCGAGGCCGCGGCGGAGGCGGAAGCGGACGCGGTAGCGGTGGCGGGCGGGGCAGCGGACGCGGACGCGGTGGCGGCGGCGGTGGCGGGCGGCCTGGCCGCAACGCAACTACACTCGCGCGGTGCTCAGTACCCGCGTAAGGCGGTTAATTGCACCATGTCAATTAACCGCCTTATACGCTCACCAATCGTGATATTTCTTTGGCACAACAGAAACCTACCTAAGACGACGACATACATAAAGAAATCCTCTTCGAAATCTCAATTTCAATAGAAACAAAACACCTAATCAGTAATTTCATTATTGAAGAAACTATACGCGTTTATAACATACAACTACTATACTAGAGTATGGAAAACGCATGGCTGCCAGTTAGTGGAAATGTAACTCGGTAATTGAGATTGCGATAAAAATATTTTTCTCGTTCTACTGTCGCATATAAAATTGATAAAAAAAGTAAAACTGTTCTTTGTTCGCATCATTATACTTCAACTATGCTTTCATTTTCTCTCTAACTACGCATGCGCTAGTAGAGCGAGACAAAAGTTTTCCGTGATCTAGTTGAATAATCTACAAACCTCACGTCTAGTATAATAGCTCTATGCTGTATAAATATCATTAGAATCTTCAGTTGTGGAGTTCATTATTTGATTTGTGTCTTGAAAAAGATTCAAATGCAAATAATTTTTTTGTAGTTACTCTTGTGACTAATTCCTATAAAAATATAATGAATAACCTACAATACGAATCTTAACACTAATAAATATTCCTATCTCTAAGTTCTTCAGTTGTGGAGTTCTATTAATTAAAAAAAACGCAAGTACCTTACAAACTAAAGCACACAATAAAACCGTAACACACGTTTTAAGATTAGACAATACGAGTGAATAATTATTATAGACATACCTGGGTTTCTTCCAGGCGGCTGTGTTATTGTTGTCGGCAGCGGTGGTGGGGGCGGAAGCGGGGTTTGAGGCCTTCTTGTTCTGTTTGGGCGTCGCTGAACTGCTGTTGCTCAACCGTGAACCCATAGACTTAACCTACAAAAACAAGATGTTATGTCAGAAATATAGCTATTTGTTATAAAGCACTGCAATGGACCTAAACTATTAAACGATATTTTGGTACGAAATACGGCAAACTCCATTTTTGACGAATTGATTTATTATAATTTTGGACATGACCCAATGCATGTGTAATGTCCCAACTAAACAACTTAGTAATAAACTCGATTGTATTTTTAATTTATTCAGTTACTATTCAAATAGTACTTACTAGTAAAACAACATGAAGTAGTTGGAAAGGATAAAGATGTTAAAAAAATATATGTTTACCTTGAGCTTGGCGGGCGGAGAGATGATGGGTGCGGGTGGTTCAGGGCTGGCCCCCTTGGGAGCTTTAGGTTTGGGCGTACGCTTGCCCTCCACAGCCCCCGCCCCCGTCCCGGTCCCCGCACCTGCCCCCGCTACACTACTAGTCACCGCCGCCACTGGCGAGTCCACGCGACGAATCAATTTCGCGTCCCTGATATGACACCAAATGTTATTATAATACTCTTATTGTGATACAATATTGTTAGAATCCCATACCCAAAGGGTAAAAAACGGGAACACATTGCTAAAACTCCACTGTCCGTCCATTCGTCTATCACCAGGCTGTATTTGATGAACCGTAACAGTTAGACAGTTGAAATTTTTATAGATGGTATATGTTTGTTTTAAATAAATATAAAAGGGTATTATTGATATCTTATCACCCGTTTCCGAGTTGCTCTTAGCCGGTGTTTATTGTTCATAGTGAATTTTTATTCGTAAAAGTGGTTTTATTTTGAAAGCCAAAATGTAATAAGAATTGAAAATATTTAAATCTGTAAAATTATATGGTACTTGGTTTGTAATCACATATAATAGTCATTCATTTCTCATATTAGGTGCTATCTTATTAGAATGTAATCAATAACACCCAAATGTCTGTTATATTAAAAATATTATTCGTCAAGTAAGTTTACCTTAGGCAGGATACAAAGTTACATCCTCTCACACAGACACCATTAACTACTAACTTATCAACTTTTAATATTATTTATATAATAATTTTATTATAAAAATACTCACCGAATGATCTCTTTCTCGGGATCATCAACACCCAATGGTTCTTTGAAGAAAGAGAAATTCTCAAGGGTCAATCCAGTCCCAGATAACTGTTCGGCCACCTAAAAAACAATTGAGGCTATAACGTAAGGGTTTTGATAAAAAAAAAACTGATAAAAAGCCTGTTAGTCAGTTTGTTACTAGTTTTTACTTTAACTCTACTTTAATGTCATTATTATACTAAAAGCAAGAATTTACTACCATAAATTGAAAATGATCAATTATAATTTGGACTTAATACATAGGATCCGTCGGAATGCCCAATAATGTGATTTAAGATCTTTATTAGCTCATAAAAAATTACATTCACTAATCATATCTAAAATACACATAGCTTTGCTAGCATTTTTATTAAATTAAAATTATTATGTAGGTAGTTTTAAACTGATACTCGAACTAAATATTGAAACACTCATGCAAGTAGTAGATATTACAAATCGTACCTCTCTGGTGGACCGCAGTTTCTTCCCTTTAGGCGTGTAATAGTATATGTCGGCGTTTCGTCTCGAGTGAGCGTCTAATGCCGCACGATACACTAATTCCCGTCTCCACCCTCGCTCTAGCGGCACACGCAGTAAAGGCGACGACATCTCAGTGGAGGGACCGCCGCGACGTACGCGACCAGACGAACCAGCGGTACCAGACTGACAAAACAAAACAATACGCTCCTATAGCGTCATATATTTATCCATACTAATGTTATAAAGAGGAAGAATTGATTGATTGTTTGTATGTTTGTTTGCATCGAATAGGCTGCGAAAGTACTGGAACGATTTAAAAATTCTTTCACACATCATACAGGGTTGATATAGGCTATAATTGGCTCGTGCGAAGTCGCGGAAAAACCCTTAGTTACAGTATAAATCCCGCAAATTGCTAGTGCCTGGAACCTTGTCTAAATAACACACGTATGATATCATTTGAATAATATATAGATAGCACTGAATGCAAGAGATACATTATTTATTGATTATTGACATATTTATGAATAATCCCCAAAATATTGTTATAATTATTAATTAACTTTTAGTTTGTTAATTTATTGCAAGAATTTTCGATATGGACAACAAAAAGAAATTTTTAAAAGTAACATTTACTTTTTAATAACGCGATAACCCGTCTGGTTTTTTTTTTTTAATACCGCCAATTGACTTCACATGCAATTTGCGGGGATTATACTCAAAACTTAATATCTTAAAATATATAACTTTATTTATTCATTCAACAAAGTTTTGTTGTTGTCAAACACACATATGTCAGATTATGTATAATAATTATTAACTCTAACATAAGTATCTTGACTTTAGATTGCTGGGTTTTTACCCCTTTACTTCTTTAACAATTATGCGTACTGATCACATCCCTGTAAGTAAACTATTATCGGACGTAAGAATACTATACTTACATCTCCAGACATATTTTCATCTGATCTCGATGACATTGCTGATGATGGTCTCGATCCATCTGTGAACGAAAATAAATCTGTCTGTTTATGCAATTGAAATTGACTTAAAGTGTTAGATAATGTACATAAAATAAAACAGAGAAAAAAAGCAGCCTTTGCCGAGTTCCTTGCCGAATCTGCTCAGTACAAGGTCTCCCGCGCTAGATTTGGGAACCAATGGCGTTTTTCGACATTCTCAAATGCTTATAACAGCCTAGAGTGACTAAATGATATTGAATTTGTATTCGAACAATTATGATCTCACCTCATATGGAATTCTATGAGACTTGAAGTATACAGAGAATACTCAGTCACCCAGATCTCAATTATAAAAATTTCTCTTATACTTAAAATATAGAAGTAAGTATACTACAATTAAATTTTGTAATGTTGCAGCAACGAGACGAGAGAAATTATTGTTAATAATAAATGATATTAATAAAACTTAAAATACATATAGTCCGCTTCTTCTTACTTGAGTGTAATAAACAAACATGTTGCTCACAAATTACCATACTATAAGAGAATCGCACAAATTGAGCCGTCACAAACACTTATAGAAACTAGTTTAAACTTAAACACATTCATTTTTAAGAATTACAATGAGTTAAAAATCAGCTTTAATCATAAACAAATTTACCAGTATCCTGCCTAGGCCTCTTGGATGCCTTCGGAGGAGCAGTGGGGGTAGCCATCACATTCCTCACTGGTGTGAAGTCCTTGGTGGCTGCGGTCACTTCTGCTTCCAAGCGTTCTATTAAACAAGAAATAAACGATATAGATTTAGTCGAATACCAAACTTACCCTATGTAAATTAAAATCAAGCCAGAAAGTTTTTTTTTTTAAATATGGACTTGTTTCGTTATACACGGAATTAAACATATCTCATTTAATAAACAAATGACAATTGACAGAAAATATAGGATTAAAATATTATGAACAGTTCTGTTACAAAGAAATATCTTAAACATAAAGTCATATAAACCATTTTTTAACTTCTTAAAATATATGTAATAAAGAACTTTTTTCTATTATAAAAAAATATATACTTACCCAATACACTGTTATATCCAGATAAATCACTCAGATTCGCAATGTCAAAACCCTTGAAATCTTCATCACCATTTTCACTGAATGCCATGGAGGCTCTGCGTTTGACACCCCGTTTTTCTTCTTCATCATCCTTTGTGACCTCCGTTGGTCCCACTTGAGTTTCTACAGTATCCTCTTTAGTTTGTACAGTATCATCATCTTTCGTCTTTACGGTTTCCTCTTGCTTCTCTAGAGGTTCCTCATTCATCTCAACTGTTTCCGATTCCTCTGGTTCTGACTCATACTCTGGTGGTGGATCATCCAGTATGTCATCATCATTATTCCCAATTTTGTTATCCAACATCTCCAATTTCAAGTCAAGATCATCTATAACAAGAAAGATTAGGCAATTTAGAACAAGTTATAATATGTTCTGTTTTTAAAAACATTTCAATGAAGCAAAAAGAATTAACTAAACTCAAAATTTATTTTTCACTTTTAAAGTATTGAATTTTTTTTTAATTTTCGTTTAGACATTTATTTTATGCATTGCCACCTATAGTAAACCTGTATGCCAATTTCAGTATATTCGTTTAAGGTTAACTGCTTAAAAATTCAGTTTCTAGATTAGACAAACAAAAATTTCCAGTATTTAAAAGATTTTAAATAAAAACAATCTAACAAAAGATTTATTGAAAATATAAAGAGAATAAAGAAATTAAAAAAGCTATAATAAGTGCAGTGACTAAATGCAAAAGTTCATAATCAAGATAATGTTTACAACAAAATATTGTGTGACACACATAGTTATAAAAATATATTGTGGTTTATTTATTTTGCTGTAAATTAATGTTTTGTGTGGAAACGAAACAATATGTCAAAATGAATTTATATTATTCTTAATACAAAATGCTTAAAAAATCCACTTGGTCCCTGGCACCCTGAGATGGGAATCGAACCCCTTAAAGGAGCTTTCGCAAACGACCTTTCGCAATCCGGGCGACTGCTCTAACCGCTGAGCTACCCAGGACCTAACAGGACTGACGAATCTTTCAAGCACTTGTTAGTTTTCGCTACTACAGAGCGTATTCTCATCAATGTTCAGGCATCCAACCCAAACATATTTATAAACATAGAAACATATTTGAATTTATATTTCCATAACAGTGTTAATAGGGAATTATTTACTTATTTTAATCCAAATTATGATCATTATTTCTTGTGATCCTAATTTAAATTAGGTAAAAATGCTTGTTTACGGTTATAAATATTTTACACACACTTCGAGTCAACATGACACCTAGCTCGGAACTTGATACCCAAAAGCGGGCATTCATTAGCGGACCATATTTACTATTAGCGTTTTATACGCGTTTATATGCTGTTAAAATTTTCGACGGGATTATATTTTGTCAAGAAAAAGTGTAAAATGTTTTTTTTTTTAAGTAAAAATGACAATGGAAGTGGTATGTCCGAAATAGAGTAAAAATTATAGTAACAATTGAATTTAAAAATTAACTCTAAATTATTTATTTTTGCTTTCTTTCTGGCGAAATAGAACTGTTTAAATTATTTCACCATTTGCACCAAACATTAACTTAAGTAGATACCTGACCTAACAAAATTTTTACCTACATATGCCACTTTGGGATACCAAAATCCACTGTCCAGTGCTTATATATTGAAAAATTAGTATGTGATTTCCTATGTGAATTTGATATACCTTTTATCAGTTTGAGTTTGATAAAAGATTGCAATATTTTAATTAGAAAATATAACATTACTACAAGTTTTCTTAAAAAAATGCTTAAAGAATCTGCTTTGTTCCTGGTACTCTGAGATGGTACCAGCAACAAAGTGGATTTCTTAGACATTATTCATTAAGAATATTATCCAATACAGCATTGTGAATGCAAAATTGATCAAATATAATTACTACAAGTTACTGCGCAAGTTGAAAAAAATAAAATATAAAAAAGTTTGTAATTGTTTTAACACTCTTTCTCGCAAAAACTATGTTCTAACCAAGTTTAAAGTAACTTAAAAAAAACAACTTCAAATATTACAAAGTGCAATATTTCTCTCTTTTAAGTTTAATGTTGATTCTATACTATGCAAAAAAAAAACTATTCATGATTGTCAGTGATATTTTTTTTGTATAAGCATCACTAAAAATATTTAATATCTATATAAAAAAAATGACAACATTGTGAATCTTAGTAAGTAGAGAAGAGATATTTTTATTTGCTCAACATATTTAATTTTTCTTATACTTAAAGATATAAGATTGGTTCAAAATTCACAAATAAATCTGTTAACATACCTACTCACATAAATACCTATTGAACATAGAAATTCCTCCTTTTCAATTGAATGATTGCAAAATAGGGTATCATTCATATTTTCGCTGATTTATGCAACATATATCGTCTAAGTTATTTGTTAATACGATTATTTTGTTTTATTATAAAACCAAACTACTATTTTCGGGATGGCATGCCATCGCAGGGTACCTCCTGGGGTTTGGAAGATTTTTTGAGCATTGTGAATGTAAAATTGACCAAATATAATAAAAAACTACTATTATATTTGATCACTTTCTCATACACAATGCTATATTGAAAAATATTGTTAATTAAAAATGCTTAAAAATCCACTTGAGTCTCTGGCACCCTGAAATGGTATTCAAACAGAGTGCCAGGGACAAAATGGATTCTTTAAATATGAATATTTTTCATTAAGACTAAAAAACTACTAATTTGTATATGCTAAAATTTATATGGGATCACCTCTGGCCCAGAAATGATCTAATAAAGATTTTTTTAAATCAGTCAATAATTTGCAGAACAATTGCTGAACATACATAAAAAAGAAATACAACACCCTCAAACATAGAACCTACTCCTTTAAGATTTTGAAGTTGGTTAAAAATATGTTTACCCAGTAAAGCAAAAACCATAAAGCTCCCATAAATATATGATTCTGCATATATAAATAAAATATAAACATAATTTTATATAAAACTATTAAATGAAAAAAATATAAGATTTCATTTAATAGTTTGTCTTAGACAAAGATAAACGCACTGTATTTATTAATAGATAGTTTCTGAACATTAATTGTGATTATTTTAATGATTAGCAATAACCAAATAATCATTGTTTTTTCAAGAAGAAATTGATATTAGAATGATTGTGTAATATGGGCACTGTTGTAAGCGCCATGATCACAGAGTAACAAGTTTTTGCGAGTGGGTGTTATTGGTAGATATATTAACAGAAATTTATTATTTAGATTGATTTAATAAAAAAACGAAATGTAAGATACAGTGAGAAATAGATTAATCTCATAAAGCAAGATCTAAATTGTGTTGTTATTAATATAAACTGCTATAAGGCATTTAAAGCAGTCTTCAAAAATATAAACACAGATATCATTTTTAATTTTCTGTCATTTAAAAGCATACTCAATAGATAGGGCTATGTCCATGATAAGACAAAATAAATGTCAATTTTCATTAGATACACCAACGGAGTGAAGACAAGGTGGACAGTTAGTTAGCACTGAAAGAGTAAACAATTTTGAGTAGTTTTCCCAGAATCATTTTTCATAGGAATCAATGCAACTACATGCTTAAGATCTCAGTACAGCGTCCATAGTGTCCACCATAATAAGTAAGAATTTTCATACAAACTTTTAACATGTTAGATACAGACACCACAAATTATGTACCAAACCATCCTGATTTCTTAAACAAACTATTTATGGCAGTGACATGAGGATTCATCTTCTTTAGAATAATCATTAATACTATTCATACAAAACATTGATACAGCAAAAGTAATTGCATATTATATTAAATAACTATGTGAATAAAAGATGGCAATTTATCTAATCCCAAGTTCATGATGACTTTAACTTTACTATAAATTAATATTTTTTAGTTATTTAAACAGAAAATAACACAAATACTTTAACAAACTATAGTACACAAGGTTATGTTACAAATAATAAAAATGGTACACATGAAAATATTATAGGAATTATTGGATCATGGATAAATTTAAGTTGAGCCAAATGCATTTAGCAAGCATAAAATATACAATTAAAATAAGTATGTCATCAAATAAGCTTAGAGGTTATGTGAAAGTTACATTACCTTCTACTGGAACATTTTCGGGTTCCTTCGCAGCAGGAGGTTCTGCCAACTTTAGTGGAATTTCTGAGGGAGTAACTTCGGCCTGGACGGCAGTATTCGGCGCCGTTTCTTCACCACTCGATTTGGCATCTTCGCTTGAAGCGTTATCAGTCACCGCCATTTCCTCAGACATTGTCAATTTATTTCAAAATTATATAAAACCACTGTCAAGGGGTGAAAAGCCACATAACAAGACGGTTACGAAACTGTATCAGCCTTCGTGACAAATTATCAGCGTTTGTGCGCGTCACTCCGTAGATTTCCCGCTATATTAGTAGAGAATAATCAGAGTTGGTTTTTGTTTGTACACAAACTCTTATTTTGCACTTTAATAGAAGTGCTAAAAGTAAATAGTTACAATCTACTTTTACAACAATAAAATGCGACAAAATACACAAAATACAGAGGAAAATAATGAACAAATTAGCATCGCCAATACTAATTTCCATTGAATCGTAAAACGTCGATCATAAACAACACCACTCCATGCATTCTCTTTGGACGACATCATACTCTGCTCTTTGGCCCATTACATTATGGCTAAATGGTCTAGAGATTCCAATCTTGATTTTTTTTATCTAAATTCGATTATTTAAATCGATTTTTCACCACACCACAGGCCTATCCGCGAACTCAACTAAAAACCCAATGACGTAATCAATCATCCTTCCATCAACAAGATGTCCGGTCAAAGTCTCAAAGATGACCGAAGACATTACGTCTAACTTTAAAGTTTTATTTTGATTTAGTTTGTTTGCAGGAAGAGACCGAGAAAAAAAATGGGGGCGTTGTGTAAAGGCTTTGGGGGTAGGTGATTTGTAATTTCATTTAGCTAGAAGGCCTCTTACACACCGACTGCATGAGCTCTCGACTCTCAACTACAACTTGTGAACATCAACTAATATTAGTTAAAAGATTGTTATAACTCGATTCTATAATTCTCTCGGCGTAGGTCTTATATTTATCCTCTCTTATTCAATAAATAAAATAAAAATTATGTCAAACGGTCGTTCCGTTTCGAAATAAAAGTAGACACAAACAAACAAATATTAGGTAATTTTCACAGACAGCAGACCGCGGGCAATCATGTTTTTTGTTAAATAACCCGAATTGTACATTCCTGTATCAATCGGCTGGTTCATATAATACTTAGTCTTACTTGAGATAAATGAGTTTATGCATATTTGTTTTATTCCTGTCGGTGCGTGCTGCTTATGAAATCTCTATATAAACAACGTGATATTTATTTTATTTTCATTTGCTGTTTCGCACGTAATAGATAAGGAGGACAAAAGAAGACACAAAAAAGCACCTCCACTAGATGGCGTTTAGCAGAAATTTATTTTTGGAGGAAACAAATGGACCAAAGATGTAATTTCCGTTCATGATGTTTCCGTTCCATTTAACAACATATAAAAAAATTGAAATTTGCAAAGTTTGAAACTTAAATATTAATACTAATACGAAACAGTACAAATAGAATATGAGTGATTTATTGAGTTTTGAAAATTAATTTACTTTTATACATGAAAGAAAATCGGAAGAGTTGTCATGGAGAAATCAAGAAAGTACCGTAGCGACATCTAATTTATCTTTGGTGAACTGATGATTTTTTTAAAACTTCCTCATAAGTAGGCAGAGGGTTTTGAACACTGCTCTTTTTTTGGCCACTGCCCCTTTTGGCCATTTGGAACTTCAAAGCGTTCGAACTAGCACTATCGCTATTGCTAAGCAATTTTCGCAAGAGTTGTTCACGGGATGGATGACCAAAAATTATTAAACAAAGGCCTGAGGTCCTGCATTTTGGCTATAAAAGTGTTAATGATGATAGTCAGTACATAAACACGAAATTTAATAAAACAGGTAATATTTCTTAGCCATTTTGGCGAACACGTCACTTCAAATTGACATTACTTTTTTTTTCGGTTCACAAATACGTATACTTGTTATAATGTATTGCATACGATACGACTGATAAGAATAGGTTAAAGCTGAGAATACGCTAAACTTTGAATAGCTAGTCTAGCCATAGATAAAAATCGTAGTATTTAAAATATTTCTTGCAACAATTTAACTAAATTTTGTGCATAATACTACAATTTGTGAGATTTTTTTAACCGGGGCAGAAATTACATATGACGCCCTTCCTCTACCCCCCCAATTTTAATTTTTGTAGTACCTGATATTTTTCTATTTTATGTAGGGATGTTTAAGTATGCTAGTTCCATCGTAATCTATAATGGTGAGATTTATAAAACTTTGTTCTTTTTTAATTGTAAATAGGTATTATATATTGATAATTTTGGCGCATGGGGCAAGTGCCACCATTTGACCTCCTAGATCCGGCCCTGTTACAAACCTATGGTAATAACATATGTCCCTGTGACGCTTGACGGATTTACAGTCAAGATTTATATTGACTTTATACCTACGATATTGGTTTAAAATTAGATCATTATTGGGTCAATAATAACTAGATTACTTCCTAAATAAAAACCAATAAGAAAATTTACAAAATTTTATTAATTCTTCCTACGACCTTGTTTTGGAGCTTGTGGCTTCCCGAATGTTTTCTTTTCTTTGCTATTGGGTTTCTGTCCTTTATTCTTGCCTGGAGGTCCCTTATTTTTGCCACCAGCACCTTTACCAGGAGGGCCTTTACTTTTCCCATTGGGCTTTCCTTTGGGAGGGAATCCTTTCTGAGCTCTATTAGCATCGTAACGAAGCCTCTTGGCTGCAGACTTTGATGTGTCAGTGAGGTCAGTAGCGAAATTGCTCTTATTCTTTTTATGTTTAGGTTTATTTTGGCGATTCTGTGGCCTATCATCGTCGTTGTCGTCCACGGCTCTGATGCGAGGCATCTTCTTTTTGCGTTTAGCCATACGAGATTGGAGTAGCGCCACCTGTAAAAATTATACTGATTAAGGTTTTAACTACTGCAAAAACATACCTACAGTCTATTTAATATTTATTTATTTTATACTTTATGCACTAATTATCTAAGGCGGACATAATGCCTTAGGCATTCTCTGCCAGTCAACCTTTAGGTGATGTGGAGACTAAATATAAATTAAAGGTAGATGCATACCAATATTGTTAATTTAATGGCGCACATTTTCTGGCAGCGCCACTCTCTTGAATTTTAAAATGAATTCTTCACCCAATAAGTCCTTTATTTATCAAATCCATTACGAAATACGATCAAATAGTCAAATAACGTAGTTAACGAGTTTTTATTTGCAAGAGATAGAGCTGTGTATTTATAGTAAATTTTAACTCTTTCCAGATCATGATTTGATTCTATTTATCAGTCTGAGAAAATTCGCTAATAAATGGTCGTATAAATATATTTCGAGATGATTAAAAATTAACGTGTCACTAAAGTCAGCCCAAAGACTGATGCAACTCACTTTTTCAAAAGTAATTTTGGTTTGAAAATTTTCCTCTATAATGTCTTACTAACTAATACTCGATTTATTCAAACAATTGAATATTCACACAAAATGTAAGTCATATTTTAAGGTTGGTTATTATTACCTTCTCCATTTCTCGACGCACTCTTTCCTCTGGTGTGTCTTTCGGCTTATGTTTGGTGTGTTTCTTTTTTTTATTGTTGATATCTTCTTCATCATCGTCAGAATCATCACGCTTGCGTTTCTTGCCTTTGCCTTTCTTTTGCTTTTCTGTGTTTAAAAAAGAAATTTAATATTATTAGAAAACATTACAATATAGATAATCTAAATCTGTCAATTCTCTAAAGTAGATTCGGTAGAAACTTTAATGCAGAGGTTCTCAACTTTCTTCTTATAAATGGTTTTAGTTGTGGGCTCCTAATGCTATTATTCTATATAGAATAATAGATCTCATATCGATGTATAATCTTAAATAAAGAGAGTTTATCCCGTTTCATGCTGTTTGTGGTAATTTCGGTACTTTTCGAGCGTTTAATAATGAAAGACTTACTCAAAAAAATCTTTAATATACCCGTATGTTGGAGGAAATTTTGTCGTTTAAATAGATAATTGAGCAAATTTTACTTTTATAAAATAACAAAACAACGGAACCTTGTCATAGTTGATGATGTTTCACAAGTAACCCTGTATATTTCCCCACCTCTAGCTATGTCATTGATTAAAGAAAGAAACTGTATACCTTTATCCGGATGTAGAGCTAGTGCGAGCCTCTCCTTCTCTTCTCTCTTCTCCTTGGGCGTCTGGAACCAGTCGTGTTGCCGTTGCACCTCGTACTTCGGTCCGGGCTCCTTCACCAGTTTTCCCTCTAGTTTGTTAGTCTGCTTCTCCATCTTGTTCAGCTGCTTTTCAGCGTATTCCTCGTCTAATATTGCGGCTGTTGACATAACAAGGTTATTGGAATAGTTATTAAAAATATGTCCAATGACTGTTCAGCTACGATCTACAATCTCTTAGGCTGGTTTTACTATAAAGCGGACCATCGGCGTCGACAGATCGATATTTATTTATTTAAGTACGCTTAACAACAACGATGTTGTTTCATTTTCGCAGATGTCGGTCACGGGATGGCTGACCAAAAATGATTATCTCGAGCTGATCCGTGCTTCGAAAGGCATGTTAAGCCGTTTATACCGGCTGCATCTGCAATCGTTAATACCCTCTAATCCACATTTGGCCCGCGTGGAGGGTCATGGCGCATCCTCCTTAACCAACCAACCATAAGGAAGGGGAGAAGTTTCCTTCACAGTAATAGTAGGGGTATAGACAACTCTTTTATATATTTAAAAAATCTAAAAAAAAGTTTTCAAAATTTCACAGCATGACGCCCTTTCTGTCATGGGGTCACCATGACGTCACGGCCCCCTGAATCTAATATCGTTCTATGTATGTATAAGGTTGAATTCTCTAACTTCTGATATAATGAAGAGGACTTGTCGTCACGCGCTGTTTGCGGGTCACGTGACAACGAGCATATTGGTTTTTCATAATCAATTTAAGCAATATTATAAGCATAAACGTGTAATTATCGGTACTAAAAAATTAAACACTACCAGAAAAAAACCCAAGTTGTGCGGTATCGACTCACCTATCTCCGGCTCTAGTTTGTCCAGCCTGGCTCTGTACTTGGCTACAATCTCGGGCGGCACGTGTCTCGCCTTGACCGGTCTCCTGGCTCGCTTCACTATCGCCTTCACCAGGTTCCGCTCGCCTTCACCCGCCAGAGACACGGATACGCCCGCACGACCCGCACGCGCCGTACGACCCACCTAACAGACCCAATACCGAAATAATATAGATGTTTTTCCGCGAGTTCGCCCCAATAAATAGTGTATTCTACTCCGTTTGAAATAATACTTAATATTTAAGTATAAACTAATATTTTAATTTAAAAGTCATTAAACAAATATTATGACGTCATTGTGATATGTACACAAAACAGATGTATTGAGTAGATTGAAAGATGTCAATAAAACAAGAACAATGCCATCTAACGATCGATTAGGAAATAAAAAGATATAAATAAGCTAATAACAGCAACTAGGAATATGATTTATAATTAATAGGATTAAAACCATAGTATACTATTCAATTTGTCATTATAATTAGATCATTATGACTAGATTAGAGATCATTATGATTAGAGAGTCATTATAAATTCTAAGCCTGATATAAAATAAGACTTTTTCGAACCCTGATTTTTAATAATGGTTATTTAATAGTAGTTTATGCGACTGTCATATAAGAAGGGGTATTAAAACACGAGAATCTGTTTATAATAGGTTGACTCGAGTGTTTTCATACCTAAATTATATGCAGATTCATATACTACTTTATCTTCACTCATAGGAAAAATTGAAATTAAACAAAGTTGGTAGGTTACAAGGAAGTAATTTATGCGTGCACCTTTTTTTCATATTCAGCCTAAAACCATACACTAGTTTATTAAATAAAAAAGAAAGCGGTACTATAATGAGTTTTTCAATGCAATTGTTCATAAAGCGCTATTTTTTTAATCCATTGTAAACACCGAAAGTTAGTCTTTAAACACGTGTTAAATAAAAATGTACTGAAATCCTTTACTGCACACGTGCTTAAAAGTATTTTTTTAATTTTTTTTGGCCGAGCACCAAAGAAATTAAAAAAAAAACACGATGAAAATATGTCAAACTTTAGAGGCAAAGTATTTCAAGGAGCCTAGAACGAATATTTTCAAATAAAAATGTATGACACGAAAACATGTTCAAATGTCACGATTAATTTTAACAAATAATTTTTACCTTTAATACATACTTAGTTTTATTAATCTATATATTTGTTTTATTTCCTCGCAAAAAGCATTGAAAAATGTTTTAAGAAACTTGAGCGTAAAAGGTTTTTCGAATTCGTGCCAATTTATCAATTTGGCCCTTATTCGTAAAACCTTACTTTCCGCACTCGTATCTTAAATAACTATTATGATACAGTTGGCGGTACTATAATGAGTTTTAATTTTATGTATATGCGTTTATAAAGTGCGTATGTATAGAATCGTCTTTGAATTCGTAATTCGAATATTTCAATTTGAGTGTAGATAAAAGGTTTTTGCTCACCCTGTGTATATAGTGTTCTAGTGTGGCGGGCAATGTGAAGTTGACCACAGTCCTGACGCCAGGGATGTCGAGTCCTCGAGCCGCCACGTCCGTCGCCACCAGCACCTCCGCTTGCTCCTCCTTAAACCTCTTCAGGGAATCTAACCGCTGAGGCTGATTTAGAGCACCGTGGAGCTCTGCCACCTTACCGAAAATAAAGAAAAAATTATTACATTTTACCAATTTTGCATTCACATTGCTGTATTGACAAATATATAAATAAATATTGAATAAATGGCGCTAAAAGTTCTTTCGGCTGTTTGGATGGATTGCTTGAACATTAATAAAAATACGCTCTTTAGCAGCGAAAATTTATAATTGCATGAGAAATTCTCAGTCCTGTTGAGTCTCGGGTAGGTCAATGGTTAGAGCAGTCGCTGGAATTGCGAAAGGTTCCATTCGGACCTCGGGGTGCTTGGGACTGGAGATTTTTTTAAGATATTTATAAATAAATATTCGAGAATATCATTAAAGCACTCGTATTATAGAATATGGAGCATTTAAAACATGGGAGGTACCACAACAGTCAAAACAGAGACAAAGTTACCCCCATTCTGTTTTTTGCTGCAAACGCTTTTTATAGGAAAATTTGATAAACATGCGAGTCAATTTTATGGATCTACCAATCGAATTTCTGCCAAATAAACTTATGTGATTTGCTTTCTGCATTTTAAGAATATGATATAAAAGTTCTGACATAAGGGGGTCTCAGGGTACCCCCTTATGTCAGAACTTCGGACGTCGGAATAGGACTAACTATCTTAAGTAAGTGATCCACTTTTTGATTGAATTGTCGATTGATCGAATTATTGATTGATTGAATTGTCACATTTTTAAAAGTATAATTACATCTTAGTATCTTTTCGTGTAAGGGCCAGGGAAATGTGTAATTTGTAAATAATGCTTGGACATTATATCAGCTGTCAGAACTTAAGATAATTGTAAAGCTACTTTGGATCAAAGCTTTTTATATTTCGACTCATAATTGTGCAAATAAATTAGAATGTAACTGTTAATGTGTACTTTTTGACATTATGACGAAATAATATTTTTCCGTAGTAAATGAAACGAAACTTAGCAAACCTTCATATTGAGTTCAAATCGTATTCAGGTAGTTATCATAGTACTATTTAAAAATGCTTATTAGTATCGTTTTTTTATCCTGACTTTATTTGAAAATTTAATTTCCTGATATGAAATAATTAACAAAATAAGCTGCATTTCGAGATATGTCAGATCACTTGACGCGTTAGTCAATTTTTAGGTCGAAATTGGACATGATCCTTTACTTTAAATGGGGAGTAAATCGTTTATGTTAACACCGTGCTGTGTAAGCGGGCTATGACCTTCACTGACCTTGACTCCTAGTAACCCGAGTGCGACGTGTAATCGATGCGCCTGTTTCTTGGTCTGCACGAATATCACCGTGCGATCTCTAAACGTGCGGCACACTAGCGCCGCCAGTGTCGCCTCGCGGTCACACTCGCGCTCCTTACGTATCCTAAATATAATCTTGCAATTTCAAATCTCGAAAAAAAAATCTATTATACGATACATTAGAAAAAATCATTCTTTAAATAAAAACTGATGTCGCTGTGTACTTTTAAACATTTGTAGTATTAAATCAAATTGTCTATGATATGCGGTACGAAATTTTTACTGATGATATGAACGTAAATTAAATTTTCAAAATTTATTATAAATCCTCGTGTAGTTTTTAGAGTTTCGTGTTAAATTTAATATCTTACCTTAGAAGATGTATATTTATTTAATCCATTTTGACGTTTCGTGTCAAAATTTGACAAACATATAAGCCCGCCATCTAGTGATATTTTTTTATACTTTCTCGTCAATACTTTCGGATAAAACAGAGCATTAAAATGTGACGTTTGCATTGTAAAGTAAGCAATAAAAAAATTAATAAACTTACCTAACAAATTCCTGTCTCAGATTAAAAGCGACATCTTTATTGGAGTCCACGAATAATTTGACCGGTTTGTTTAGCGAAACAGCGGCTAGATCCTTGACTTCCTCACTCATCGTGGCTGAGAACAGCATAGTCTGACGTTTGTAAGAACACTGTCTGATGATTTCCTTCATCTGCTCCGCGAAGTATTCGTCCAGCATTCTAAAGTTTTTATATTTACATTAGATAATATCACGTTGATCGGGTTACAAGAAGAGTAACTTAAGCACTCGTATTATGGAGTATACGAGACAACGAAGGTACCATAACACCCAGACTCGAGAGAGTATAGAAAAGTTGTTCATTGTCCACATAGCAGATATTATTCGGCTAATGGTTTTCGAAAAAAAAAAATAACTATTTTAGGGCAAACTAATTGAAATTTGTATCATTTAAAAAACAGTAATTATAATTTTTTTTTCTAATTTAATATGCCACAAACAAATATTTCGGAAACATAAACACACATTGTCGTTCTTAAGATAAAATTTAAGAAACAAATATAACTTTCAAAATATTCTTATTTAATGAGAAGTGTGCAAAAACATAAGAACGATTTTTTTTTTTATTCCAGTGTAAACGTTTTCCGCCATATTAATTTTATTTTCTTACATACAGTGTTTCAACCTTTTTTATTTTAATTTTTAATATATGTCGTTTTTTCTTCACACACAGTCAAAAATAATTAATTAGATAGATTTAGATATTTGTCTTCCCAATTTACTAAAAAAAATTGTGTAAATGTAGATTTTTATTCTTAACTTCCTTGGGGTTATACATAATATACCTAAACGGCTCAGTACCAACCCTGCAATTAATTTGTCATTTAAATTTGACCATTAAATAGTATGCCATAAAATACATTTCATTAATAAACTTGTACAAATACATAGACTTTTAGTCGTGTTCTACTGTAACTGATCTAGAACATACCTGTCGGCTTCATCAAGGACCAGGACCTCGATGGAGTGTAAACTGAATGAGGGCGTATTCCTTATATGATCAATTAGACGCCCAGGGGTAGCTATTACAATATCTGGATTCTGGCGTAGTACACTTTCCTGTATAAACCAAAACAAAAATTAACCTACTCATTAATTGCAAAGGCAAAATCACCTATTTTATGTAATAACAGGCTTTCCGCTAGCGGCTTCCCCCGTGTGGTCCTATATAATACTAAATGTTTCTTTTAAATCACTTTGTATATCGATGAAAACCGCATCAACATCCGTTGTGTAACCTTAAAGATCTCAGCGTACAAACAGCGGGAAGCAACTTTGTTTTATACTATATATAGATTTATATAACTGTTCAACCGACAAAAAAATACATAAGTTTAATTAATTTAGTTTACTGCTTTTTAGGGTTCTGTGCCTAAAAGGTAAAACGAGAACCCTATTACTAAGACTTCGCTGTCTGTCTGTCACCAGGCTGTATCTCTCGAACCGTAAAAGTATGACAGTTAAATTTATCACGGATGATGTATTCCTGTTGCTGCTTCAACAACAAATATTAAAAACCAGATAACAACTTTTTTTTTAACGACGCACTTATCCAGTAAATGTGACTTTTTTTATTACTTGTTTCTGGTACGGTCAGACTCGCACTATACCCGTTTTTTTAGTTTTACCAACAATTTAAAACAATATAAAAAAAAAATGTAATTCATGCTGCAATGCTTTCTGTAATAAAACCAAAACTGAATCAAGTCAAACGTTAAAATAATCTAATAAAGATTTTATTTCACGAGTTCTATACTGCCCTGCGTTTCTGTAAAAATCCAGACTCGAATTTGTATTCACTCGTGTCTGAATTCTGGTAATTTAGTGTAGAAACTCTATTGATTCCGTTTTTTGTATAAAGATACCAAACAAAATTGATCGAATATACGTGTCTCAGATATTCTATTCTTATGTCATTTCGAAACTCACTTTACTTATGACACGTGATGTTATTACTAATAAAAAGATGAGCGGATGCCGCTTTTCGCAGGGCTGATTTTAATAAAGTACTAACTATCCGCCTGCGGCCGCGCCCGCGTGGCCTGTATTATACATATAAACCTTCCTCTTGCGGCTTCCACCAATATACTGTATATTATTGGAAACCGCAATAAAATCCGTTGTGTAGTTAAAAAGATCTCAGCGTACAGACAGTGGGAAGCGACTTAGATTTATACTATGTATAGTTTACAGAATAGAACTTTAATGTTCAGATTAAAAAAATGATTTACGATCAACAAAGATATTTTATAAAACGAGGTGAGTTCTTGCGATGAAATCTTTTGGTAGTATTATTAAAAAATATATATGACAAATCACATACATCGCTCAGATTCCAAGATGAGTAGCTAAAGCCCCCGTGTTATGGAGTATCTGAGACAACGAAAGTACCCAAGACAATATAGAAAAGTTAATTTTCTACATTTATCCGACTGCGAATTCATCTCTATAATTTAATTTATATTACAGTTTCATTTTATCAGAAACTTTGCACAAATTCTAACGTCATGTTTGTATGCAAAAAGAGATAGCAAGATCACATGTCTCACCTGATATTTGACGTCGAGTCCACCAACGGACAGACCGACTGAAACAGATGTGAACTGAGCGAGTTGCCGCGTTACAGCGTGTACCTGTTACACATATTAGAGCTAATAAGAAGTACTGTTGTCTAACAAGACCCATTGTTTTTTGACCGCTGGAGTGCTAAAATGTTATTATAATACGTCCCGATTATAATCTTGCACAGACTGGTTAGTAAAGACGACAAAATGTAGTTGAGATCTATTTCTGTTTGTAATTTAGCACTCCAACAGTCAAAAATAGTGAGCCTTATGAAGCGACGTTACCTTTATTACATTTGCAATCAGCAATCTACTTCACTTAACTAATTCTTAGGGGCCATCCATAAATTATCCATAATTAGCCCCTTAGTTAAATACATGAAGCATAAACTTATTTTTTTTTTTTTTTTTTTTTTAATTTCGACTTACAAAACTGATTACAATCAAAAATATAAACAATACAACTTTCACAAAAAAGAAACTGGATTGTAACCTTCTAGATGTAAGTACAACATGCATTTTAAAAATTAAATAATTTTTTCACAGAAGTGACTACAGCCGAAACATAAAATAATTTAAATTACAAAATATTAGTAAAGTTATCATGCTTTTCTCAAGAACCAAAAACAGATCTTAAGCTCTGCCTAGCAGAAGCAATAGACCCGTTGAATATGTCGAAATTAAATCTTATTGATTCATAGCTAGAACACATGCGATATAGCGGTGAATGCTGACCGAGACGAGTTCTACGGAGTGGCAATGTAAATGTTTTTCTGTTATGTATTCGACTCCCAATCCTCGGAACTGTGATCTTTATTTTTTCCAAAATATCAGGGGAGTTAATACAACCGTTCAATAATTTAAATATAAACATAATATCCAATATTTTTCTGCGGTCGTGGAGCTTAATCATTTTATAATAGGATAGACGGGATTCGTAAGTTGCAATTTGACGACATTTATAGTCAGAGAATGCCAGATGATACAAGAAACGCTTCTGCACTAGTTCCAATCTATTGGAATAAACTTGGTAACCTGGATTCCATACTGGACAGCAATACTCTAGAATACTTCTCACTATAGAATTAAAAATAATAATTGTGATATAAGGGTCGCGCAAAATCTTCATTTGTCGAGTGATAAAACCAGATAGCATTGAAGTTTTTTTAATTACAGCATCGATATGAAATTTGAAACTAAGAGAGCTATCCATAATCACTCCCAGGTCGCGAATACAAGATACTTCCGTCAAAGGTATATTCTGTATGCAATAAACAGCGTTAAGTGAGCGCAACTTTCTGGTGAATAAACTAGAATAAACTTAGCAATATACCCATAAAAATAATCATAAGTATAATAACGTCATAGTCATAGTTTATCTATACTAATATTTTACAGAGAACAGTTCAATAAACTAAATGACAAAATCTTATCTCTTGTTACGAGTACAACCAGTCGAAATATCACTTGATCAATTGTTTTTGCAGGAAATTTTTAATTTATGAATAAAAAAATGTTTTATTATATTTGAACAATTTTGCATTCATAATGCTATACTGCAAAATATTCTTAATGAAAAATGCTTTAAAAAGACACTTTGTCCCTGGCACTCTTAGACGGGACTTGAACCCATGAATCTTTTTCGAGAAAAATACGAGTATATCTGGTAGTGGTTTAAACAGTTAAGTAGGCAATTAAAACAACAGTTTATTAAACCATAAATTAATACTTACAACCAAACTGATTTAAAAAAAAAATTGCACTAGTCCAGGGTGGTTACTATTGTTTTATAAATAACGCTGTATAAATAGACTGTGTTCCTAGTATATTGAGCAATAGTCTTACCTGTGCACCTAGTTCTCTAGTGGGCACTAGTACCAGTACTTTAGTTGCGCGCTGTGCAGTCGCCGCGCGGAACAATAGCCGTTCCAGTATCGGCAACATGTACGCCGCAGTCTTACCGGTACCGGTGGCTGCGCATGCGCATATATCCTTCCCTGATCACAAATTAAAGATATCAAAATCATTCATTTCTTCAGACTTGATTAGGGGTTCGTAACTTACGACGCTTGAGCCGCTTGTAAAGTTGCAGCTCTCAATCCATTTAGTCTTAAAATTTATATTAACGCTTTATTTCACAAATAAAAATGTAGACAAAATACCGAGTTGAGATGTGTTGACTTATTTTGGCCAGATAATGGTTTGAATCTGGTACTAAAGTTTGTCTTCGTTTTATAATATGACGTATAATTTTATTCCTCACCCAGTAATGCAATAGGTATGGTAGCAGCCTGTATCGGCGTGGGATGCACGTAGTGTAGAGTACCTATGGCTTTGAGCAAAGGTCGGGACAAATTCATCATATAAAATGATGCATGTTCATCATACGGTGGCGGTTCTTCAAAGAAATCAGAGTCGTATTCCACTTTCGCACCCTTCTCGTCTTCTTCCAATTCCTTTGAAAAGAAATATACCTTTTATATTTATCCTACTAAAACAGTAAATTGTTTAAAAATTTTTAGACATACCTGCTGCAACTTCTGCTTTTTTGTAAGCTTTTTCTGCTTGACTTTAATTTCATCCCTTTTCAGTTCATCATCAGATATTTCCAACTCATCAATTTCACCATCTTAAACAAAATTATGCCGATAATATTTTCTGGTATGAGAGCTATTAATTTGTTAGAAAATTCAAAATCATAAACATTTAGATATTAGTAAATGACATTGTTTCAAATAAGAATAAATCAATAAATTAAGGTTTCCTTAAAATTATAGCAATGAACAGGCAATAATAATCCAATCCATATTTTTATATGGACTGGGTTGAATATGGATTGGGATATCAAAACCATAATTTTAAAATATGGAAAGATAGTTTCCAATAATAAATATTTTTTGCACTGAGAATAAAATACAAAAAGATGCTCTTTATGAAATAATTAAACTAGCTGTTTAACTTTATTTGACCCACAACTATGTCACCTACTTTCAAGAAGTTTGGAAGCTCATTGAAGACGACGACGACAAGTGAAAGAATTTTAAAATAGGTCCAGTAGTTTCAGAGCTTCTTTTCTCTTCATAATATTAGTATAAATAAAACAAATTTATACAGAGTTGATTGCATACCTTTAGGATCAATATCAGAGTCAGTATCAACTGCTTCCGCATTGCCATTGACCTTCACCTGTGCTCTTCTCATTTCAATCTTCTCATCTATTGTTCTTTTCACATTTCTTTTTACATACTTATGTAAGTCATCCCAAGTGTTCTATACAACATAAAACATACCATTTTATAGAGTTACTTATATTTACTGAGTTTGTTTACTATTTAAGAAACACTAATATCTTTAATAAAAGAACTTCTGGATCAAGTTAAGCCTGCATAGTGACTCACTAATGACCTTTAGATTTTTTTAAATACATGTATTAGAAATATGATAAGTATAACTAACATCTTTCAAATGTATAATATTGTGTTTACTTTAAATATAAAAAGACAGGCCCATGTTCCCTATTCGGTTTGATTAAATTCCATCCACAGGGAAGGCCTAATACCCAGCAGTGATACATTAATAAGCTGATGATGATATAGCAATAAACTGAATTCATACCTTATTATATTCCTCTACTGAAGATACAAATTGAAACTTTGGGTCAAAGTCTACTTTCCTTTTGATTTTTTGTTTCGAAGGTTGATACTGAAATACAAATTTAACATTTAGTGAAAACATATAACAAAGTATGTAGCTTTTATATTTTTTTAAGTAATAGAATTAAACATGTAAACAAGCTATATAGTAATAGCTTGTTAACATGCTTAATATGTTTCAGTATACTGTAAAGTCAGTTGTATTTTAAGTGTAATAAATAAAAATGAGATAATATTGCAAAGATTGCCCAGATTCAAAACTAAGTAGCTAAATATTTGCATTATGACAACATGAAACAACAACCAGTTCAAAGACAATGTAAATAAAACATACTATTTATAATGAAAAATGCTTTTTCCCTGGCTCTTTGAGATGGGACTTGATCGACTCATGACTTTTGCAATTGTGACTGTTCTAACTACTGAACTGCCCAGGACCTAACAGGACCGATGAATTTTTCGAGCGCTTGTTACTTTTTCGCTATTACAGAGCGTATTTTCATTAATGTTCAAGCTATCCACCCAAACCACCAAAATAAATATTTTAACTTACGATAAATATGAAAATTTATTGTAATGATTATATTTGATCAATTTTGAATTTATAAAGAATTAATTATTTATCATTAAGAATATTTTTCAGAATAGCATTGTGAGTGTAAAATTGATCAAATACATATTATTTATCCAATTTTCTACATTATTTTCTTGGTTTTGTTTTAGTGTTTTTTTTTAAACTATAAACAAATGCACGGTTATAGAAGGGAAACTATATCATAGAAAACAATAAGATTGTCTTAATTATCTATTTTAAATAACCCAACGATGATCACCTCAACTTCTTCATCAGATTCTTCAGAGAAATCTTCCACTTCTTCTCCCTCTTCGATTGTTTTGATCAAACCAGGATGACCTTCTACTTCCATGATAAAAATGTAGACTTTTAACGCAGCATATTAAGAAAACAGTGTGATTTAGTAAAATAATTTTCTTAAAAACAAAGTATAATACATTTGAGGTTATTCTAAATGTCAAATACACATGTTCATTTTTTCTTAATTGAAGGAAAGATATTTTAGTTTATGCAGCCTAGTCTTTAGTAAATGGTGAATCTACGGACCAAGGACTTACTTCTTATAACAGGACAGAGTACTTGCAGTTGAAAAGCGAGCCGAGAGAGACATTAAGTACACAGGCTATTTGTCCCTTTCTAATGGGGCTACAATAACATTTTAATGAGGAAGTATTTAAAAAAGAAAGCACTAAAAAGCACCTCAATAGATTCCTTAGGTTGATTTTTGCAGAAAACGAATGGACCAAAGATAGTGATATTAAAGTATATATATACACTATGAAGATAAAGTAACGCACCTATAATCCGGGGCCCTATATCATTGATACGGGGTCTTCTTCTTCTTCTTCTTTTATTAATGGCTTATCTGCGCATTTCGCACAATTCTGCCAATGTCAAGTGAATAAATAAATTTCTTCATGTAAAATGAAAATGAAATGAATGAAAGATGGCGATGAAGAGTCGTCCTACTAAATATTGTTCTAATGTCACAGTTCGTCGACACATCCCCCCCCCCTCCCCTCCTAGCGTGTGACGTAATTTATGGATGGCCCCTACGGCTGATACAGGTGGTAGCTAGGGTTCGAAGTATCGGCTTCTGGTATCGATACCGAGTACTCTTGTGGTATCGAGGGACATGGTAACGATACCATAAAAGTATCGCTCTCAAAGTATCGATTCTACTCAGTATCGAGTATTTATCTACAACATTTAAACCATGCCAGAATTTAAGATTTTTCAAAGTTCATGCATAGAAAATTGCATAAATTCTCTTTGGACGCAAGTAGACGTTAGACGAACGAATTAAATAGTTTTAAAAGATACATTTTTTACTGGCGTGTTTGGTGGGTAAAATTACCGTATTTAAAAAGACATGAACGATAATATAAAACGTATTATTTTTCATTTTATTTAATAATTTTAAAATTAAAACTGAAATTTGCAAAGTTCCAAACTTAAATATCAATACAAATACGCAAAAATACAAATAGAATGTGAGTTGTTTATTAAGTTTTATAAATTAATTTATTTTTATACATAAAAGAAAACCGGAAGGTTTGTCATGAAGAACGTACCGTAGCAATACTAGTTTGATTTCGGGAACGATTTTTTTAAATACTTCCTCAATAGCAACGCTTAAATGAAACACTATCCAAAATTTGTAAACTTTGTAAGTAAATGGTTATTTACTGATTTTTCTGAAATATTATTATTGTTTTTATTTAAACGTTAATATATTTCTAGAGTTTTTTCTTAAAAATATATTTATACATTGACATTAATAATACATTAACTTAGTAGTACATTGTATTGAGGCCAGGGTAATAAAAAATACTTCCAAAGATTTATTATAGTCTTCCAAAGATTTTTAGGCATAGAAGCTAAATGGCAACTGTAAATAAGCCGTATCAAGCAATACTCGATACCGGCAATTTTTATGAGTACTTGCGTGTACTTACCGTGCTGTAGAATCAAGTACTCAGTATCGAGTATCGTTTTTGAAAGTATCGATACCTACTCGGTATCAAAAGTATCGTTCGAACCCTAGTGGTAGCTACGTGCGCTCCTGGTATTCACATGAAAATATTTCAATGCTTCTTTGGAAATATTGAAGTCAAGCGAAAATATTGTATGATCATTTGAAATATCAATTAATTCTAGATGAAATGTAAAAGCGACATCGCTATTGTCGTGTCATTGGTGTCATTCCACGTTAATGTCAATGTCAATTTGATGTCAGTGGCGAATTTTTTGGTTCACTATCCGTAGTCTTATAGGATTTATGCTTTTTAAACTGGATAAATATACGCATAATCTTTGAAAATGGCAGATCGCCTTTCTATACACGATGATATTAAACTGTAAGTGCATCAATATTCTTTATAATTGTATAATACTTGCTTTTATTTGCAAGCGAATTAGTCACAGGTTCTATTCAATCTGTAACTTTAAGGTTTCCTTGAAAGCTTTAGTTATATTATATTATTACACGTTAATTATATTTATTAATTAATATGTAATATATATAGATGCAGTTTTGTATTTAATAAGAGTTGGGATATATATAATTTTATATTTGCTTTTGAAGGTATTCCTATTGTTTTAGGGGTATACATTTGGCGTTTTTGAGTATAGACAATTCTCTTATCTCTTTTTATGCTCTATCTATACCAATATTAATTAGACCAAGTCAAATTTAGTACATAGATGAATTATAATGTTTTCAACAAGAATTATAATCTTAAAAATAATTTCTGTCACATACACCTACAAATGCCTGCTCAATGATTCTAATATTCAATGTACAATAATTATTATTTCGTTTGTCCATATTATTTTAAAGTATAATCTCAATGACACACCTCAGATAATAAAAACTATATAATCTAACACTATTTTATTATAGCTTTTAAAAATACTTGTACAAATCTAAGATTTCTGAGATTACATAGTGTATTGTTGCTGCAACTACTGCCTCAGTTAATTCCATTAACAGTCATAGTAATTATATAATTTAATGCTAAATTTACTGTAATTTTCTTAAGTACCATATGTAATAATGGTATATAATCAGTTTTATCATTTCAGGTATATTACTTCAGATAAATTTTATTTAGAACCACACATTAATCCTACAGAGGTTCTTGTAATAGATAGAGTAACAGGAGAAGCATCTGTAAAAGGTATTTTTAAATAAGGTTTCATATTTAAATAGCTTTTTTCCTTTTAGATAACACTATTTCACTGATGAATACAAATCAGTTTGCTTGAAGTGTTGTATTTTTATTTACACTAAAATATGAGTGGTATTAAAGGTATATGTCAATTTTGTGTGCTTTGTGGAATTTATAATAATATGTTAGGCTGTTTTTAAATGTACAGATTAAATATTACATAAACTTTATTAAATTAGTTAAATAGTATCCATTTATATTAAAATTTTAGATGATTGTGTTATATAAAGACAATTGTATAATTAAATCTTAATATTTTAAGCTAGACTCAATTTTGATTCTGTCCGTGCTTGATAATGTAAACAAGTGGCTTACATGACTTCATTATCTGGTCAAAAGTCAGTATAATTTCTATTCAAAGCTATTTGGAAGCATCTAGATCTAAATGTTAAAGTGTACAAATGAATTAATAGAATATAATGTCTACAATATGTTAATGTTTTTATTTTTTTTTAGAATATGGTACAGTTAAAATACCAATTCCTGCCTCTGCATACAGACCAGTTTGTGGTTTCCTTGGGACCATTAAACTGATATCTGGATTGTATCTGGTTGTGGCTAAATATAGGATATTAGTAAGTATAAGTTCCTGTAAAATTAGAAAGTATGAAGAAGTAGTGAATTATCCAAAACTTGTTGAATTGATATTTACAGATTGGCAGACTAAATGGGCATGATATATACCAGTTAGCAGGATCAGAGATCATTCCGTATGCTAGATCCACAACACATCTCACTAATAAACAGGTTTGTTTTAAATCTCTATATATGATTTAACTGGAATTGAATCTGACATCAGTGACGTTGAAACCTTAAAACCATGGTGTGAGAAACACTAGAGTTTGTCAGTATGATGTTAGTTTCATGTACTTTTTGTAGCCTCCCAGCCAAGATAACTTATTTAGCTCTACATATCATTTTCATTGGTTGATATACAGTGTACAGGGAGACTTCCAGAAGTCTCATAGTCTATACTCATTAATACAATAGTGTTTATTGTAATTAGATAAATTATGTAGTTCTATGCATTTATTTTCATTTATTATCAATTTTCATATTGATAAGATCGATGGTTTATACTCATTAATACAATAGTTTTTGTCTCTGCTATGTATTACCTGCATTATGTTATGAAAGTGTTTATGTATAAGTAAAATACCCCGCATCATAAATTCCATTCCACCAACTACTAAAAATGACTGTCCAAATGCAGGGTTCTGTTGCATGAATAACTTTTTTCTTGTTGACTGCCTAGTTAGTTTAGAACTCTGTCTAAACTAACTAATCAAAGCCTCAAAGAAAATAATAAAATTGGTCCTTGAAGAAATATTTATACAGTGCCAAACCACAGTACAGTATTTATGGACAATTTTAACCTTCAATTACAGTCATCAAGCCACCATTTTGTAAATCTTGTTGCAAACTTACTGTCGAATGACAAACTCCTAGGGGCTTGCATACCCCATTTTGAGAAACCCTGGTGTATAGCATGTACTATTTCAGATTGAAGACAACAATACATATGAGAAAATGATACGTTTTGCATTGGAGAGCCCTGGCTTGTACTTCTCATATGGCTATGACCTCACTCACACTCTGCAACGGTTACACTCCGTCGCGCCAGACTTCCACATGGTAACTTATTGTGTTAAGATATATAGATTATTATTTTTCAATTCCTGCTATGTTTATTACCATGACTGTATTTTACTTAGGGATGGTGACTATATTTTTAAGTTAGGTAGATTATTGCAGAATAACATTGAGTTAAATTGGCACATGACATCACGGTTTTGTACTTTTTCTATAAAGCTGTGATATATTGGGCCCCCACTCAACTAAGCTATTTTCTTGTTAACTAGAAGTAAAAAAATATGTAAAAAAAATTTATTGTATTATCTGACTAACGGACTAAATAGAATTTCTTTTATTTTTACCCTTCTGATCTCTAAACTACATAGATCTTTACCTATGAGAATCTATAAAGAGTTGTGTTATTTTAATTTAATATTTGTATGGAACCCTTGATGTGCAAGTGCGAGTCGCTCTTTGCTGATATTTCTGATTATTGTACTGTTTCAGATGTCTATAGCAACACGAGCAGATCCTCGCTTCTTATGGAACGGGCACCTGTTGAAAGATTATTCACAGCAACAGTTTGCTAGATTCGCCCTGCCTATTATACAAGGGTGTATCCTTTCTCAAAATTTAATATAAATAACTTTTTATTATACAGTTAGGACCAGTAAGGAGCTTTATGGCGCAGTGGTCGGTCACGGGATGGGTGACTACAAAATTATTATCTCGAGCTATTTCATGCTTCGGAAGGCACGTTAAGATGTTGGTTCCGGCTGATTTTGCAGTCGTTAATACCCCCAATCCGTATTGGGTCAGCATGGAAGTTCCATCTACCTTAATCGTCCATAAGGAAGGCTTGAGCTCCTGCAGTGGAGACGTAAAAGAGACGATGATGACGATAGTACTCAGCGCTTATCCACTACGCCACAGAGCTACTACATTGAGCGTGAGCTACTCTATTGAGCACTGAGTACTATACTATACTACCCTATTGAGAACTAAATATCTCCTGAACCGTGAGTAACAGTTGTGTCAATAAACCACGTGACCGTGAATGGTCATCAGCTGACGTGGTCGTTGGTGTCTCGACGTTGCGTGCATCGCGCCGGTACTAGATTCTTCATGCGCGGTGTGGACTCGCAGGTCAGTGCCGACTATCGACTTCGGCCACCTTAGGCTGTACTATCGTTTTTGGGTCAGGCAAAAGAAAATACAATGACTTTCGACGCTGTAAGCCAACACGTAAAACCAAAACGGACATATGGAGTGGAAAAATCTTTATATTTTTCAAAAATAAAAATCTTATTTCTGTATAAATTGACCAAGGAACACCTTATTTGTTACTGTGGACGTTTATAGGAATAATTTATCGAAAAGAAATAAAAGTTTTTGTGCTTTGAAGAACACATTTGGTTTTGCGGTAACCTTCGTGTTTGCTTTCTAGCGTCGATATGTACTTTATATTTTGCGAGCTAAATAGGAATAGGACTGTCAAACAGTTATCTCGGTTTGGATTGCGCTTTAACTTTTAACGCTATAATGTAAGGTGTGCAAAAAAATTACGATTTTTTTTATGAATGGTGTATCGTATGTCGATATAAGGAGTTAACGCACATTGGTATTTGTAATGGAACCCGAAATCATAAAACGGTAACGCCTTTAAAGTGGCCACCGTTAACGTTGCGACAAAAATTATCAACTTTATATTTTGTGGAAAAAGGAGCAAGAGACCAATTAAGAAAATATACTTTATTAATTCTTGATAAAGTATGCTGTTAATAAACTCAATAAAACATATGCTTAAAGTTAAATGAATCCAAAAAATATTATGAGATTTTTTTTGTTGACAGTATAAAATGATAGCTAAGCCCTGAAGTTGGTAGCAATATTAATCTAATTTTTTATTTAGCTCAAATAATAGAAATGTTAGTGCTTAAAATATATTTTTATATATATTTGCCCTAATTAGCTGAATCTTATGTTACCAGTGCCTTAAAAAAATACTTTTATTTGGACATGAGTCCACTGTATTCAAAAGCCCAAAATTTTCAGACCAAAGAGTTTCTTTTGCCATTGCCAAAATTACACTCTTTAATCGTATTTACATCAGTGTTTTATTTTGTTGTGATTTTTTTTATGGGCGTAGTTCTAATGTTTTTGCCTATGGAGCAAAGTTCCAATGAGCCAGCACAGGTTACAATCATCAAATAGTTAGGAACTACTAGATCTTGAGCTTCGATCGAAATACGCCGAAGTGTTGCGGCTACAGTAAAAAATACTTTTATAAATGTATTATTTATTAGGGCAACGTAGCAAACTTCGTGGAGACCGAACAGATTGTAGAGAGGAGTGGGGAGAAATCTTCGTTTGTTCAGACCCGTGGCTCCATACCCTTGTATTGGAGTCAGTATCCGAGTCTGAAGTATAAGCCGCCTATGGAGTTAGCTCACGAGGACCACGTCGCGGCTTACACTAAGCATTTGAGAGACCAGCAATTGCGGTACGGCAATCAAGTGCTTGTCAATCTGGTGAGTGATTTTTTTTTAAGAAAACTTAGTTGTTATGGTGATAGATACGTCACGTTTTATTTACTAACAATATTTAAATACTCTGATATTTATTTATTTATTTTATTTAACACTTCATGTACATAATACATTGGTGGACTTAATGCCTTAGGCATTTTCTACCAGTCAACCAGATGGGTGATGTGGAGATAAAAGGTAGTATGCACATTGTAGAGGAGATATAAACAAAGGAAATAAGACCTATAACAAAATACATAAACAATACATATATACTTTCATATCTACATATACTAATATAATATATAATGTACATATATAATATAATATAATATAGACGACTAACGGTGTAACCAATTAGCCTGTTCCAGTAGAAAGCTATGCAGCTTGTTTTTAAATGTAACTTTGCTGGTGGACATTCTGATGTCCAACGGAAGTTCATTCCACAACAGAATCTATTTAACGAAAAACGAAGAATGGATGTTATTCGATGATGATAAAGATTATGCATGGTGGATGTTGAGGATCGTTAGCTAGACTGACCTATTTTTATACGTTTTCTATAGTTTTTTTTATGTATAAATATGTTTATTTAATTTTGTTTTTGATATTGACATATGGTCTTATGATTGATTGACTCCTGCTTTGGCGAGGACCCTGGCTATTGCGGATATTAAATAGTTTTATAAAGATTCTAAATTGGATTTATTTTCACACCTGTGCCACACCAATTCTTCGTCGTCCTCTTCGTCGATAACAGTGAATTTTTGAGATTGGACAGTAAAGGCAGGTACAGTAACAGTACGTCGGGTTACACAAAACTGTTAAATTTGCTAATTTAATATTAAACCTTAATACATTGAGGGTAGTTATTAAAGGCCGTTTCAGAAATTTGACATATTCGAGTAACTCGAATGATGTGCAGCCGTTTGTACGTTTCTCGCTTATATATTCTAAATTGCATTTGTCACCATCATCATCAGCCCTTTTGCGTCTTCACTGCAGAGGTACTGGTTCGCCTTATGGTTGGTAAAAGAGGATGGACCTTAAGCCTTCACCAATGCGAATTAGAGGGTATTAACTATTGCAAATGTAGCCGGGGATAATGTTTTAACCTGCCTTCCGCAGCACGGGGTAGCTCGAGATAGTTTTTGGACACCCATCCAGCGATTGATCCTTGCGGAAGTTGCTTAACCAAGACGACAGCAGGCCGTGGCGTTTATCCACTGCGCCATAGAACCACCCCACGTTAATATATTTTGTTAATATAGTTGTCAAAAAATTCTAAAACACTAAAACATTTTTTATGTCAATCGAATCTATTTCATGTGGAAGTCAAAATACTCTATGAGACCATTTAAAGCATATATACTAGAAATACTAATAAAAATATTTTTTTAATTTTCTTACAAATACCAGTTACATAAATATTTGAGGCCCTGACTTCTATGCTAGTTTTACTTGTATTATAAAAGCCAGCATCTCCCCAATGACATTTCAATATTGAGATAGGCTCGGTGGCGTAGTGGATAAGCGCCGCGGCACGAGATCGTTGTCGTTAAGCAACTTTCGCAAGGATCGGTCACGGGATGGGTGACCAAAAATTATTATCTCGAGTTACTCCGTGCTTCGGAAGGCACGTTAAGCCGTTGGTCCCGGCTGCATTTGTAGTCGTTAATACCCGCCCATGATTGGTCATGGCCCATGCTCCTTAACCATCCATGAGGAAGGGCTGAGCCCCTATAGTGGGGTCGAAATAAAGGGCTGATGGTGATGATAGGCACTAAGTACAAACAAGTTGGTATATCATAAGACTGAAATCTCCCAAAAATGACTTCATACACCGTGTAATACGTGTAAAATGGCGCCTTGTATCAGATCGACCAGCAAGGCAAGGAAGAGGCGTTAGAGCGCGGATACCGCGCGGCGGTGGCGGCGGCGGCGCTGCCCGGCGTGCGGTACGAGCCGTTCGACTTCCACACGGAGTGTCGCGGCATGCGGTACCATCGGCTCAACGTGCTCATAGACAGGATCACACACGAACAGGTACAATTGGGACGGGTTCGATGTTTGGCCGAATTAATTATAGGCTTTATTTACTCTATATGTTTACTATTAGTAATCCAATAGATTGCGATAGATTACCGATTCGAGTCCCATCTGAGACTGGTGTACATTTTTTAGGCATTTTTCTTTAAAGATATTTATCATAGCATTGTAAATACAACTTCGCTGCATAAGAGAGAGCAAAGTAGTCCTTGCTGAGTTTCTTGCCGGTTCTTCTCAGTATAAGATCTCCCGCCGTAGATTTGCGAATTGGCGTAGTTTTCGACATTCAAAAGTGCCTTTTTAATCCACGCAAATTGTCAGTGCGCTTGGCCGCCATTTTGCTGATGTATAATGTAATGTTCAACAATCAGTACCGTTAACAAATAAACACCGGTTGACGATTACACTTATTTATTTGGGTTGTGTTGAAATAACACACTATTTTTGTTAATTGTTAATACCTTTGTTGTTACTTTAATAGTAATATAATAGTAGATTTCCACAGTAACTAAACGTTGTTGAAGTGGCAACATAAATACATCTTTGAAAATTTCAACTATCTAACTGTCACAGTTCATGAGACAAATCCTGGTGACAGACAGATAGTGCAGTAATAGGGTTCCCGTTTCACCTTTTGGGTACGGAACCCTAAAAATAATTCTATCCTTTTGCTATAGCGTTATTTCAAAGTAAATGTTATTTTTTTATATCTTTTTGTTTTCTATATATTTCAATACATATGTATGTTTAACATATGTATTGCCATTATCGAAAAATCTTGCAATAAATTAACCAAACGAATGTCAATAAATATTAAAACAATATTTTAATGATTATTCATAAATATATCAATAATTAATAAATCATTTATCTCTTGCGTTTTGTGCTATCTATACTTTCTAATTTCAAATGACGTCACGCGGATATTATTTAGAAAAGGTTTCAGCCATTAAGCAATTTGCGGAACTTATAACAGATTATAATATAATTGTGTCGTTGATGCAGAACGAATTCGGTTACTTCATGTCTCGCGGCGGCACTGTACTTCTACGTCAGAGCGGTGTGTTCCGCACTAACTGCGTGGACTGTTTGGACCGCACCAACGTGGTGCAGTCGTTGCTCGCGCGGCTGCAGCTCACCGCCGTCCTGCGGCTGCTCGACATCGCACCGGAACCGCCGGCGCACTTCAACGAATTGTTTAATACGGTCAGTTGACGTTTATAGCAGATTCCTAGACGAAAGAGTTCGTGAAACCATTTTTACACCCCGTTATTTTCGAACGCTAGGAAACCAACGAATATAGCTAATTTGACAGTTGCACTCGGTACGTATCTATGAAATAACATTACACTTGCTATAGTCGTTAAGTTACACTACTGAATTTGGGGTGACTGCAGCCCCTGGGGTCTAATTTTTTAAAACCATCGTAATACCTTTCAACTTCGTGCTATAACTACCTATTTGATGTGTGATAGTGATTGCATTTTTTGTATGATATTGAATGAATGATGTAGTTAACTTGACGTTAATTGGATTTAAAAACTTTTAAACTTTCACGTTGCATTATATTAGATTGTATAAGACGGGTACGGTCAGCCCGTGACCACGGCCGGTGTAACCTGGTCGAAACGTCGGGAAATATAGGTAGGTGAAAAACCTAACTATCGTTAATTGGATTTGTCTAAGGCAAGCGTCTGATGCAAATATCTTTGATAGTTATTGAGAAATATCAAGCGAAAGAGTTTATGTATATCCGCAATTAATCAATACAATATGGTTTAGTTAAGTTTTTAATGTTTCTTCATCATTCGTTCTAAAAGCGATTGTTACTTTAAATGTTACATAATTCCATAAATTTATACCTTAAAAGGGATTGCGATACAAATTTAAATTAGATAATAAGACCCACTGGTGACATTAGAATTACGAATATTTAGCTCAAACTAGTGTGATCTATTTTTTAAACGATAACATAAAACGTTTCTTTTGCCTCCTTCGGCTCAGTCTGTGACTATTAATCGTTAGCCTTATAGAATCTTGTTATAATATTATGTAAGTTAAAAACATAAAGTTACCTTTGGCTAACTGCTCTCCCAAAATTATTATCATTTATTATCAATAATGAGACAATCTACCGTAATTTATGCCCGTTTTCACTAAACTTAAGAGTCGCCTAATAATATTCAGGAATCACCCAAGGTGAAATTCAATTTCACTAATGACTAGGACTTACCTAACGACATTAATGAATATAATTACTATATTACGTATCATTTTACTACTTTAACATGTCTTTTGGTGGATTGATTTGGGATAAATGACTTAGTTGTAAACACTATTGTCAGATCCAAATTAATCATTCTTTATCATTCGTTCTTCGTTATTAAAGTACACGATAAAGTAGGAAAAGGAAAGGAAATAGCGCTATAACATCGCTACGATGCCGTATCCTATGGCTAGAGTTAGGCGGCTGCTCTGCAGGAGTCGCTCAAAATTTCCTGTTTTCTAAAGCGCTACAGACGTACAAATATCACATTCGACAGGTGTGGGCCGATCACGCTGATATGATATCCATCCAGTACTCGGGCACCGGCGCCTTGAAGACTGACTTCACCAGGACCGGCAAACGGACCCACCTGGGATTGATCAAGGACGGTATCAACTCACTCACCAGATATTACAAGAACAATTTCAGTGATGGTTTCAGACAGGTAAGTTAAATGCAGAGTAGGAGACTTATGAAGAAATTAAAAATGATTGTGAAATTTAAATTCCACAATACTTCATTGCTGAAATTAAATGGAAATGACAGAGATGTCATATTAATCGGAAATCATTTAATTTCTGTTTTTACATATTCTTAGAAAATGACACCAAAATCCAGTTTTTAGGTAGACGATTTTTTAAATATTTTTATTTTAAAGATATGCTTGAAATATACTTACAAAATATCTTAAACGCTTACCGCTGTTTCGGTGATGATTTGACGTCACAGTCCTCTGAAACTAACATAAACGATAACAACAACAAACATCGTTCTATGCACAGTTCTATCAAAGTAGTCAGTGTTAAAGTCAAATTTATGACATCTTCCTTAGAGGACTGTGACGTCACGCGCTGTTTGCCGTCACGTGATAACGAATATAAAATAAGTGTTTTTCATAATGAATTTAAATAATATTATAAATAAAATAAGCATGGCCGTGTGATTACAAGTAATAGTGCATTCCGAAACGTTCTTACATACACATTACCGATTAACGTGCAACTTGGTAGAGTTCTACGTACTCGTAATTAGGTCAACTTCGATCACCGGTGATAATATATATATTTTTCTTCTATCAGGACTCCATAGATCTGTTCTTGGGTAAATACGTCGTGGCAGACGGTGAGGGTAACACTGTGGTCTGCCCACTACGCAGGGACAGAGACTGGAAATATATTACGGTGAGATAATCAACATGTTTAGGCCCTTTTTACATTTGGTTTAGTGCCATACATAATGGAGAAGTTAATAATTTTTTTTTAGTTTAAAATGAAAGAATAAGCATAATAAAAAAAAAACGATGAATATTTAATATATTTTTGTTATGTTGTGTTAAATATAATAATATCAACATCATGAAACTACCTCATTCTAGACAAATAAAGTATTAGTATGCGTTTTATGTATCTATAAATGAATAAATAAAAAATGCTTAAATTATTATATGTAGTAATGTATTCTCGAAATGATTAACCGCAGAACTGCTTTTAGTTCTGTATTATTTTTCAGATATTAATCGACTACTTATTTAAAATATAAAAAAACGTCAAGTAACCAATTTAAAGTGATATAAAGAAATTTGACAAATTTGTATATAATATAATATACCTAGTATTAAACAATATATTATCCTGTATAGTTCCCGTCGGTCCTGCTGGTGGCAGTATCGATGTTCTGCGCGAGCGCAACTCTTCCACAGCGGTATAGCAGCGAGGTGTTGATGTACCTCATGTTTTGGGGCGCCTGCGTCACTGCCACATTGTCCTTCATCTTCCGGTAATTATATATAACTAGCTGTTCTCCGCAACATCGCCCGCGTAAATTCTAGCCTATGTCACTCGCGTATGATTTAGCTTCCCGTATTTGAAATAATTTAGCATATATAATTATGCTATAATATTGCTTACAGCTCAATTATCAGTACAAATTTAGCCAAAAAGAGTATGTAATGTTTTGCCCTGTACTGCTAATGTTAATTTTATTTAATGTCAACTTATGCCAATAGTGACAGTTGTAATGATAGTTCTATAACAGCTTCTTCGATCAAAGGATTTTTTATCTATCATTAACTATATACATATTATTAAACTAAATCAAAAAGTTTTTGTTCAAAACTGTATCTTTTATTCGTAAAAACAATGACAAAATTTTAAAGAAAATTAAACCTTACCATCCAAAAGTTAAGCAGTTATCTATGTAGTATTATATTTTGTGACTTAGTTTCATAAGTGTTCGCGACTTCAAAGGAATCAGTTTGTAATTTTACGAAATTTTCATTCCTATGCAAGCCTTTGTCCAAATTCGCGAGTTGACTCTAGACGGAAAAGAAGGTGTTTTCACAATAAATTGTTGACACATGTTCTAAACACACGTTAAAATCCATAAATTACATATTTTAAATAATTAACTCATTTAGAAATTACGGTTTTTAATATCTGAGTCACGTGACCGTAATTGGAAAATTTTCATAATCACATCATCATCTTCAGCCTTTATAAGTCCCCACTGCAGGGACTCAGGCCTTCCTTATTGATGGTCAAGGAGGATGGGCCATGACCCTCCACGCTGGCTCAATGTGGATTGGAGGGTATTAGCGACTGCAAATGCAGCCGGGACCAACGGCTTATGTGCCTTCCGATGCACTGAGTAGCTAGAGGTAATAATTTTTTGGTCACCCATCTCGTGACCGACCCTTGCAAAAGTTGCTTAGCGACAACGATCGCAAGCCGCGGCACTTAACTTATCCACTACGCCACCGAGCTACTTCATCATCATATGATGACATTAAACTGTCATTACTAATGCATGTCGATTCATATTGAAACTGTAACTGTACGTTAAATGTAAATAGGTGCGTATCCACTGAGCGAGCTCAATCGCGAGACGTGCGCGCGAGCCAATAGCAAATGTGATACGCAAAGCTCGGTGTAAATGCAGCAACTAGCACATGTAGTAAACAAACAAACTTTATCAAACATTTTGTATTTTGGTAATGGAAAGGAAATGAATTCCTTTATGTAATAACCCTTTCGGTTTTTTTATGTATTTCCCAAAAGTAACCAATTTTTAACGCCGAAAAAATTGCAATCTTAGAATTCGCGTGGCGTGTACCCGAGGCTGCTCGCCCAGTGAATACGTACCCAAACACTAAAATGTACTTGAAGTCGAGAGGCGTAGAGTTGATATTGTAACTTTTTCCTCAGCCACGGCAAAGAGTTCGTCGACTGGCCTCGCTTGGACGCGGGTGGTTTGGCCGCGAGCCGCTCGTCGCATTTATGATCTGCGATACCCCGCTCGTAGTCGTCGTCTAAACGCATCCCTCTCCCGCGTATAGCGCTCTCCCCCTCGCACGCACACGAACTTATAGACGTCGTTGTACATTCGTACTAGACACATTTTACCTTCATTCATTCTTTAGGTACTTTACTGAATTTTGTCATTTAAAGACATTTTTTAACGTGATTTTTATGTGAGAAGTTTTGAAAAATTTCGCAATAATTATATCGTTTCTTTTTCAGTTTACTAGTACAGGATGTCCATTTAAATTAATCTAATACTAGAGATGTACCGAGTGCTAAGTATACCGATTATTATCGGCTGAGTTATTCGATTGAGTAATGCAAGTTTGAGATGCGACAACCTGTTTGAACATCTACATGTTGTAGTTTATATGTACAATTGGTAATACCCAATTAAGCAAATACTCGCCATTTGAACTATTTGACCTAATAGGAAACATAAATACTCGGCTCGACTCTTGATTTTTTATTAACTGGCCATGGGTTAAACGTTATTGAATATTTAAAGTGATTGTACAGCGACGTCTACGTATATTATGTTCTCTAGGAGCCATATCTTGTTAGGATCCCCTGCAAACAAAGACTGCAGTGTCTAAATAATTCAATTCAAATTAAAATATTAGGCAGCTATCTCATTTTATTGTTTTGCCAATATTAATACTGATTAAGGTCTATGTCTTTGTTTTCTAATGAGGCATGGCTCTTAAGTTTGGTACACATTGATGGATGACATTAAGTTTACTATCTTATGAGAGTAGGTATTTGTAATATCATTTATTACATTTTGCACGGTTTGATGAGATATTTTTTTTAATTAAGCATGATCTGCTGTCGGAGTAAATTGTGCCACTAGTCCTTTTAGTAGTCCTTTCGATTCCTACCTCCGGGTTAATCGCATTGTTTAAACTATGAACTCTGTTAAAATTTACGTACTGAAGTGCTAAATAATTACCTAAACTTAATATTTGAATTTTGAGAGAGTCAGGCATGCTTTGCGTACGAGAGTTTGTAAATACTGATTGTTCAAGTAACTCGCGATTTCAATTGTTTCTGTTACTTGCACCATATACAGGGATCAGTACAGCCTGAACTATGTTCACTGCTATTATCTGTGCTTTATAATCATTTTAATGATGAAGTCAATGTGTGCCGGACTAATACGTCTATAAACATGTTTTATAGACTTTCCATACGTTCATTCCCAATTCCCCGCTTTACTTCTTCCCATGGAAACATCAAAATAGTTCAAATCACACTAAATGTAAGTATCGATGTATTAAGGTTAAATTAAATAATGTTGAATTTCTCGCTCGTAGCGAGAATCTTATATAATTAAAATACAAAAATTCCTAATGTACATTCTAAAGTTAATGTAAATTGGTTAAAATTTTGAATTAGACGTGGGTCGAACGTCGAGAAAACCGACTACTCAGTAAAATATACCGATTATAAATAATAATAGAGGACTGCAATTAAAAACATAATGAATAATTTAATCTGATACATTTGTTGACTTCTATATTGCAAACATTTATATATGAAACAACTTTAAAACGATTTCGTCGCGTTTGTATTTTCCTTTTATTGACGTTTCAGGCCCGTTATTAAAAAGATAATTAACACCTTACTCTAATGTGAATACGAAACCTGTAAAGGTTTATGAAACCATTTAAAAGTTGTTTCAATTGTGGATAGTGCGCTAGAAAATATAAGAAATTGTCACTTTATACATAAAGAAAGATATACTTTATTGGTAAATTTAATTTAGTCTGCGTAGTAATTGGTAAATTCTAAACCAACAAAATCATGATCAGCCCATCTCCACTAGTAATTCATTTAACGAAATAGTTTTTCACCATGCAATTTTTATATGTACTTTGTCAAATACAACTTTTGAGCAATTTAACAACTGGCTTGAGCTGAAACGCCACGGTTTTACATAACAATATGGATATTTGTATAGAAAAAAAAAAAACAAATTAGAACACTATCGTCGTTTCTTGAAATTCAAAAGGAATGATTCCGTGGCGTTCTACTTTAAACTAGATTGATTCTACTTATGAGCTAATTTTCTGTTTATACATAATAGATATTTAATGATATTGTATCAGGTAATGATTTATTATTGCAACGACGAATATTTCATTTATTTATGCAGTATATGGTTAACATCATACTGAGTTGTTCAAAACTGACTAATTTCTCCAATCAATATTACGTTTTAACGATTGTAATTAAAATTGACTGCGGAAATTTTTGTTTCGGTTTATCTAAATACTTCCGCTCGTGTCCAATTGCACTGCGTTAAATTAGCTTTATGAAGGTAATTTAGTGAACAAACAATTGAGCGGTGAGAGGTCTATTATATGTATACACAGTAAAGTTGAAGAAATTAATGTGTCACTAATACTATTTTAATAGTCTTATAAATTTCCAAATCCACAAATCACACAATGAAAGTACAAACCAGTAAACTTATGTTAAACTTATCTCCTCAGTAATTTCTTTAAACGTTACAACTATTTTATATTCGAGGGCCTATATATAACATTAATGTTTGTGTTACAATAGTAGTTACAAATAGTAGAACCACACTTTAATGTAATTTAACAAATAAAAGTATTTTGTAAATTAAAGCTGAACCATAGTTGATACGTTATAACTGGAATATAAAAAAGTGATTATGAAAGGACATAGGATTATGAAAATGTTATAGAAGTGTTTTGTTTATTTAGTATAATCAGTGTATATGTAACAGGCTTCTCACCTCAAGGGTCCAATATATTTCGCTGTGAGACTTAGATGCAAATAATTGAATTAATGATAATTATTTCTTTGTTTTTGTTTGGTTGTGTGTAAAACAAACTTATTTAAAAAGAAAGCGACAGCTATTTATTAGCCTAATGTAAAATACATCACCAGTAATGAACTAGATGAGAAATCACTACTTTAATAGGGTTCCATGGGATCATTCACATGTTAATTACAGTTTTGTAAATTAGCATTCCATTTTGGCCATTATTCGGCCTTAGTAAATATATTTCAATTTGATTATGGTAACAAAATATGAAAACGGAAATAGGAGTGTCAAGAAAATGCTTTTGAACTTATCTTAAATGGAAATGTAGGTCATACTTATTTCTTGTGCAGATTGCAAGCATGTATATTCTTTATTTATTTACTAGTATTTATGCACGTATTCGCATAAAAGTAGCCTATGCAATCTGGAATAATATAACTTTAAAATATCAGGTTCTTTTAAATATAGATATGTGGCTGGAGATTATTCTCCGTATATAAACAGCAAGCAATCACAAAATCGCTGTTCCTTTAATATTTCTGTAGATTGTTTATAATAATGCCAAATGACGTTAAATTAACATTTAAGAGAACATGTCAGAGTTAAACATTAATCTTAAAGAAATATGTATATAAATTTACTTGACATTCTTTCCGTTTTTGGTGGTAGCGCTGGTGGTTGTTACTGATCGGTGAACATTAATTATGATGGGTTTTTGCGAGGACGTGGTGAATTTTAAAAGATATGTCGCACGGTTATTTTATACAACGCTAAATGTTTATTTCGCCAAAATCCCGGGTAGCAAATAAGTCGGTAAAATTTGTACGTTAAAAAAATAATATGCGAGTGGGAATCGAATCGCAACTTCCAGGCTTTTTTGGCGGTATTAATGAGAGTTATTTGGAGTCTGTATTGTTTATGTGAAGTTTGGCTTGTAAAAGTGACATAGTTTTGTAAAATACCTTCATGCAAGTGAAGAATATATGTATATTTGACTTAAATTGGCTTCTGATTGTGGTAAAATGATCATAAATACCACTCTCGGATATGTCTAGATTCTTTTGCTTTAAATAAAACAGCAGCAAACCACTCCCTGGTTGCTGTTTTATTTCAAGGACCACTATTTGTGGAAGGTTGGATTCCCACTCGGATTATTAGGTTATTTTCCAAGAAATAAATATACTACATTTTATTCGTTTACTAGAAAATTATTAAACAATTTGTATATATATATTTTTACTCGACTTTCATACAAAAATATTAAAATAATTGTGTGATACCAATTTAGACGACGATGCGAGTGTTCGAATGTTTTCTTTTATCGCCGTAGATGTACCACTGCTATGAGAGATGTATTGTTAAGAAGATTGTATTCTACTATGTAATGTATTTAAAATCTTAAATATTCGGCGTGAGGTGCGATGTAGTTATTTACGATGTAGATATCGAGCCTAAGCAGTAATCGGTCAAAAGTTGTAAACCGCTGTCTCAGTTGTACAATTATCCCCATATAGTAACTAATGTTTTTTGACTTGATTTGTTCATTATAACTTGCAATAAAGAGCCTTATTTAAATTGAAATAACATTCACTTTAAAAAATTATAACTTTTTTTTATTGACATCAAAAATTTAATTATGTCATTCGGTAGTAAGGCTCTGGTAACTTGAAAGATAATTGAAAGCCTAATGTTCCAAACTTCCTTCTTAAATTTTTACTTTGTATATAATTTGCTTATGTAATTTTGTTGTTGCTCCTTAGCAGTGGAATATTTATTGTGTAGTAATTATAATGTTGTTATTAATCATGTTTCTCGTGATTTCATAAGTTAATTTATATTTAAAATAATAATTATAATTTTTGCTAAATATAATAAATAGTCAATCAAAATTTATTTGTTTTATTTATTTCATCTGAATGATTTATACATAGTATGAAACAAAGTAGCTCCCGCAGCTATCTGTACGGTGGGATCGTTTAAACTACACAAGGGATTTTAATGCGCATGCATCAATATACAAAGTGATTCAAGAGGAAGATTTTTATTATAATAAAGGACCGCAAGAGCGAAGCTACTGGCGGAAACCTAGTAATTAATATAAAGTCGAAAGATGCCCACTGCTGAACATAGGCGTCCCCCATCTCCAAATAATTAATAAGTATTTATTTATAACTCGTACCGGGTGTGCAACCGCTCAACTCTCTCGCTATAACTAGACATAGCTATAAAAACGTTTTATTTTATCGTAAACGTTTTTGTATATTTATTTATATATTTTTCCAAAAATTTCGGTTGATTTAAATTTTATAAATTTGTCTAAATTCGTTTTTTTATGAGCATATTTTATTTAGACAAACTTGGCATTAAGTGTTAATTCATGTGAGCGAAATAATCATATATTCAATAGCTTTTACTATAAAAATGTAGGCAACTTTACCCAGTCGCTGGAGATCTTTATACTGTTCACAAGACTACAGTTATACTCTGACTACAGTGTATATTGTATACTACAATAATCCGAAACGCAGACTATTTGGCACAAAATAATACCAATAATTGGCGCTAATAATTAAATAGCGTAATTTCACCTCTAACACATATAGACGTTGACAGTGTACCTGGGTAGTTCAGTGGTTGGAGCAGTCGCCCGGATTGCGAAAGATCATGGGTTCGAATCCCATCTCAGGGTGCCAGGGACCTAGTGGATTTTTTAAGCATTTTTCATTAAGAATATTTTTCAGTAGGTATAGCATTGTGAATGCGAAATTGATGAAATATAATAATATCTGAAGTTTCAGTGTTCCAACTAATTTAATGTAACAAGATTTAAAAAATCAGTGATTTCACTAGAAAACATAACTGCAGATAATTTTATATTATTATTAGACATGTTGTGTATATCTTATAATTAGTGGTCATAATATCATAGTTACATATACAAAATGACACAGGTATAGATATCATTGATCTCTAAAAGACAAGTATAAAACATAAACGGATTTGAGAGCATATTAATCGATATGTTGAGTTAAAGGTTTTTAATGTTCATTTACATTAAAATGATAGTTTTCACGACATTTCGGCACTGTTGCAAGCGCCCCGATGATCGGGAACTCAATAAAAACAAGGTACTTGGTAGCAATTCCGTAAAAAAACATCATAATACTAATCGGTAATGTAAAATCCGATTAAAATAGTTTACAAATACCGTAGTCCGGTCATCTCTAACTTTTATCGATCAAAATGTCATTGTCAACAAGAGCACGTTCTGGAATCTATATTAAGATGGCTAGGTGCATGGGTAATTTTGATATGTTGTTCACATATCAATAATATACAGTAAAATTAAAAATAATAATATTTTTCAAAAAGGTGTAGATATTTTCATATAATAAGTAATTTTCACAAGCATTCAAAGAGTTGAATTGATAACTAATTTACATAAACATTAGAGTTTAAAAAAGGTTTCTCAACGTTATCCGTCCGTCGAGGAAAACTCGTCAGTTCGCCAGTGTTTTGCGAATTTATTTACCGTTCCGTTATCTCTTGATAACGTTATATTGTGAATAAAATAAATAGTTTTATTTTAATAATTATAGATTTGGTTATGTGTGTGAAGTGGTGTTACAGTTTTTCAGTGTAATTTAATTATAAGTGGAGAAATCAAGAGATGTGCTGAGTGTTTCTGATAAAAGTTTGCTGAATCAGGAACTACTATGTCTGATGAACTAGAAGCCAGGATGTGGGACGATGGAGGATCTCGATATGAGTCCAGAAGTCGTGGCGCTTATTTCGAGTCGGCGTTTGCTTCGTCTGAACATTTAGATAGAGCTCCTTTGTTGTCTGAAGTGAGTATATATAGTCTGTATTTATTATATTCTAAAAAACAGAGAACAGTCTGAATATAACAAAAAGTGTGTAAAACAATAATAATAATATATTATAATTGATCAATATTGCATTCAGAATGCTATACTCACAAATATTCTTAAATATGCTTAAAAAATCCATTTTGTCCCTGTCACTCTGAGATGGGACTCCAACCCTATGACCTTTCCCATGAGCAGTCGACCGGATTACGAAAGGTCACGGGTCAGAGTGCCAATAATATATTTAAAAACTGAAATACATAAAAGCTTTAAAGTATTATTTTGTAACACTGGTGAAAATATTGCCTCTAGAAGCAGTGAACAAACTAAAAAAATAGTTTTACAACCACATTCCTGTTAAAATATATACTGTCTAAAATCCGATTGTCGGCCCATCTGGCAAGGGGCTATTCTAGAATGTTTGTTCTCAAATGACCATTGGTTCTCTCTTTTTAAAAATTTTATGTTATTTATTTAGACTTATATAAAGCATATTGTGGTTAAAAACCACTGATGTGGTAAAACATCAAGCATGTCTCATGTCTTCATTGTCCACAGGGTGACTTTAAAACATAAGAACATTTAATAAATAAAAAAATATGTTCTTTACTAACATTATTTTTCTCAGTTATAGTTTTGAAATTATCCTAGTGAGTAACATAAAATACTTTTATTGGGACTATATTGCTCCAGCTCAGTGGCAAGTAAATATTTTAATCTTAACAAGAACCAACAGATTAACATTCATTCATTTAATAAGACTCAATATTTAGTGTTAAATCTCTTAATCTGGTTCTAACATTTTATCTTATCACTAATTTTAAATTATATTAACTATCACATAAAAATTCAAACCTGTCTTTTTAATAATCTTGAAGTTTTATAATCTTGATCCAAAGATAAGAATTTTTTTATCACAATTACAATTGTGTTGTAAATGATGTCTACATTGTAGACTATACTTCCTATGTCCATGTCAAAGACTGGCTAGGTTTATCTTATAGACTCTACAAGATAAACCTAGCCAGTCTTGGACATGACCAGATTTTTTGTACTTGTAATATTTGGGATTAATATATTTTATTATGAATTATTATGATTGATATCTAATAAAATATAACACAGATAACACATTTTTTTATAAGTGTTTCTGGATTGAGAGCAAGATGTAAAAACTATTTAGCTAAATTTATTTATACTACTGCTATTCAACCTATGGTTATTGGACACAATTTTTTGCTTTTGTAATTACAACTATTTTGAAAGCTTTTTTAATTTCTTTGTATTTCTAAAAAAATACCAATCAGTTTCTAAGGAGTGTTAATATGTATATTGTATATGCTTCAGATCAATGACCCCAATTTAGTCTAACTACCCTGATCACTGATCAATGACTCTCTCTGATGTATTCCTGTGGAAAGCATAAATATAATTATAAAAATATAACACTATCCAAAAATTTAAAACAATCTATTCAACCGTTATGCATTTTGTTCTTACTGTGGGTTGTCACCATTCAAGCAACAATAAATAAATACATATGTATTTTAATTGCCTCTGAAATTAATATTTTTGGTGGTCCTATAAAAATAAGTAAACATTAATATGTTTACTTATTTTCAGTACTATAAACTAATGTTTATAGTATTGAAATCCATTCATCATAACTCTCCTATAATAATATTAAATTACACTATCAGTATTTTAATATGAAGCCATTTTATCATGTACTTGTCAAACAAACTGATAAGCACATTGCTGACTACTGTTACTAACCATATATGCAGAACTGTAATTTGCATGTAAATGACATGGATTTTAAAACAAATTTATAGGCAAAGACAACATTTTGACTTTACTGCCTCAGTAGTGTTTAAAATTCTGGTTATTAAACAAATGCAATTCTGTTGGTGTTCAAGTAAATATGGTATAGTGGACGTCCATAAGAAGATTTTCTGGGTTTAAGCTCCATTTTGCCTCAGCCACACGATAGCACAATTCTAAGGCAGTTTTAGGCTTTTGGATTAAATTACTAATGTGGCGTGATCATGTTAGTTTTTGTTCGAAAGTGGCGCCCAAATATTTAACTTCGCTGAAGAAAGCTATGATAGTCCCTCTCATGCAGTGCATTGCAGTTGTAGTAAGTTAATTGAACTTTCGTTTCCTAATAAAAGGGACTATTCTCGTTTTGTTCGGATTTATCGATAGTTTTTTCTATGTTCACCATTTACCGATGACGTCCAGAGACCTTTGTAGTATAGATAATACAGTGCTTTGACATGGACCGATGTCTAAAGCTACCCACGTCATCCGCGTAGCCCTGTATATCTAAGTTTTATCTCGGAGGCCTGTGTTAGCAGTTGTTCAACAACTAGCGACCACAGCAGCGGCGATAGGACGCCGCCTTGTGGACAACCTATAGTAGTTTTGAAACTTTTTGATACTCCATTTAGGTAGACGTTAACGGTCCAGTTTAGGAGCATTGATTCGGACCTTTAGGAGAGAAGCTGAAAGTTTGATGAGTAAAATGGCCAGTCTGTATCGTAAGTCTATACTAATTTTTCACCAAATATCTGACAGCTACGACAAGTACGTGAGATTAACTGCAGTCATTAACATTTACCTACGCTCGTTCTGGCTCAACCATCACCAACTATAGTTGATGCCTCATATTTTTATTGGGATTGTAAGGTCTTAGTAAAGCGGTAAAATCGATGTAGAATAGGTGCATAGTGGATATGTAGTATTTATTTACAGACGGTACTTTAAAAGGCGTAGATGAAAGTTAAAGAGCGTCACGCAGTGTTAAGGAATGGTTTAATAAAGTGCACTATTTGCACTTACCGGCAATAAGTGTATATCAAGGTGAGCAGATAATGGTCTGGGGCGGTATTTACCAACGTCATCGTTTATAGTATGGCTAGCGTAAATTTCTCCTGATACGTGCAAGAGGTCATACAAGACCATGTGCTCAATTTATATGATAAAGCTTTTATTTTAATGTTTGGCAATGTTAGAATTGACGTTTCGTTACTGATTACATTAATTCATGAGGCAAATTTACCTCACTACACTTCAATTAGCCCACAGCCGAAACTATAACTCTATCGAATATGTCTGAGACAACTTAAATAGATTATTTCGAGCACGAAATCCAGCTCACACCACGATTACCATGTTTAAAACTGCGGCAGTAGGAATATGACAATATTCCCCAGTCAGACTTCCTAACAGGCTTTAAGATGCCATCAGAACCCGGGTTCTTCATCCATTAAATTAAAAAAAAATTTTTTAGTGATATGGTTTATGGTGAACTTCCTTTTTTGAACAAATACTTTTCAAAAAACCGCCAAACGGGAGATAATATCGGACGAACATACATACGTACAGGTCAAACTGAGAACATTCTTTTTGAAGTCTGTTAAAATTCTAGTTTAACTTCGTAATTTACGTGAAAATCTGATGTAGGTCATAGGTATATTATATTATATATTTTATGGTATTGTGTATTTCAATATCCACGCTTGGCAGAACTTCTTCTGTATTTTTTACACACTTGAATGCGTCGAAACTCGGTAACACAATTTGCCTTTATAAATATTAATTTAAGACTTATTATAGAATTTTATAACGATAAACTCTACTACTTTTATGAAACCATGATGTTGGAAATGCGTTTTCAATCTGAATTTTATTATTTATAAAAAAATGTATTTATGCATACAATACAGCAACGCCTCAGGTTACAATTAGGTACAACAAACTAAAGTTTTCACATTCTATTTTGAATCGAAAACACGATGAATTAAAGTTGAAAATTGATAAAGTTTTAAATATTGAATAACCTGATGTGCTGTTCTCTGTGTACGAGGGTATAACCTAATCTTTTGATGACGACTTAATTAATAAATAGCTGCCAATATCTCCCGCGTATGATGTAGCTTCCTGTAGGTAAAAGAAATTTCATGATCGGATCAGTATTTCTACAAACAAATAATCGAACGACCTAATATATTAAGAGACTTGTATCAAAATCAAAAATCAAAATACACTTAGGTAGGCACCTACACAATTTTTAATTATCTCTACCCTACTTTTTTTTGCATGTAAAGCAGACCATTCAATGACGTTTCATGTGTCGTCTGTTTTTAATGTTTTTACATAATTTTTTAAACAACTTTAACCAACTACATTCATTGGCAACAGACAGGTAGGCGACAGGAAAACAATATAATTTTATTAATCCGGTTCTGCATAGATACGTGATGAATATATAACGGTTCCTGTTTTTGTTATATCTATTATTCTGTTTAGGTTATTCCGGAGCTCTACCAAGTGTACTTACGTTAATAAGTCTGTTTTTTAATACGGGTGTAGACAGTAAACGAATACGTATAAATACTTTTATTTTTTTGGTAGTGTTTAATGAACTATTACCGTTAATCACTCTTTTATGTCAAAAGTCAAAATAATCTTTATTCAAATAGACTTCTTAAAAGTACTTTTGAATTGTCCAACATTTTTTTTCCCTACCTCTCGTTCAGGATGTCTTTTGGCTGATAAGAAGAACGAGCAAGAATCTCACCAGCTCAAATAGGAGTAATGACATTCCCAAAAAAAAACAAAAACTAATTGTCTTATAATCATTTATAGTCTTATAATCGTTCATTTTTACCAATCCAGTTGCTGGATCATCTTTAGTCCAAAGATTCTTATCTGTTATATAATCGGATACCTTATAATAAGCTTTTTTAATAAGTATTTTTTACGCTGATTATAATATTGTTTAAATTAATTATGAAAAATCAACTATTTTATACTTGTTGTCACGTGACCGCAAACAGCACGGGTTGTGACGTCATAGCGACGCAATGATAGAAGTGGCATTTCTGCGGGAAATTTTGAAAATTACATTTAATTTTAGATTTCAACTTATTATATGAAGGATACTATTTTTAAATATTTTTTAGATATATTTTATGTATATCTATAAAATAAAAATGTTAAAAAAAAACACCGTCAATTGTATCTCACGTAAGACACAAAAGTGTAACATTTGCGTGATAAAAAAAGTGCTGTAGTGCATTATCGTGAATGGCAATAAATATGGCCGGCACTACCTCGTTAAATCGTTCCGCTACCTTCACAACAAAATTATCATAGTGCCACACTGCTTTGCATCAAGTCGGTCGAATAAACTTGAATCTTGTTATTTATAATACATAAGTTGGTGAGCCGCCAGAATGGGTAAGGTGAGTTATGTTGTTATTGTGCTATAAGGTTATGTAACGTGACATCACAAATTTGAGTTGGCGCCAAACCTTATTTGTTTCGTGATAATACCTTATTTGTTATGCCGCGTGTTATACTGAAGTTGGTACCGCTGAAAAGGCACTGAGGTGAAGGAAATTATGATGATTATTTATTTATATGATTATGACTACTATTATCATCCCTCTTAATATTATATTACGTTATAATGCCTCAACGAATTTAATGCCGATTTTAATGGAATTTGGTACAGAAATAGATTAGAACTTGGAAAAGGACATAGGTTACACTTTATCGCGAAAAATGGGTTGAAATGGGGATGAAATATTTATGTAAGTTCAACATTGAAAGTAAATAAGTCGCGCGGACTTAGTTGTAGGCAAAAGCTATTTATGTAGGTAGTTTAAATTAAAACCGATCATTTAGGTGCTATAAGTATTTTTTAAAGTCAAATACCTTTTCCCTAAATCACGCAACAAATTTTATGTGGTTTTCACTGTTCGATTGTAAATTTCATGAGCGATACGAAGGTCGCCGTGTCACTAGACTTTATAGGTATAATATGCACAGCTGAAACTACTGTACCTTCTCAGAAACTTAAAATTTGATATAAGGGTTCCTTTCATGACGTAAGTGAGCACTAAAAAAGGGTTTTTAGAATTTCAACCCCCAAAAGGGGTTGAAATGGGGAAATTGTTTCTGGACCTAGAAGTATGAAAAATGGGCCTTGCAGGCGCAGCCGCTGTCGGAAGACTGGTCAGCATATAGGTAATAATAGTAATTTCTAGGGAATATTGCTTTGAATAATATAAATATTGTTTTACAAAAATGAGATTATTTTCACATAACGCGCTGTTATAATATATATTTCGCAATATCACCTTATTTTACGGCAGTGATTTTCTTAGCTTATAATATCAGAGATTTTTAACAAGGAGTAACAACAGCCTGTAAACCATTGTATATACTGATACAAATGTTTCTTTATTTCATAAACAAAATACTCGGCAACTTCTTCTTAATGATAGTATAATAATTTTAAATTAATGTTATTGCTTATAGCCTGAATTGATATTGAGATACACCCCCTTCTTCATTAATCTTGTTATCTCTCTCCACCCAGACTTGCTTGGAAGATATCTAAGCGATAGGGTTGCCAATTGTTACATAAAAGTGCTAATTTACTTCAAGTTTGTATGAATAAATTGTGTGATGAACAATAAAGATTTATGTTTTGTATTGCCCGTACCCGGTTGGCGCAAGCTGTTTCAAGTCACCGTTGTCGTCTATAATGTCTCTGGTCTGAGTGTTAGTGGTACTTTTGTTGTTGCAGATGTATATAATATCTACAAGTGCTTGCTTACTTTAATTGGGATCTGAGCAATGTCTGTGATGTTGTCTATTATATATGGGTTATTTTCTACAACGCAAAGTCACGGAATTTGTAGAATTTTTAAAAATCAAAACGGTTTAGTGTCACATATTTGTGTATGGCTATGGTCTTTCAAAATAAATAAATATTATATTTTGTATGACCTTTGGAAATAGCAGTGATCAATAAAAATTAAAAAGCTATGTAATGGTTCTAACTTTAGCAATTATTTGCACGACTCAGACCAAAGTCATGCTTGAATGGATTTCTTCTAAAAAACAAATTGTATACAAACGTTATGTATCGTACATTATACAGAAGTTAACCTAGAGAGTTGAAACTTTATGACGCAATCTTTTTTTCACCAACAAAAAATAATGTGAAATTAAAATCGCTTGGTACAATTGCAGTGGCAAGATTTTATGATTGCCAAAATAGAAATTATTACAGTTTCTGATTCGACAGTAGAAAATGAATGTTTCTATATTGATCCTTCCTTCTTCTTGCTGAGTTTCTTGTTGTTTTTTTTCAGTACAAGGTTTTCCGCCGTAGATTTATGGACCGAAAGCACAGTATTTCGACATCTACAAATGCTTATAACAGCCTCGTACAGAGTTTTTTTAACCTTTTAGTCATTTTATTAATATTTAATATAATCAGACTATTTGATTTTTTATTTTATTTTGCACATGGTCATTTTGTTTAATATGTAGTACCTATCTAAATGTAAATAAATAAGGTGGTTTTCAAAGTATCTATAGATAAAACCGTCGCAACACGTATCACTTGGAGCTGCTTCCTGGAACCACCAATTTTCCGCGAAACATTGAATAAATGACAGAGTTTGGGTTTAACAAAGTAATATATTTCAGGAGACATACACGGATGTGCCAGTATCATCGTCTGCAGAGGGCGAGGAGCATTGTCACTGGAAGCCACAAGCTGAGCCGCGCAGCGCCGTGCCGCAACTACTCACGGCGCTTGTTCTCTGCGGCTTTTTTATGGTAAATGGTACAAATAGATAGTGGCGTAGTAGAAATAGTTTGTAAAAAATGTAGACATGGAAAAGAATATGTAACTACAATACAGTAAGGTAAAACTGATGACGTCAATCAATCAGAATGATTCAAGTATCATGGCATTAGGCGATCAAACAATGTCCTTGCACCTGATCCCGTTGAGTGCATATGAAATGGATACCTAAAGTATTAAATTTTAATCATATGTTCAGTCATCGTCGGTATTGACCATATTAGTTGGAACTTACTGTACAAGGAAAGACTATCTGTATAACGTTTCCTAATATTTTTTGGTCCACGGACCCCTAGGACGCCAATATGGAAGATGGTGCTGATTTGATTTGATACGTAAATGTAATATTTGAATTATTGTAACTATTGAATTGTGGATCCGCAAAATCTTTAGTCCCAGGGCTCCAGACCACAGGTTGGGAAACATTGATCTATATAACGCGGGTGGCGGTGGTCGAGTGGGGCGCGGTACAAACTACCGTGGTGTATCAAGACACTTCACTCGCTCGATACGTCCCTAGTATTTGTGGTCAGCTGACTGTTATAACTCGCTATAACTCGATTCTAATCCAAGACAAAATGCCTTAGGACTACGCTGTTGTCATGTCTGAAACACGCTTGCTAAGTAATTTACATGCCCATATTTTTTAATCTCAATTTTTCTCATGATGCTTGCCGTGGCTACCTATAATTGAGAGTTCACTTCAATGTATGAACATGCAAGTGACTAATGTAACCAGTTGTCCAATAAATAAAATAATAAAAAAAAATTTAATGCATCATCAAATTGTATTGTTACAACTGTCGAATGTCCGATAGCCCTGTATATTTTATAGGTATGCGAGCTGATCGGCGGTTACTTAGCTGGCAGTTTATCAGTGATGTCAGATGCTGCGCACATGCTTAGTGACTGTGGGGGATTCGCTTTAGCGCTTCTCGCTTTCCACTGCGCTAAGAGACAGCCGGACGTTCGCATGTCTTATGGTTATAAGCGGGCCGGTAAGTTTGCTAACACAATAAACAAAACATTTGCATAATTTGCATCTTAGACAGAATTACCAATTCAAGATAGAGCGGATGCCGCTTTTTGAAGTGAACTCGGAAACCTGAGTGAATTCGAATTCGAGTTTGTATTGTAACGGAATCGCAGGCTGTTCTAAAATTATTTAATCTAATTAGAAGACAAATCGAAAAAGGTTTTCAATATAAGATTGAAAACTTTTTTCTGTTAATGTTTTTTGTAGCAAAAATACGAGTATAAGCCGGAAAGCGCAGGCTCCCATTCGCAAAATTCTAACGTAGAATTTTTATCTTAGTTAAATGGTTGGTAATTTTGAAAACTTAATCTCATCATGATTATTGTCTGATCGAAACAAATATGCAAAGTTTTCTTATGAAGTTTAATTCACTGATGTACCATTAAAATAAAATACAAACAGAGTACTCACGTGACAGCCTCGTTGTCGTTTCCCTGATTATATCTGAGAATCGTGTAAAACCTTTTTAGCTCGTTTGTTTGCATATTTCCTTCTGGGTGTATTCTTCTGGCATAAGCTTGTACTCCATCATCGTCAGCCTAATAAAGTTCCTACTGCATGGACACGACATCCATATTGGCGAGATTTGGAGATTATTGATGCAGCTGGACCAATAGCCTAACATGCTTTCTGAAGTACGGAGGTGCCAGAGATAATAGATTTTTGGTCATCCATAATATGACAGGCTCTTTCAAAAGTTGTCATTGTACACCGAACACTAACCACTGCGCTATAGAATACTCTGTATTGTACTTTTAATAGTAGGGATATTTTATGCGGATTATAATAATAAAAATAGTAAAATCCATTTTAGCAACTAAGGCTGATTTGTTAGTAGTATACATATTGACTTAAAAGCTATATTAGTAATTATAAATGCAATTATTATTAAATAATATTTTATATGTTTAGCCATTTCTCGTTTGATCTCATTGTCATAACTGAGAAATGCCTAAAGATTGTCGCTTTGTATTTACAACATAATGTTTTCAGAATGTTATTGGAGCTGTTCTGTGCAATCACTGAGGATACAGTTTTCTTTCGCATCATAGTCTGAAACCATTATTATACTGAACGAGTTTAATGCCGTCTGTGTATAGTTGGTCCCAAAGCACGCTCGTGTAGCTCGTGGCTTACTTGAAAAGTGTATTTTTGGCCAACTTACTACATCTAGCCAACCTCTGGGCCAACATATTACAACGCCATGGCGCGTCGCTCCCGTTCGATGTCCATCTGATCCCTGAGTTTCTTGGACAACGTAATGACCCAGACATTTAAATTGTTTCACCCTATTAAGGGAAGTGTATACTGATGATTATTTCTTCCCAGAGGTGCTGGGCGCGATGGTGTCAGTTCTCCTGATCTGGATATTGACGGGCGTGTTTGTATACGTGGCCGCTGTACGGCTGCACTCGGGCGAGTACAATATAGAACCAGATATCATGATGGTGGTGTCCACGTGCGGTGTTGTGTTCAACGTGGTACTAGCGCTGGTGTTACACGGGTGTGCTTCTGACATTGGTGAGTTGTGTTGTGTAAAAGAGATGAAAGGTCAAAGGTCAATAGGGGTGACGACTAATTTTTGTTTGTTTTTTCCGCCAGGATTGTTGAAAAAATATTAAACACGTAATTTTTTTCACAATCATTAAATTAATTGAGTTTAAATGTCACATGACGTCACGCTTTTGTATAAAACTGACGTAGTAAGCCCCCACTCCTCAACTTTAATCTAGTTATCTGAGCTATTTTTTATTATATTGACGTAAAAAAATACGTATATAATATTTTTCTATTATTTGACTGACGAACTAAATAGAATTTCTTTTTTTTTTTTTACCTAGTCGTCATACCTATTAATCGCTTGATGTTTTTTATGAACTTTAACTTAGCCCCTAACATCATAATAGTTATCTCCTACTAGTATAGAATTAAAATAGAGGCGTGCGGTAAGTAGTAATAATACCTTCCAGGTTAGATCTCTATTTAATTAAAAGAATTTCCAGCTTATATACCACTTAACCAAAAGAGGGGATTTAAAGTGTATGTGATATCTCTGACATGTGAAGTAATTGTTGATCATGTATAGAACGTGATTCCTAATATTTGGAAATCGCAAGGTAGATCCCTAAAAATAAATATAATAGGTAGCGTACGGGTTAACTATTAGGGCTACTAGCATAGTAAGTAGTTCACAACAGCATAACAGTTAGTCCTTACTAGCATAATAAGTAGTTCTTAACAGCTTATTAGTGAATATTTACTAGCATAATAAGTTGTTCCTAACAGCATAATATTTAGTCCTTACTAGCGCAATAGATAGTTCCTAATAGCATTATAGTTAGTCCCTTCTTACTTAATAGGTAATTTCTTAACAGCATATTAGTTAGTCTCTGACAAATCAAATACCATAGACTAGGTTATAGAAAATTGTGTTTTAACTGGTAGAAAGTTTTACGTCAGCAGATCTTTTTTCTTTAATATGACACCAAGATAGGCGATGTAATTTAGACTCAATATTTCTTTTTCATATAATAAATATTAATACTAATTAGCCACTGGCAAAAATTCAGTTGAGTATCCCATGAATCTCCTCACGTCCACGTAAAACATTAACCATAATTACGCACAAAACTCATAATACGCTCCTGTGTAATTATTACTATAAATTGTTTGACAATATTGATGTCATCGTCAAAATTATGCAATATGTTACATACCACTTTATTTAATTTGAAAAATACAACAATTCTCTAAATTCTGAAATAGATACCAGATTTTCGTAGTAGTATATCGCATTTAAATAGTTTTGAAATCAATGGAACTCTTTATGTTTATTTTTATATCCTTTTTATTGTTTGATCTAAATTGCGTAACGATGTTTGTTTCCTTCGATAAATAAATAAAATATATATTGTTATTATTGTATAGCGCACCATCACACGCACGGCGGGGCGTCGTGTTCTCATACTCACACACACTCTGAACCATCGCGTCCAATATGGCGGCTGTTCAGAAGGAACAGGGAGCAGAAACAGCAGAGCTCGAACGGCGCTCTAGTCAACGGAGATTATGCTATGAAAGATCTGTCCAGTACCGAGGCTAGCGTAGTCGGCGCACAAACAAGGTAAGAAATAAGTATTTATTTTATTCAACAATTTCTGTGGCTGAGTGATTCACCATTTCTGAGGTCTCAAGTTCGATTCACGGTCGGGTTAATGTAGAAAATGATTTAAAGTTAAACGTAATTTTTTTTAAATTATATTTGATCAATTTTGCGTTCATAATGTTCAGTGGTTAGAGCAGTCGCCCGGATTGCCAAAGGTCGTGGGTTCGAGTTCCATCTCAGAGTGCTAGGAATAAAGTGATTTTTTTATTTAGATTTTTAATATTTTTGTTTCGTACGCTCTGTGAGCTTTACCTTAAAAATGATTGAGGCTTTTAAAAAGTCTGGAACAAAAGGACATTGCTCAACGTCCATACATCGGTAGCCCCAGAACCAAAAAAATATAGGAAAATACTTATTTTATTGTGTGTCACTAACTGATTCTCATTATGTTTTTATTATACCGCGACCAAGTTGTAGAACTTATTATCACGCAAAATATAATTCATTTTGAGGTTATAATTTGTTTGGAAAACCACCAAGAGATGGCACTCTAAGTACATGACATGATATTGATGTCTATTTGTAGAAGCAAAAAAACTTAACTTTAAGAAAGTCGGTTTTTCGTTGTGACTTGTAAAAGTTTCTAAGTCAATAGACAAATAAATCATTCTAATAGTTAAATAAAATACCTATTGATAATAATAAAAAAACCTATTGTTTTTTTATGGTTTACATCAAAAGATGGCGCCTTAAATACATAAATGACATGATGTTAATATGTTTACGAGGAATATAAAAGTAATATAATAGAGACAAAGTAGTTTTTAGGTAATATCAATCTTTCTGAATAAACAAGAGTGAATTATCAACATTAACAGTTAGTGAATTTAGTTTGTATGATATTTAGTGTTTATGTCCTTATATTTTATTTGGAAAACCACCAAGAGATGGCGCTTTTAGTAAACGATTTGACGTTTAAACTAAAGTTTATTTTCGGTCAATTTAATTTAATGTTTTTGTGTATGATGATTTAAAGGTTATCTAATAAAAATAAATTATCTTCTTGATCTGACGTGTAAATAACATCCATCTGACTCAATATTGAATGTGAATATTTGCGAGTAAAAATGTTACTGTTAAAGTACTTTTAAATATTAATTTTGGATCGCAGCTTGTCCGTATCAAATAAATTTTTGATTCCAATTTACTAAATTAATTAATGATTATTATTGAAGGAATTTACTGGAATTGGGGCCATTTTCGGCGATGTCCTTTGTTGTTCAGTATTTTTTCTATAAATGTCGACATCTTTGGCGCGAAAGGAATTGAGATAGATTTTATGAATTTGACTTTTAGTAAGTCTTTTAATACAACTTTTAAATTAACAAAATATACTGCGATTTTCTATTTAACTATGCTATAAGGGACCAGACGTCAAAATAGTTTATCTATACCAGAGCAATAATTTTATATTATCAAAAGTCATTAGATGATTGATTTGTTACTATAGGCCAACACGCCAATATGCTTTATAGATAACACTAGACAGTAATTAGGTACGCTGTTTATAAAAAATAACTTGTATTAACACTTGTATCCATATAACACCTATATCAACATTGTCACTATGTAAGATTGTGTACCCAGGTACAACCAAGGCCATGAGTTCAGAATAGGGTTGCCAGATTTTTTTGCAGCCTGTAAGGGGCAATGCTCAAATAGACAAAAATAGGAGATTTTTTTTTCTGGATAAGGGAAAAAAATCAAATTTTATAATAGCATTTATAATATTAATAGGGTTACATAAACATGTAAGTTAGTGGTCGGTGTTTTTAATGCTAAATCTGTATGCCTTATCCATCCATCCGAGTATTCTAGTTATTTTTTTACAGTAAGTCTTCTGACACTACCCACCTATGAAAAAAAAATCAGCAAATACGTAAGCTATTATTAAAATATAGTTTTTATCACTGAAATATGACTTGAATTAAGATTCCACTTATTAATGAAACATTATTAATGAAGCATAAATTAATATGAATTACCTGTTCCAGGAATATAAATCTTCGTGCAGCCCTGATACACGTGATCGGTGATCTGATACAGAGCTGCGGAGTGCTTCTCGCTTCCATCGTCATCAAGATCTATGTGAGTGTCTTTTACTTGTGTAGAGCAAAAAGGGACCGGTGGGGTGTGAAGCAGTCCGTACTGGTTTCCACAAAAGTTTTATTTATTGGGTTAGTGGGTGAGTCAGCTAAATTTGGACTAGCCTCCAGGCTCGTCGATCGCTACAGAAAACCTCTAATAGACTTCCATAGTATATTCTTGCGTAAGTAACTTTTGAAATAAGTATTATTTAACACTTTTTAAAAATTTTAAGTTGGTCCTATTTTTTTTTCAAGTTTTTATTAGTCACAAAGTTTAATTGGTGAGGAAAAAGAGCATTTCATCGAGTCGTGTGTAACGTATACGATTGGCTGTAGAAATTTGCACGGTTTTGTGGTTTTGAGGAGGAAATTAAATACATATAGGTCAAATTGACCTCTTTTTTGAAGTCGGCTAATGTTATTCAAACCAGTAAAGTGATTTTTTAGAAATCGAAGAAATCGATTAGTTTATAACTTTAAACTACTGAACTGATTTCTAAGAAACTAGTAGGATTCCCTAAGTTGAAAAACAAAAAGGATCATTGCAATCCGATGTCTAATTTACGAGAAATATGTGGACAAACATACCATTCAGACATACAATCATTCATGCACCTATAAACGTGCGTAGAAGAGTAAAGTAAATAATAATAACACATAATTCATAAATAATTCATGAGCTAAAAACTTAGATGACAAAAAGTATAAAGACAAAAACTATTATTTTTTTTAAATGACCTTAACTCAGTTGTTTGTCTACGAAAAAGAATATAATTTTGCTGTATAAGTATTTTATGTTTTTATTTTATTAATCATAATGAAATATTCATATTTTTTGTTTGTCTAACATAATATTATTTACTTTCGATTGAATGATCGACATTGAATTTATGACTTACCTTGACTAGGCTCAAGTTGAAGTTTTATAAATTAGGCTACTTATAAAGCTAAACTAAAGACTTATGTAGCTAATTACATTAAAAATATAAAGTTTTAATCAAAACACATTCAAAATTAATACGAAGTATGAACATTTTCATCATTAAAACCATCAAGATGGAACACTGATGTTACATGATTGACATATAATAATATGTATACAGCTATCTTCTATGTTAATAAGCGTGTTCGTTATTTATTCAGCCGGCGGCTAAGTTCGTGGACCCGTTGTGTACATTCGTGTTCAGCGTGCTGGTGCTGATGACGTCAGCGCGCGTCGTACGTGACGCGCTCGCTATGCTCATGCAGGCCGTGCCCAATAACTTCAGGTACACTACACACTACGTCAGCTCACTACACGCTCAACATGCTCATGCAGGCCGTGCCCAATAACTTCAGGTACACTACACACTACGTCAGCTCACTACACGCTCGCTATGCTCATGCAGGCCGTGCCCAATAACTTCAGGTACACTACACACTACGTCAGCTCACTACACGCTCGCTATGCTCATGCAGGCCCTGCCCAATAACTTCAGGTACACTACACACTACGTCAGCTCACTACACGCTCGCTATGCTCATGCAGGCCGTGCCTAATAACTTCAGGTACACTACACACTACGTCAGCTCACTACACGCTCGCTATGCTCATGCAGGCCGTGCCCAATAACTTCAGGTACACTACACACTACGTCAGCTCACTACACACTCGCTATGCTCATGCAGGCCGTGCCTAATAACTTCAGGTACACTACACACTACGTCAGCTCACTACACGCTCAACATGCTCATGCAGGCCGTGCCCAATAACTTCAGGTACACTAAACACTACGTCAGCTCACTACACATTCGCTATGCTCATGCAGGCCGTGCCTAATAACTTCAGGTACACTACACACTAAGTCAGCTCACTACACGCTCAACATGCTCATGCAGGCCGTGCCTAATAACTTCAGGTACACTACACACTAAGTCAGCTCACTACACGCTCAACATGCTCATGCAGGCCGTGCCCAATAACTTCAGGTACACTACACACTACGTCAGCTCACTACACGCTCAACATGCTCATGCAGGCCGTGCCCAATAACTTCAGGTACACTACACACTACGTCAGCTCACTACACGCTCAACATGCTCATGCAGGCGGTGCCTAATAACTTCAGGTACACTACACACCACGTCAGCTCACTACACGCTCAACATGCTCATGCAGACCGTGCCCTAATAACTTCAGGTACAATACATACTACGTCTACTCACTACACGCTCAACATGCTCATGCAGGCCGTGCCTAATAACTTCAGGTACAATACACACTACGTCAGCTCACTACACGCTCAACATGCTCATGCAGGCCTAATAGCTTCAGGTACAATACACACTACGTCAGCTCACTACACGCTCAACATGCTCATGCAGGCCGTGCCTAATAACTTCAGGTACACTACACACTACGTCAGCTCACTACACGCTCAACATGCTCATGCAGGCCGTGCTTAATAACTTCAGGTACAATACACACTACGTCAGCTCACTACACGCTCAACATGCTCATGCAGGCCGTACCCAATAACTTCACGTACACTACACACTACGTCAGCTCACTACACGCTCGCCATGCTCATGCAGGCCGTGCCCGATAACTTCAGATACATTACACACTACGTCAGCTCACTACACGCTCAACATGCTCATGCAGGCCGTACCCAATAACTTCAGCTACACTACACTGATACGCTATCTGTGTACAGGTATCGTGACGTGGTCCGCGCTATGGGCGCTATAAGCGGCGTGCGTCACGTGCACTCGTTACACGCGTGGGCGCTCGCCACGCATCACATCGTGCTAACCGCGCACGTAGCCATAGGTAACTATTGCAACCAGTTAACAACTACCTGATTTCCTGTGACTACGCCTACGTAAATATATCATCTGCATATAAGAAGATATGGCCCTCTTAGATTTGGGTCTGTAAAAGGCTTTTAATATACACCAGGAACAGTGTTGGACCCAAAACACTTCCTTGGGGGACCCTATTGGACACCCCAGTTTCAGAACTAATAAATTCACATATTTTACCCTTGTTTTCGGTCACAAAGATAATCGGTGAACATATCAAGCACTCGATCTCTTATGAAGAACTATTTTTTTATATCAGTCTCCAGTAGTAATCTTTCTAATATGTATCCGTTTTATTTTAAAATTCTAGCTCTAATGTTGCATGTTTCTTGCAAATAAATTTATTTTATTCTGAATAAAACAATAGGGTATTCTATTCTCTTTGAAATAATACTTGTAACTGTTTATTTTAATTTAAAAAAAACCACAAAACAAATATTTTGTAAAGATAAACATATTTTCTTTCCTTGGAATCAAATCATTATAAAAACTTTTTTTATACCCGCCAAAACGCTGTCCGTCATATTCATGACATCCTTGTGATATGTAAAAAAAAAAACAGATGAATAGATATTTTGAGATATTATTATAGATAATCGTGTGGTTTTAAGACTCAAAGTCAGAATCACTATGTTAATTATGATGTAAATTTTAGTTTTTGTGCTGTGTTGTTCGTGATTTTTTTTTTCACTAGCGAAACTACCCTATTGTTTACAAACAGACGAGCTGACAGAACCGGAGTTAGTGTTGCGCGCGTGTCAGCAAGTGGCGCGCGAGTACGGCGCTCAGTCCGTCACTGTGCAGGTGGAGAGGTTCCAAGCGCGCATGCTCGCCTGCGACGACTGTAGGCAGCCCGCTCACACGCCCTGACCCCTCACCACTCTCTCGCGATAGGGAGGCGCGGGTCAGTATACACTGGACATTACGTTACTAATCTTTATATTTCAATTGCATTAGCGTGCGACCGCCATTTTGGTGATATAATCAATTGACAGTTTGTCTTCAACACTCTGTATTGTTAACCAATAAGCACAGGACGGCGAGCACGCATTAATATTGTTATTGTTGATTGTTATTTTAAAACTGCTTTTATAGTTTCTAAAATAAGTAAACCCGATTAAAAAAAAAAATTGTCTAATGTCTCTCATTACATCATTACTTTTGGATTTTTTTTAGTTAATCGTCCTCTCCTCTGTTTTTACATTTTTTTTCTCTTTAATGTGACATATAAATAGGCCTTTTCAAAATTTTGCGTCAAAATAACAAACTAAGGGTTAACAAATTATTACACCCTATTATGGGGATTTTTCATAAATATTTCAATAATTCGTTTGTCTATTTTATATTGTGCTATCTGTATTTTATATTTTCAAATGACGTCACGTACATATTATTTTCGCCGATACAGGTCTTCAAAACACATTTATTTTAACAAATAATAACAGAAAAATGTTACTTTTTAAAAATTAATTCAATTCGAAATGAATCTATTCAGAGATATTTTTGTTTAAAGTAAATCGACATGCCTAGTTAGCTGCCATTTTGACAAGCGAAAAGAAATGGCAGTTTAGTGGAATACCCAGATAAAGCAAGAGTCAAACTATAATTGATGATTTACATATTAATAAACTTAAGATAATATTATACGTCAGTCCTAATATTTTTGCACTAGATACTTTATCATATTTGATTACTAAAAGTATCGATTAATCCACCCATCACTATTATTGTTTGCGGTCAGTTTTAAACGAAGGATACAATTTTTTTGTAGGATATCAACAAAATGGGAGCTGTGACAGCAGCGAATCAACCGACAATGAGTGCACGTAAACTAAATGTCAACAAGTAAGTGTTAAAACAATTTGTATTTAAATGACATTAACATAAAGAAGCTTTTTCATTGTCTAAAACTTGTGATACCGCTTCTTCGTTTAGCCCACCGCAATGATAATAAAGAACTTAACGGAAGAAATATTAATATGTTAAGGTAAGTGCTTGTTTTATTGAGTAGGGTAACCATCCTTTTCAATTTTGTCTAGTTTGTTCTATTATAATAGTGTCTGATAGCCGAGCACACTTTGGCAACCGTTAGCATACAAAATGATTTTGGTATCATTTAAAAGTTATAGTTTTAGGGGAAGGATGGTAATCCTCTCAACGAGACAGATAATATGATGTTTTATTAAGAAAATGATGTTTAATTGCGGCATGTGAAATAAAATACATCACCATAATATTTTCTTGTTTATATGAAAAAATGTACTTATAAATAAATATAAATAAAATGTGTAAAATCGTTTTGACAATAGTTAATTTTTGACTGAAAAGTGGGATATATGTCCATAAATTATTTATCGAGTGACATAAATTACTGACGTGCTTTGCTTCGTTTCGTTTGTATAAAAACGCGCTATATACTTAACGCTTGTAAAACCTGATAACTGTCAATTTTTACAAAAACGAGATGGGTTTTACCAGAGGATGCAATTTGTAATTTTTCTACGGATTAAATGAATCGGTGTATTTGATAAAAAAAAAATGTTACTTAACAGGTTTTACCAGCATAGTGCGATATATAAAACTATTACATCCATGAATTTAACAAAAATCTTGAATGTATTTGATCAATTTTTGAATGCATGTAACTGAACATATATTATATATTAAGTGTTCTGCAATTAAAATTTTAGGTTAACGTGTATAATTTTGCTCAAATATAACCAATATAAAAGATATTGTTGTATTCTGAGATAACAAGTGGTTGATAAAATATAATATTAATCTTGCAACATAAACAATACGAGAGACCTTTTACTAAAAGTTTCTTTGGGAAAATTTTGGAGAATTTAATGCTTATAAAAACAGTTCAAAAGTGAATTTTGAACCTTATTGTAATATATATATATATATATAAATAAAAAACTGTATTCCTAATAACGTTAAAACGAAATTTTGTATTGTGATAGTGCCAAAATTTAATAAAATTTTATTGAAAAGTTATTTAACCAATGTAAACAAAATTTATTATTATATAAAATCTAAGTGTAAATAAATAAGTTATAAATATACTTTGGTGTTTATCGGTAAGGAATTACAAAGATATAAACTCAGATTATAGGAAGTTTATTTGCTGAACAAAGAGATATTGCTCTTCCAATCATAATGCATAAAAATTATATTATTTTGGTCTTTTTATTTTTTATCAATTTGGTAATGACCAGAGGTCGGAATTAGGTAGAGTTATTTATGTACTTGCATCGAAATGTTGATATTAATGTGGACCTTCCCGGAATTTCTAATGGACAATCCCGTGTGGCCAACAACTTACAACTAAATAATAATAACAACGTCAGAGATAGACAAATAAAACAAAGATAATTAACATAAAATTTTTATTAGTTTACGTTTATGATGTAAGTTTGGCAACGTCGTGCGTGCAGTAGTTTAAATTGAGTAAAAGTAAATAACTTTTTATTTAAAAAATCACGGGATTTTTTCTGCTCTTTAAAATTAATCTCGGGATTTGAGGCATATCCACTTTACTCTTTCGCTGTATGAAATCAGTGTAAGTACATGAATAACTCTACCTAATTCCGACCACTGGTAATGACACAATCTTACTCCTCATAATTTTTTAAATGAAATAATAAATGAAGGAATTTTTTTTTACATGTAAATGCAAATTTTGCTTTAAAAATAACTTTTTTCACTACATTGTCTATTTGATTTGTAACACTTCGGACATTATTAACTCGTGTCACGTTCGTATTTGGTATAGGCATTTTCGCGATGCGACGATAACAACACAAAACGATACTCAAACATCATCAGGTCGGTAGATGGCGATATCGTTACGATATCGGTATGTGACACGATATAACAGTTTGTTAGGGGTAAGCCAAATATATCCTCGTCATTCCAAAAGTGTAATAAAATATTCGAGGCAAAATGTACAAGTTACATTTGCTTTACCTTTTATAATTATGGCGAAAAACTGTGTCTTCACCCGATATCGGCACGACAATCTGTCGGCAACGACAAACGATACAATGTGATAGCATCTAGTAGTGATTGTATTAAACTTACCAGTCCAACCATAAAATAATATGTACGGATTTACTTACCAGTCCAACCATATCGTGTAGTTACATTTATCGTCAAATGTGAATACGCTTATTGTAAACCACGGAAGCGAATTGCAGGACCTTCTAAATCAGTCGTTCTTAACCGGTTTGCCATCGGTGCTGAACTATGAACGTTTTCAAAGCAACGTAGCTTATCATATTTTTGTGGAAAAGCAGCCTAATGTAGATTGTTAATCCTTACTGAATGCAGGTCAAAAATGCAAAAAATGTGGTAATAGTACATTACGATAGTGCGTTATGATGGCTATAACATGCGAGGCGGAATTTCAGCCCGAGCCGAAGGCTAGGGCGTAATTGAGCCGAGCATGTTATAACTAATACGCAAGTAGATCGCACGAAGTTTTTAAACCCCTTTGCGAGGAAACAGAAAAAAAAACATTTAATAAACTCAATCTGTGAATGTACACTGTTGCTTTTCCGCCATTTTAACAGCGCGCTAGCACTGCCTTCTGACTGGCGCCGCGCAGCGATTAGTTCGAAATTTGAATAGCAACAGCGCGCGAAATGGCAAATAATACTGTTATGGAATTTGTATGGACTATAACTTAACCATTCGCTTTGATAACACACGCGTTTTTTATGACCCGCTTTACATATTTAAAACCGGTGGAATTACATCAGCTTTATGAGCAAAGGTGTTAAAAATATAATCTATGTTCAGTAATAGATGTGTTACGCCTGAAATTATGTTTTATATCGTGTCCGTGGGTCTAGTATAGTGCCAAATGTAATTATAGTCTTGATATTACTGAAGCTTTAATTCATTTGAAACTTAAATGTTACGACAGCTGTGACGTCATATGTTGCCAAACTAAATTGACAGGTTGACGTAATGTCAAAATTAGTTTGGAGCCGCGATGTGGTGGATTGCTTAGTTTCAGAAAGGTTATTTCAATGTTGTAAACATATGACGTCATAAACACTAATTGAAGTTGGTTGTCAGTCAGTCTATTAAAAATACTGTCCACATCCCTATTATAGTAAACACAGAAGAACATCACAACATATTACCACAAAATGTTGATTTCAAACATTATTATCATAGTAGATTTTGAAATCTACTTTTATGCATTTAGATCTTAAATAAAGTGGAGAAGTTTTGACTCTTGTATAACCTGACGTAGATCAAGAATCACATATGTATATAAAAGTATATCGTATATTTATATTATGGAGATGGGATGGAAGTGAGTTTCTAATAAAAAAAAAACAGGGTTTTTCACTGTTATTTGTGTCAATTTGTATGACCGCTGTCACTATGTTACACATGAAATAGTAATAAGGCTTGACAATTAACCATGTATCTATAGGTAAGTGTAAATAATATTTTTTGTTTATTTAATTAATAGTCGAATATATTTGAATTAAAAATTTGTTGTAACGATAATTTTACAAGCTTACACAAAATTTATTTGTCATGTCCACATTAATATATCAAAACGTTATATTAATGTGGACATGAATTTAAGATTCATTTAATCAATGTCCCATTTTTATTTTGTAATCCTATTAATATTATAAATGTGAAAGTTTCTATGTTTGGATGTTTGTCCGTCAATCACGCCGGAACTACTAAACGAATTTGGATGAAATTTGGTATACAGATAGGGTATTAGCTGACTTAGATAATATGATACTTTTTATCACACTAAATAGTTCCCTAGAGAACATACGGGCAAAGTAGCTGGCGTAAAACTAGTACATTATAATACAGGATGTGTGTGT